AAGGATTGCTCCCATGATAGCTCGCACGCCCATCGACAATGGCAGAACTTGTGCTAAACAAACTAGGGAACTGATAACTTGGCATTCCGCCCAGGGAGCTTCTAACAGTATCCGTATCAACAGCGTGGCCCAAGCCTTGGTGGATGGGGTTGCTGTTCGGTTCGCTCGCGGAGCCAGGATTTCCCATTTCCTGCATGGCTTGGTTGATCCAAGACATATCGGGATAGGCGATTTCGAGGTTGTATCGAATAAACGGATTATCGCTGGCGTCCCCTGAAGGGTTCATTTCGATTTCAAAGAATCTATTCGCAGAGCTTCGCACCGACTTTTGGAAACACGACTTTTGAAGAATAGGTCCGTGCTAGTTATCGATCTTTGCAAAATTCAGTCCGCTTCCCGAAGGTCTTGGGGAGTCTCCTTGTGATATAATCAAGAAAGGGAAGCAGAAGATGATATGGACGCTCGGTTTTGAGGTGAGGAAGAGTCCAATTGCTACAAACAGAAGTAATCAACAAAGCAGAGACTCGGGGAGGGTGCAGGGAAGCCAGGGGACAATTTTTGGTTAATTTTATATTGTGATTGCGTGGGTCTAGGGCTATTCACCGTGAAGAGAAGGGATGATGAGGGCTTCTACGTGTACGTGGCTTGCGGCATGGTCCTTGCTTTGTCGCCAGGTTTTGTTGACATTTTCATCTTCAGGCCCCTTAGCTGCATGGGGAGCGTCCCTCAGCTTGCAAAGGATGATTGTTATGGATGTTTCTACAGATTGAAATGGCACATTTGGTAAGGAGATGTGGGCGGCGTGCGAATGGGTCTGTGCTGTGCTGGCAAGCTGGTTGTCTTCAAAGATCATGACAGTTGTGGGCATGGAAATGATAAACTGCATTATAATTCAAAGGGCAGTAAACGCCACGGTGCAATTAGGTCAATAAACATCTAGTGTCCAGAGTATGGTCCTACCGTCTGATCATGCAATCAACCATGAATAATATATCCTAGCCTTGAACGCTAAAGGCAGGAGAACATCCATTAATAAGCCGATGCAACAAGCTAGACATGCAATATACTAAATCATAACTTCAAAGCAAACTAAAAAGGTATAATCAATCATCAGCATTTCCTTCTCCAACGGAGACCTTCTTAAGCTCAAGTTCCTGCTTCAAGCTCTGCACTCTCCTACCAACTTTCGCTTTCAAAATCGGATTCGGCATCTGCTCCCACTTCAGGGTTTCCGCACGTACCAGAGCCTCAAGCTCTGCGATTTCTTCTCTTTGCTGCTGCAACTGGCGCTGCTGCTCCAATGCATCTTCGTCCATATCCTCATTCCCATCCTCGGGTGAGGACTCCTCGCTCTCGTCTTCATCGCCTGATGTTTCACCGCCAGTCGCGGGTTTGGGCGTGCCCATCTCCGCTTCGGTTTCGGGTTCTGCCTCCACCACGCCTCCAATAGCCTGATTCTCCTCGGCGATGGCGGATGTAGGCATCGAGCTCGCTTCTGCGTGTGCCGCTAACGCGGCTTCCATTTCGGCTGCCAGGTCGTCTTCGAATAGGCCTGCCATCTCGTCCTGGGCTCCGGGGTGAACATATGCGGTCTCGTCGGCTTCGCCTTCAGCGTCCTGCTCATCATCGTACTCTTCCTGATATCCCGACTCCTCCCGCATGTACTGATTGTAATCCATGACCTCAAACTCTGGCGGCCTGACAGCCGAAGCATCCTCCCTCAGGAGTCTAGCAACCTCCAACTCCACGGCTTCGATGGTGCGGTTACTGATCCCGCTTCCGAAAACGTCTTCTGCGCACCCACCGCATGGGTGGCGTGATTCCATGATGATATTGGAAAGTACCCTTCTTCCGCATCCTTCGGCAACGGGTACGTCTTCGCTTCGTCCTCCGACTTCACGGGACCGAGAACCAGTAGCATCTGACAGATATCAGCCGACTTGTACCAAGCACGTCTGTCCCAACTCTTCATCGCTTCTATGACACAAGGCAAGTCCACCAGCGAAGCAGCATACATCCTCCCCCGAACCGTAACGATTGCTCTTCGTCCATCCCGAGTCAATGCCTTGAAACTGATATCAGCACCACCTTGGCTTCGTGGCCCAAAGCGCTTTTCTTCAACCGCCTGTCGCACATAATCACAGTCCTCGCCTGGTGGCATGCGCAGAATAAACTCCTCTTCCAATGCCGGATCGATCTCGGTATCAGAAGCGCCGGAATCGTAGCCCACGCCCCTGGGCCTGCGAGGCGGCTCACCTTTACTCTTGAGCCGGATCGACGGTAGAGGCTTGGAGCTAAATTTGATTCGTTTGACTGCCGGTGCTGGCGTTGAAGCCGTCACCGAAGTCGCGCCTTTATCAGCAACATCGCGCGGGCGCTTTTTCGATGAGCGTGGGGCATCCTTGGCCGTCGCGGGTTTGGGGGCTTTCTTCGGTTTCGATGCCGCTGGGGGTGTAGGTGCTGGGGCTGGCTTTGGGCCACCGAACTTGAGTTTGAGTTTAGGGATTGCGGAACCGGGTGTGGTAGCGGGAGGAGGGCTTGCGGAAGGAGGGCTGGCCTGTTTCGGGAGTTGAGGCACCTTTGGCTTGCTGAATGTCAGCTTAAGCGAAGGCTTGCCAGGCGGTTTGCCAGACATGATGCTTGCACGAGCGGGGGATTTTGAAGACGACTGAGGTATATCACTGAGAGGGAGAAAAGTGTAATAGCGTAAGTATAGTCTGCTGAGATACGCCGCACAAGTGACGGTCGAGCTGTCGAAATCGATGTTTTGAGCACAAACGAGCCAGCGGGTGAAGCGCAGCAACACAACTTTGAGCTGCAGGCGGTGACTTCATTTCTTGGCATGGTGCTTATGTAATGGGTTCATCCCTGGATTCAGGGGCTCAGGGGTAATCGATGTGCTCACACAGATCGAAAATATCACGACCTTCCTATTCATATTGCATCTAGCTGGTTGGAAGCTTGTACACTTAATATTAATAAAGCTACACATAGACCTCCATTGCCACCCATTACCCAGGATTTTGAACCACGCAGAAATATCACGTAATAGTAATAGAAAACCAGACTGCTTTTTGTACGGAATGAAGCCTGACAACCTTGCTGGATCGTTGGATGATTACATTAGAGTCTCAATGCCTCGAGTTTGCAGTGGAAATGGTGACTCGAGTTTTCTGCAGTATATGATCAGCATCAAGCATGCAACGACAGTCTGACGAAAGGAAACAGGCGACTTACAGCAAGGGTTACCGAAAGAATGAAACTGATAACTGCCCCGGCAAGGAAAAGCAGCCAGACAGAGCGCATGGCAGAAGCAATCTGCGGAATCACTCGAACTTTGTCCTCGTCGGACAAACTTTTGAAAGCATGACTGCTTGTCCCGGCAATCAAATCTTTAATCTCGGTTCGGGATAGGGCTGGAAGCGCTTGCTTAACGTTTTTAAGCGCAAAATTTTGGAAGAGAGCGCCTCCAACAGCGAGAAACGTAACCATGCCAAGGTCCTGGCCTGTTTGCGGGTAGTCAAAATTAGTGTCCAAATACGGTGAGAAAGTCGTAGAGGCAGGGATCTTACAGATCGTGAGAGCGCCGACCGCGTTCGGGATATCATGTACTGGGACCAAGGATTGCACGATCGCAAAACCAGCGACAATGTAGCATCCTCCACCCGCTCCAACCAGCACAGTGTACCCGTAAATGTTTGCGTTGGATGTGTGTTCGTTGACCGTATCTAGTAATTTGATAAGCGTTGAGAGCCGGGTCACGGTGGTTCACGGAATCAAACAGTACGTACACATCAAGGCAGAGCCGATGACAGCAAGGGCGCTACCCACAATGTGCCACGGGCCAATATATGCCAGTTTTGGCATCAGTGCGCCATTGAGCAAGGACAACACTACCATCGAAACGATAAATGGGAGTAGGCGAACTCCCGCATCAAGAGGCCCATCGGTCTGACGGACGGTAAGTATAATACATGTTGAAATTTTAACCGCTGGATTTACGTACTCTGAGGAATTGGAAGAAAAGGGGAATATAGTACGTCATAGACTAGGGTCACTGGTCAGCAAGATGGCTCAGGGTCAACGGGTCAGATTTCTCAACTGACCAAAATAAAGCCGGAAGATAAGAAAATTTGAAGCTGCATGTTTATCAAGATTGGTCGTTTCAAAAAATGTGCGGGATAAAGTCTGTTCTCCTTGGTCACTCCTGGGTGAAAGAACGATAGTAGGATGGTGATGATCAGGAGGACAGCGGTCATAACCCAGAGAGTTATTTCGGGCCCGGAACTCCAGGCATAAACAGCGCCGCCAAAACTAATTGCCATTGTGAAGCAGGCACATCCGCCCAGAAACACAACACTCGAGATCCAGTCGATCATTCTGAGCTTCTCTCTGAGCGACTTGCCGGGCCGTGGGTCGATCCTGGGGAGTAGAAATAGATACGAGGGAGCGAATAGCGCACCAATGACGAGATTAATGTAGAATGCCTGAATAAATTTGCATCAGAGAACCAGAAGACTGTGTGAAGGATAAGGAAAACCTACCCATCGCCACGTCGCGCTGCTGATAGCGAATGCGCCGCCGACCTTTGTGTTGGTTAGCCTTGAACGAATACAGTCGGATATACACCAACCAGATACATACTACAGGGCCCAAAACGCTCCCCAGACCCCACATGACTGCATTTCCGGACATGTACATTGCCCTCTCTTTCATGGAGGTCGTCATTGAAACATAGGTCATGGTTCCAGAGTACATACCAGAGCCGCCAATACCAGCAACAACACGAGCGATGATCATTGCTGTCATGTTCGGCGCAGCGCCGCAAACGGCGCTCCCAATCTCAAACACAACCACGTTGAGCAAATAGACGACTTTGAGGTCGAAGACGCCGTAAGCCTTTCCCCAGGGCAGAATGCACATGGAGCCGAGCGCGAAGCCAGTTCCAATCCACGGGAGGAGTTCGATTTCACCAAAGTCCTCAAGGATTGCTGGCTGAATATCGGCAACCTGTTGGGAGGGGTTGAGAATTGGGCTGTCAGGGGGGCTAGCAGATTCCGAGAGAACAACATACCACTGTGTTGTCGAGGGCGAAAAGAAATGTCGTCGACAGCATGGAAATGTAGGCAATCGCCCACTGGGTATGGTTGTTAGCGCGGCATCCTCATGGATCGATGGAGGGGCAGTACCTTGATTCCGTGAAGCTGACGAGGGGACTCCTCCTTATCATTTTCGGCGGGCTCAACTCCGTTTTCAAGATTCCCGTTGGGTTTGGGCTCGATGTTGCGCCCTGAAGGGCCGTTTTCGTCCATGACCCGAGCAGAAGGCGTGCGTTGAGGGACTCTTTCGCCCGCAAAGCTGGATGTTGATATGGATGGATTTGCGGAGAGAAAGGCGAGAGTCGAAGAAGTCTGTTGGGCGAAGGTTTATAGCAAAGTTCCAGGCAAAACAGGATGCCAAAGCAAACACGGAATGATCCGTCTTATACGTGTGCTCCAAAAAGCTAAACTGCACCAGCGGATGCAAAACCGAAACGGGCCGGGACCTGTCTGTTGTCAAAGGAATATGCGCCGGGTTCTCGCGTTCTTTGTCTGCAGGGGAAGCGGGCAGCAGGGCCAAGGGTGTAGCCTTGCCGGCGGGGCCTCTACAGGAGGGAATGGCAGGGAGCAACGAGATATCGGGGAATGGAAGAGAAGGAGAAGAAGAAGAATTGGCCCCAGGGCTCGCGTTTATATACTCTAGTGTTGTGTAACATCGGCCTGTGGGCCAGCAGAGACCGGAAGTCGAATGGACCGCTAACTGCCCTCATCCTGACCTCTGGGGCAGGGAAACAATGGCGCTTGCTGATACCCAACTGTTGGTCTCCTCGTCTTGTCCCTGATTGCGTTGCTGCTAGCCATTCTCCTTGGTCCGTTGCGGCATCCACGGCTGGCTTCGATCACGGCCATTCCGGGTTCTCCAGCAACTCGACTCTTCCAGGCTGTCGTCGCAACATCCGTCGCATCTGTCTAGCCAATAACTAGGACATGCCAGCAAACCCAAAAGGAACCACAATCCCACCGACCTCGCCGCCGCCAAAATCGCCCATCTATATGCGCCCTTTTGATATCGCTTACGTCAGAATGCCCCTGAATGCGATTATGTAATTACATTGCTACGCACGTGACCAGCATGTATTTCCTGTATTACATAATTTGCCGTCTCCCAGGCCATTCGTATATTAGCGGCCTTCAGCTTACCTCAGCACTTGCGAGGCACACCATCTCAACTTCAACTTCAACTTCGTTCTTCTTCTTCTTCTCGTTCTTCTTCGCTTGTGCTGCACGCAGTGACTGATTGACCAGCTGCATAACCCTCATTGACGACACCCGATGCTGAGCTACACCTCCTGGTTACACGGATCTGCCTTTTTTTGTCGTGGAATTAGGATCAAACACGCTAACTGAGCCCACAGATCATGGCACGGGTGACACCAACAAAGCAGCATTCTTCGAGGCCATCTGCGCCCCCAGACCTAACTACATATCTAGCACATACGTATCCCGAGCATTAGGGAAAAGCAAGAGGGAGTGGAACATCGACGACTTTTATCTAATATCTACTACCGGTAACTACTCCGAAACGACCGAGCCAGTACCATTCCTGGCCTTCCGGGCTGACAAAAATTCGTCGATCAGCCCGCGGTAGTCGCTGGGCCGGTACGGGACGAACATCTCCGCGAAGATGTTGCTTTTTCGATGCGTCTTCAGCCGCAAATCGCGCATGAGCGTATCAATGTACTGGCATCCTGTTAGCGGAGTTCGCGGTTATTGCCACAGGCCGCTGCGTCCCAACTGACTCACCGAGAGATAGTCGTAGATGAAATACGAATGCTTTCGGCCTTGCTCAAGGTACCGCTTCCGCGTCCAGGCGTTGAAGGTGGCTGCTTCCAGCTCCATTTCCTCCTGGCCGGGCAAGTCTAGCCACCCCTGGAGAAACGCGACTCCCCACAGAGCTTGCAACTCCGCCGCAAGTGGGGTGAAGGCGGAGTGGATGTGGCCCGGGAACAGAATCGAACGGTCGCCTTGTGCCGCCAGGTGCGGAACTACGAGCCGGCGATAATGCCTATTCGGACCCTGCGCTCTTTTCTTAGAGGCCTCGTGCGTACCCGAAGCGAACGGGTCTCTTTTAAGGTATGGCAAAAGCGTGTTCACAATCTCTTCGGCCTTTGCATCCAGCTCTTCCCATTTGGAAGCGTCATCGCTGCCGTACAACAGTCCGAGTTCCACTTGAAGATCCTTGTCAAAGGTATCGTACCCTTTATTAAACCCAGTACAGAGAATGACAATGTCGGTAGGGATCGAGTGGCCGTTTTTCAGGTTGACAACGTTTTTGTGGGAGAGGGATTCTATTTCAGTCCGGTGTACCTTGACATCTCCTCCATGCATGACCTTCCAAAAATTAGGGACGGTCGCGATACCGATTCCGCCGCTCCCCCAGAAGAGCCTATAATCAGTATCAGTAGCTGCTTCATCACAAGTTGCGCCGCCTGGTCTCTTACCCGTCGCTTTTCGGCTGTGCCCGTAGGCCTTTCGTGTGCTCACTCTTGTTGTAATCTGCATACCGTGCGGATAGGAATGTGGCCGTCCGCCAATACACATTGGTGACCGCCCTACCCACAATGGTTCTCTGAAGAAAATGATACCAGAACCCCGAAGTGTTCATGATACTTGGGCTAAAATTCGCCGCCATTCGAGTGGAAATATGGTCCACGATATTCCACAGCCCAATAAAAGTGGGCGCGTAGATTGAAAACGGCCCAGAGGGGCCATCGCGGATGACCCAGTCCACTTTCTTGCCTGCGTTGAGCAGTTGGAACATTGTGTCGTATGCGGATTTAGACGCACCCACAACAGTTGCCCGCTGGACATCGTTGTTGATATGATCAAGGTACTTGCCAATCTGCCAGGTGTGAATGACCGGCTTCTCGAAGCAGTCCCGAGGCCACGAAGGGATAATCGGGCTGGAATTTGCACCTGTAGCATAGATCAACTTGCCGCACTCCAGCTGGCCTTTGCTGGTTTCCAGCACCCACCCCAGCCCATTTGAATTCCGGGCAACGTGAGTGACCCTGGTCTCAAGACGGATTCTTTGAGTCAAGTCATGGTCTTCCGCAAAGCTGGCCAGGTACTCATGTATAGTCGCTCCAGAGATGAACCCGTCTGGAGATAGCCCTTCTTTCTTCATGGAATAGAAGGAATACTCGAAGAGCGGATGGCTGATCTGTGCATAGAGACTGGGGTATATTCTCTCCTTGCTCCACGCTCCTCCAACCGAAGAGCTGTCGTCAACAATGAGAAGCTGGGTACCGGGAACCAGCTTCAAGTAAGTCCGCGCGGCAATCAGCCCGTACCATCCTGAAAATTGAGATGTGTAGTTAGTATGGTAGGGATCAGCCGCGAATTCCGATTCTGCAGATCAAGACAAGCAACCAAAAATGCGGAAGCGGGAGATTCCCAGCTGGAGGGAGTCGGCGAAAGAAAAGAATAGGAGTTACCTGCACCAACAACCACGACATCAAAGCGTTCCATGATTCGGGAATTCGTGTAACTCGAGGCGCTGTTCCGCCGATACAAACACGCGTGTCCAGCTGGAGTGATTTTACGCTATTGCGCCGCTTGAACTATGGTCATAGATAGCGGTGATTCTGCGGAAATTTTGATCGTTTTAAATATCTGATCCTAGCCGTGAATCCATCCTCAGAAAAAGGCCAGCTAAATGACAATCTACCGTGGTACTTATAGTTGCACAAGCAGGACTACATTGTGCATTCTCCCACTTTCAGCCTTAGCTGGTCGGTCCTGCACCGGCGAACCTTTGTTCTCAGCCATGGTAGATCAAACGTTGGTGACACTGCTTGGGATTGCAGTTCGTGTTTCTTCAGTTCGAGTTGATACCAACATGCGTTCGATTGACGCCCTTCAACTCTATTGGGATGGGGCGACCGAAATGCGCACAGCAGGCATAAAAGAATACACCCAACAACAACAATTTTACAAAGATTCCACTCAATGGACCGCAGAGCTGAATTTCAGCATCTGCTTGATCCTTGTGCAGTAGGAGTTCCCGAAAAAGCCCTCATCTATCTGCACGAGGACCCCCGTACAGTCGGAGACCCCCCAGGTTGGAGAGTAGTATTAAAGTCAAATCGCAGCCTTCCCGGCCTTCCTTTACTCCAGTGTAAACGGCCACACTTCTTCCTGCTGAACTCCGAAAACATCTTGGACTGAACCATTATGCCTTTCCTCAGAAACCGACTTTCATCGAGCAGCCAATCCTCCCAGGATGGACATATCAGCACCCCCAGTGCGGTTTCTGACTATGAATATCCGGCAATTTCTATGCCTGGGTACGCAGAAAAGCCACTGTCAGAGCAACTGGAACCCATTGCGGTTGTAGGAATGGGTAAGTATCCCGCCCGATGAGGCCCATAACGATCATAAGCTAACAACATTAGGTTGTCGTTTGCCGGGCGACGTCAGTTCCCCCAGTCAATTTTGGGACCTCATGATCAACAAAGGTACTGGCCGTATGGATAAGGTCCCAAAATCAAGGTTCAATATCGATGCCCACTTGCATCCAAACAATGAGAGGCCTGGCAGTTTTAATGTGCGTGGAGGTTATTTCCTGAACAGTAGTCTTCAGGAGTTCGATCCTGTGCTGTTTGGAATCTCTGTAGGGATAACCACGTTCATACTCACCGCCCGTTGCTAATTATTATCTGCAGCCCGTCGAAGCCATGTGGATGGACCCACAGCAACGGAAATTGCTTGAAGTGGTCTATGAAGCATTCGAGTCGGCTGGTGCAAGTTTGAAAGACGTTGCTGGAACAACGACAGCTTGCTTTGTCGGCTGCTTCACCTTGGATTACCTCCTGATGACTTTCAAGGAACCAGACTTTCGTCACAGCTACGCAGCGACAGGGGTGGATCCCGGGATCATCAGCAACAGAATCAGCCATGTCTTCAATCTGAAGGGACCTAGCATCACAGTAAACACAGCATGTTCATCTTCTGTTTATGCCCTTCACAACGCTTGCAATGCTCTCAGGAATAATGAATGCTCTGCAGCCGTCGTCGGTGGTACAAATCTCATACTTACTGTTGACCAACATATGAACACGGCAAAACTTGGCGTGCTATCCCCGACTTCCACTTGTCATACTTTCAATGCACACGCGGACGGCTATGGCCGTGCTGACGGAGTTGGCGCTGTGTATCTTAAACGGCTCCAGGATGCAATCCGTGATGGCGACCCAGTTAGAGCTGTGATACGCTCTAGTGCGGTCAACTCGAATGGCAAGGCTCCTGCTGTTGGCATCACTCACCCAAACCTGGATGGCCAAGAGGCTGTCATTAGACATGCTTACCGACGTGGAGGAGATTTAGATCCGATGCTTACCGGATATTTTGAGATTCACGGGACTGGAACAGTAAGTGTTTCATAACAAGAGAGCTCGCTTTCGTTAGTATATCTAACATGGTATTCCTTAGCCTATTGGCGATCCGTTAGAAGTCTGTGCCGTATCAAAGGCAATGAACGACGAACGAGCCTCTGATGGTAGCCCACTTCTAATTGGCGCCGTCAAAACAAATATCGGACATAGTGAGGCTGCGAGCGGCCTCTCCGCTGTTATCAAAGCTGTTCTCGCTGTTGAAAAAGGAATCATTCCGCCCACTAGAGGCTTCACTGCGCCCAATCCGGCGATTGATTGGGAAGGCTGGAACGTCAAAGTTGTTACAGAGCCGACGCCGTTTCCCGCACATCTTCCAGTAAAACGAGTCAGTGTGAACTCCTTCGGCTATGGAGGAACAAATGGACACGTTATTATCGAAGGCGCTGACTCGTTTCTGCCAAATTACCAACTTGCTCAACCGAAAACCAAGTCTCGAGGTACATTCGCGCGCAAAAGGCCTTATCTTTTGGTCTTCTCAGCCCACAATAAACCAACCCTGAACCGGAACATCGAAGTTCATGGAAAGGTAGCACAGAAATATAACATCCTGGACCTTGCTTTCACACTAGGAAACCGCCGATCCCACCTCCGGAGCCGTGCATATGTTGTTACAAGCGATGATAGACTGGCTTCAGATTTTCAAGATATAGCCAAGTCGTTTGCTTATGCGGAAAAGAAAAAAGCGCCATCAATTGGGTTTATATTCACCGGACAAGGAGCTCAATGGATTCGAATGGCAAACCAACTTATGGCCTATTACCCGAGTTTCCTAAGGACAATCAAAATCCTTGACAGAGTTCTGGGGAACCTTCCAGATGCGCCTGAATGGACTATTGAAGATGAGTTGGTGGCTGATGCCAGCACTTCCTGTGTTAACCAAGCCGAGTTTTCTCAACCGCTCTGCACTGCTGTCCAGATAGCGCTGGTAGACCTTCTTGCCTCCTGGGGAATTAAACCCACAGTCACGGTTGGCCATTCTTCCGGTGAGATCGCAGCTGCGTACACGGCAGGGAAGATCTCTAGGATGGAAGCTATTATCATTGCTTTTTACCGCGGGCAGGCCGTTCGAGATATCGATACTAGTGGTTCCATGCTGGCCGTTGGACTGGGTGCGGACGCGGTAAAGCCTTACATTGCAGAGATTCCGGGTGTGACCGTCGCTTGCCACAATTCTCCTGTGTCTGTGACACTAAGTGGCGATACTAGCGCTTTGGAAGTCGTTAGGGAGAAACTCGAAAAGGAAAACATCTTCGCAAGGACACTAAAGACGGGCGGGAAGGCGTATCATTCCAAACATATGGAGCCGGCCTCTGTCAACTACGTGAGGCTTATACAACGTGCGAAGAGCGCCTTGCCTTTCGACCCGCCCTCGCCTTTAGCAATTACGATGGTATCCTCGGTCACAGCAGCTCCTATTTCATCTGGCATGCAGATTGATGAACACTATTGGGCCGCCAACCTTGTCAGCCCAGTTATGTTTAGCCAAGCTGTGGAACAGGCATCTTCGCTTTCCGTCGATATGCTCATTGAAATCGGCCCTCATTCTGCCTTAGCTGGGCCTGTTAAACAAATCAGAGCCGAGCACAAGTTGGAAAATCTAGCATATCTCCCCACATTGGTTCGTGGCCAGGATTGTGCTACTCAGTTACTGAAGCTTGCCGGTGAATTATTCCTGCGTGATTATCCAGTCGACATGGACCGCGTGACCCTGATAGAGCAGCGACTCCCTGGAGGTAAAATTGATTTCAAGAGAGGATCAATCCTGGTAGACCTCCCTCCGTACCAATGGACGTATGGGCAAAAAGACCTTTTTGCCGAGCCTCGTCAATCTGCTGAGCACCGGACCCCTCAACATGCTCGCCACGATGTTTTAGGACGAAAACTGCCGGGAGGTTCTGAGTTAGAACCAATGTGGAGAAATGTCCTTCGTATCAACGATTTGCCATGGCTCAAGGATCACAGCCTTGGTGGCGATGTGGTGTTTCCAGCAGCCGCTTACTTCTCCATGGCAATGGAGGCCATAACACAGATCAATGAGACCAGTAACCCGCCCCAGGAAATAAACGGCTACACGCTTCGGGATGTCTCGATTAAGAGAGCTCTGATTGTTCCTGAAGACGATGATGGCGTTGAGACGATGTTCAGTATGCATCCCTCAATCCATGAAGAGGCAGGACCCCAAAGTACGTGGTGGGAGTTCAATGTATCGTCAATTTCTCAGAATGGTACCCAGAAAGATCATATGACTGGTACTATCAGCATCAACACTCGTTCACGAGGCCAAAAGCCAAAAGATGTCCCATTCCTGCCCCAGAAGGCAAGTGGAAAATCGTGGAACCAAGCATTGCGTGCTGTGGGGTTTGACTATGGTCCTACGTTCCAGGACATGGATCACATTCGTTTTGACGGCAAAACGTATGTTGCCTCGAGCAACACCGTCGTCAAGCAGGAATGTGGTAAAATGCAGGGTGAATCGCGCCACATCCTCCACCCGGCCACAGTTGATTCCTGCTTGCAACTCATCATAGTATCCATTTATGCAGGAAAAGCAAAGGACATGACGTGCGGCGCAGTACCACTCCAAGTTGATGAGGTTGCAATCTGGGTTCCAACTGGTGAACAACTGCAGAATCCTAATGCCACAGTTTACTCTTGGACCGATGAACGAGGTAATCGCTCCTTTAGAAGCGGAACTCAACTTGTCGCTAGCGACGGAAATCTCCTAATGGATATCACCAACATGCGATGTGTTTCATATGAAGCCGCGGTGCCTCAGAGAGCTCTGGATAGCCCGGTCCAGCAGCCATATATGGAAGTGGTCTGGAAACTTGATGTCGATAGCTTGGCTACCGAAAATCCCCGCAAGAATATAAGCGTTGCTCAGCTTGTTGACTTGGTTTTGCATAAAAAGCCTGGAGCAAAGATTCTGGACGTGAAAGGGCATAATGAGGCCTTGTTAGCGGAGCGAAAGGCTTGTCTTTGCTACAACGCCGGGTTAATATCTGATGAAGGCCACGGAAAATATGACCTGATTTTGGCTAACGGCGTTGATGCATCTCCTTCAACAGTTGATATGATTTTGGATCTCTTGGCTCCTGGAGGCCGCGCACTTTTGAAGAATGCGGAGACTGCCGGTGATATCAGCTCTTCCTATATCGCCTTGGAGGATGACTTGGCGATTGTGAAGCCTACGTCATTGCCTGAAGCTTGCTCAGATGTCCAACCAGCGCCGTCTTTCTTATTTGTGCATAGAAATACGCCTGCATCTCTTGTGTCTCCAATTATTGAGAGTTTTGCAGAACGCGGTTGGATGACGCGTTCAAGCCAGTTGTGCAATGTTGACATAAAAGAAGGGGAAAGAGTGGTACTTGTCGCGGAACTCGAAGGGCCATTGCTCTCCTCGCTTGACGAGCCTGAGCTCCGTGGGATTCAGCGCATCGTATCGACGGCTTCGTCCCTTCTCTGGCTTACACAGGGCGGACTTCTTTCTGCAAAACAGCCTGAATATGCCATGGCATCTGGATTAGCAAGATCTGTGATGAGCGAGAACGCTTCGCTGGACTTTGCAACCATGGATTTAGACCTAGAAACAGTTTCCGCTTCCACGGCCATTCGTTCGGTCACCGAAGCGGCACGTCGGCAAGTTGAGAATATACCAGACCGTGAAACAGAGTATTGCATTGCGCAGGAGAAGGTGTACATCAGCCGGCTTCTCCCCAATGACAAGCTCAATTCAATCTACTCAGTTGACGGATCCAAATTTGAAGAGGTACCATATGATAGTGGGAGAGCAGTTGCTGGTCGAGTTCAGTCAGGAAGAGTAATATTCGAACAGGATAAACGTCTCGAGGAGCCCTTGGAACCCAGCCAGATCGAAGTAAAGGTTGCTTTCAGTGGGCTTAATAGGGAAGGAGTTCTTGTTATCCAAGGACAGGATTATCCGACTGCTTTCAGTCATGAGGTATTCGGGACTGTAACCAAAGTTGGCGCACTGGTGACCCAATTTACCCCAGGCGATCAAGTTGTGGGGTTCAACTTCGACAAGTTTGCCTTAGTCCAAAGAGTTTCGCAGGACTTAGTCACGAAGTTTGAGACTCACGAAAACCCAGCCAATATTCTTGGTCTTTTGATGGGGTACGCCTCGGCGATCCACGGTTTGGAAGACCTGGCTCGGGTTGAACCCAACGAGAATGTATTGATCTTAGATGATACGGGTCCTGCTGGCGCGGCTGCAATCAGGATAAGTCAGCTTATGAGTGCTAACACCTTTGTGGCGGCTCAATCTGAAGCGGACGCCCAGAGAATAGTATCAGCATTTGGGTTGCCTGAAACACATGTCGTCTCCGGGTTTAGCGGCACGATGACACAGATAAATACAATATTTGGCCCCCGCGGCATCGATGTTCTCTTTTGCACTGGTTCGTCGCGCCAGCAAGTCGTTCGTGAATGCTGGCGGAGAATCTCCCCGTGCGGACGGGTGATTGTATGCGGGCGTAAAAGCGTACTGAAACGAAACGCCGTGGACATCGTCCCCTTGAACCATGGTGGTGCTACCTATTCCTCATTCGACGTTCTTGATCTATATCATCGCAAACCCGATATTTTGAGCCGGGCGCTGCGCATGACCGTCCAACTATACCGCGAAGGCTCTATTCCTGTAGTCAATTCCGTGGTTACAAAACACTTAACCGAGCTTGACGAAGCAGTTGCGAGGTTCTCTCTGAGAGTCTATTGCAAGATAGAACTCTCATCTCGCATGGAGCAAAAGATGCTATGCTCAAGATGGCTCCGACTCGTTTTACCCTTCGCTTTGACCCCGAAGCGACGTATTTCCTTGTTGGATGTCTCGGGGGCCTTGGTCGTTCCTTGACGTCTTGGATGATGGATAACGGAGCTCGGCGCTTTATTTTCTTATCCCGGTCAGGCACGGACTCTAAGAATGCAGGACTGTTGGTCAAAGAGATTGAAGCAAAGGGGGCAATTGTCCAAGTGGTGCGCGGTGATGCCAGCTCCAGGGAAGATGTTGAGAATGCCGTTAAAAGTGTCTCGGCCAGTTATCCTATTAAAGGAGTTGTGCAGGCAGCTGCAAGTTTTCAGGTTAGCTTCATTTCACGGTTTATTTTCAAATTTTCGAAAGCTAACTCAGTATCCAGGATGCAATGTTTAGCTCGATGACTTATGAGCAATGGGTTAATTCTATCAGGCCGAAGGTAATTGGGACGAAAAATCTGCATGAGGTTCTGGCAGGTGTCCCTCTAAACTTTTTTGTCATGACAAGCTCAACTTCAGGCACCCTCGGCACACCTGGACAAGCCAATTATGCTGCTGCGAATAGTTTCTTGGACGCCCTCGCTCGCCATCGCGTATCCAGTAACCAAAATGCCTGTAGCTTAATTCTTCCGATGGTGTTAGGTGTTGGATACGTCGCAGAGCACCCAGAGATCGAAGAAGGCCTTAGACGCAAAGGTATCTATGGCATCGACGAAGAGCATATGTTACAATCATTTGAGGCGGGAATTTCGCCCAGGGATAACAATAATCAAACAGACCATATCGTTATAGGCATGGACCCGGCTGAATTGCAAAAGTCACTCCAGAGTGCGGACACGACGGATGCCTTTTGGCTGCGAGACGCGCGGTTTAAGTGTCTTCTCCAAGCCATCCAATCCACCGACTCAGAAACCCACGCACCTAAACAGTCAATACTTAGCACAATCAAGGTAGCAAACTCACCAGCGGAGGCTATTGAAGTTGCAGCGGAATATTTCACCGACAAATTGGTCCGACTTCTCCACCTCGACCGGCAGGAAATCGAACCAAACACGAAGTCAATCGCTGCCTACGGGCTGGACAGCATGATTGGAGTGGAGCTTCGTAACTGGATCTTCAAAGAATTTGAACTTGATATCGCATTCCAGAAGCTGCTTGCACCAAGCCTGACGATCAAGAAGTTTGCAGCCCAGGTTTGTGGTGTCGAGGTTGAGTGAGGTTGAAACAAGCTTAAGTTAAGCTTGATTTTAAGGTCGCACGTGTTTGTGGCTAGGGCGCTGAATCCAGCCAGCCGGAGTTATTGAGCGGCCTGGACCGCATTTCTCGGACTTTTGTCAAATCTGCTGTTTTTTAGAAATAGTTATTATACGCAGTAGACTGATAGAAAATTAATTCGGACTTGGGAAATCGATTGAACAGCTTTTCTGTGAAAATTACTCCACGGAGCTCTTGACTATAAGCTGAAAGTAAAAAACCAATGGCTGATTATTGGTTTAAAAGAAATCAACATATAATGCAATATCTCAGTGGTACCAAAAATCTCTTATATCAAGGGAATGCATTCGCAACACTACAGTGACTAACATACTTAAACTACAATGCCCCGTTGTTCCTAGATAGTTTCATCGTTATCTCAGCTACCCAAAACTCAAAACACTATCTCTGCAACTCTTAACAACCTCATTGTCCTTTGACTTCTGCGTGTTCCCGGATTCTACTTTCCCGAATTGCAAGCGCAAATGAACCGGCCCCGCCTGGGCCAATGACCAACGTACCCAGGAAGAGGTAAGCCAACTCCCGCTTTTCTATCGCTGCCTTCGTTTTAGGGCCGAATTTTGCATCGTCCCCTCGCGTATTCGGGAGAAGAGCATGAACAAACACAATACATGATAGTGCAATGACAATCAAATCAAACTGGGTGAAGAGGTGGTACTGTTCCAAGAGTTCGACGTACTTGGTCGGAAGCCCAGAAAGAGTCGACGCCGGATTGGGGAACCAGGACGGGAAAAGATTAGCCCTGCCGGGGGACGGAATAAAGACCCGTGCAAATGTAGCATCCGATGATACAGTTCTCAAGGACGTTAGAACTGTGGCGATGTGTACGACGGAAGAAACTATGCCGGCGGTCACGTAGGATGCCACAATCCACGGTTTATCCGCGTCAGGATTTTTGGCATCCTTTTTGGACACTAACCCATGTCGCGGGAGTAGGATTATAACACCGGCGATAAAGATCAAGATTACGAGGATGGGCGAAACATGAAATATGGCAATAAAACCATGATGGCTCCATGTGCTATAGTTCAGCCAGACCGGAACGAAAAGGAGCAGCGGACATAATAGCGCCGGGATCGTTGTCATAAACAAAGATATTGCCTCGTTAAGCGGGATTGTAGGGTCTCGCGAAGTGGCCTTACTTTTAGCAATGCAATAAAAGTATGGAGGCTGTATAATGGCGGCACCGGTTGCGTTCCAAAGGATCATGATGGCCCCAGTACTACAAAAAATGTGAGCAAAGAACGAAAGTCGGACTGATAGATCTGATAACTTACTGTCTCAAGAAAAAGTTCCGCACACCGCGGCGCCGGCTCTCGATGAGGACCCATACATTTGTACATGCGACAATGTAGTTAACATCGAAAAAGAGCAGCCGTGGCCCGAAAGATAGGCCATTTGTGAGCATCTCATAAAAAGGCGGTGAGAAGGTGTCAAACGGTTATCCAGAAGCCAATTGCGCGTGTAAACAGTTCGGAGCACGCGGCCATCAGGGAGAAGGCCGCTCTCAAGGACAACGTCCAAGTTGTCAAACATGCCATTGAGAAACGCAACTCCCCATAGGAGAAAGAGACCCAATACACTAAGACCCAGAAGCTGATTTGGCGATATCTGACACATATTGATAAATGTCGATATTTAGGATGGAGCTCAAAAGGTTCTTCGAAATGGTTTGAAAACGATATGATGGACACGAGAGAAGAAAGCAAGCAGGATGGGAACGGGACAACACTTCAAAGATTCACTCCTCAATTGTTCTTGACCGCCTCAGCCGCAGATCGTCAAGTTCCGGCAGCCAACAAAGGGCGGTTTGATCATTGTTGTTGACAGATATCAGTCTCTGCAAGGTAACACGATGTGCAGAGTCACACAGCCTTGCATAAGAATCTGTACAACCAACGGCTGATCTCAGCCGTTGGCTGCATATTGATCGCGAATAAACTATGACAATGAATGGGAGGAACTCAAGATCGCCTACGGATATGCAAGTTTTCATCAAGTATCAGCCCCGCGCGGAAGCCCCCTCAGCTTGGAATGCAACGCGGCATTTCTTGTATAGGCATCCGAGGAGATGACTGCGTGCGCTGCGTCTTCGGGAACCCTGGGAACTCTAGGCTTGTTTTGGCGCAAGGGAGGCTCAAAATCGAGTTACCAGACAACGCGTTTGAATTAAAAACACTAGCGTATCGACACTCCAAATCCAGCTGATGCATGAACAGCATTTTTGAAGAAGTTCCACCATAGTGTTGATGAAAGGATCACAAAGGCTCCGAGAAAGAGAGGCAGAAACCGCTCCAACACGGAGGTATGTGCTCGCTCCTTTTCTGATGATAGAAATCGCTCTTTAAGAGAATCTTCTTTCCAGCCGTATATCCCAACTTTCTCGTCAAAAGGCACATAGTTGAGCTTAGCTCCACCAGCGCATAATTTAGCAACACTTTTGGATATCGAATCCAACCCGGCGATAGGCGTTATCCATCGTTGGATTACATAGTTCCACCAGCCATCATATGTTTGTAACCGAGTTACTTTTCCTCCCATTTTAACAATGGCTTTGGCTCGTGCAAGACGCGAATCCTGGTAGTATTGTAAAGCGTCGCGGATTTCCACATCGGAAGGCTTCTTGTTAGGATGTGAATTGACAAGAGCATGGATCATGTTTGCAATGCTCGCAACGCTTTCCATCGCCGTACAGCCACCCAAGGCTAAGGTAGGGGTAATCTAGAAAGGTGATTAGAGTGGATATTCGGAGAAGAATTAAGACCGTCTACCTTATGGATAGCGTCCCCTGTTAATACTATGCGACCAAAGAACCAGTGTTCAAGGACGCCCTCTTCCAAAGAAATCATTTGGCCTTTGGTCCGAGAGCGCCAAAGCTCTCCAAACAAAACGGATTCAGTGACGGGATAATCCGCAAGTTTAGTGGCAAGAGCTTCCATGTCAGCCTCAGTGAATCTCGCACGGTTCGGCCAGCGGCACTGCTTTTCTTCCGGTAACTTGTAATGGGCAATAAATGTAATGAATTCTGGTTGGCACAACAGGAGAAAAGAAAATTTATCGTTCGAAGTGATTTCCATATCATGCTTGCTTAGACCAGGTATGGGAGGGCACATTGCGATAAGTGCGCCGTAGGTAGTCGTCATAGCTACGAAGTAGCACGAGTAAGTAATTATCCTCGTTAGTCATACAAGCCAGGGTAAGCTCTCTTACAGCGTTTTTCGGTGGCCGAAATGAGACCCGGTACGATGCTATTGGCTCGATGCCACATAAGTTCTCGTACTTTGCTGTGAACGCCATCGGCTCCGACAACCAGGTCGCCCGCAACTTGAGTTCCGTCTGCGAGCAATACTCGAACAATTCCGTCCTCTTCGGTGATGCTTTCGACTCGAGACCTTTCCAAGACTTTGGATTTATCACGTAGCTGGTCATGAAGGGTTGTTAGGAACACCCTTCTATCTAGAGTCCGAGTATCGTAACCGGTACTAAAGCTTTTAGTCTCTCGGGATAGTGCCTCGGTTCCAGGGAGCATACTATCGTTTGACTGTGTCGAAGAAACGGCTGTGTGCAAAGGCTCGTCCGCTGGATGTGCGGCAGGAACATCCTCCCATTGTGGAGCACTTGGCCACAATCGCATCCAAGCATCCAAGTTGATGGAGAATTCTGCAGGCGTGCGGCTGTAACGTGATCGTTGTGCCGAAAGGGGGCCCAACGATGCCTTTTTCCAGGACGACATAGTCAATACCGGCCTTCTCAAGGCAATGGGCAAGTGTCAAGCCAGCCACTCCGGCTCCAACAACGATGACCCTAAAGGGAGCTTCTGTCATTGGGTCACGGCTGCCCATTTTGCATGAATTCTGTAAATTTTAAAAAGGGTAAGAAAAGAAGCGGCGGGAAAGACATATATAATGCGATGTCCTCTAGGGCTCGGAGAATACCATCCATTCTTTGGCCTTTTCTGCCACCAACGAAGGAGCTGAGGCGATTAACCGTAGCCACGTAGAAAACTTATGCCATGTAGCACAAGGAGAGAAAGGAACGTATGAAGCATAAAGGCGTAAATAGATCTGGCCAGCTGGGCGGGGTACGGAGCAACCGGATCAAATTCCAGTTCTTTCTGTTCGATTGCCTGAAATGCGGCTGATCTTGCGGCCTTCTTTCAGGCTCGACAGCCGCAGGGCATGCATAATCTATAGTACAAAGCGGGACATCGGACATTGGTTTCGGAAGTGTGTTGGGCTTCAAATCGGAATTGCGGTTGGAAGTCAGTCACCACACTGGGCCGTGGCTGGCATGGAAACGCTGCAGCTCCGCTTCTCATTCAGCCTAGAGGTGCCTGAGCTAAGTTCCAGATGCACATCTCTCAGCCCGGCTCTGCCAGTGATGATCCATCACTGCGCTAGAGGATACGTGCTCATCGGCCGGAACTTTGCTGCCGTTGACGTTGCAAAACCGACTGTTGCTCATCCGATTTCCGCTCCTAGCACAGTTCGTCTTTGGTTTGACACAGGGCGTACCTTTTAGCAGCCCCTGTTAAAGATATATCAGTAGAACCAGCCTCATCCGCGCAACGATATTCCACGTCGTGCTGGCTGCTCGCTGTTTCTCGCTGCTGGTCGTCGTTTTTGGCCGAAAGCGGGTTGGTCATGTGACTGGTTTGCTCTGTTTGCAGGGTAATCCTTGGCAATATTATATAAGCAAGTATATGGTGTACCAGAGGGCGTAAAGCGTTGCTGACATAATATATCGCATCCCGAATTGCTTTCTTTTGGCGAGTTGAACGAGGGACTCAAAGCAACAAGCAAGAGGCTTCGCATTCACGGCAATACATCCTAACCTGAGGATGGGAATTTCCTGTTCTTCCCCGACCTTCCCACCGCAGAACCTTAAGGCATGCGTGCTCACAGTTTGTGCTGCCAAACCCAGGAAGTAATGCCTTTGATATCTCTGCCCAAGACACCCCGACGCCCTTCTTTTGCAGCACCGCCTTGATCCCCAGGACACGCCTGCAAAATGTCTGCGCCCGACCTACACAACTGCTTCTTACGACCGCCCATAATTCAAATCCTTCGTGCCGCTGGCTTTCACTCCGCTCGCCCCGCAGTGATCGACACCTTGACTGACCTTGCCGCACGATACCTCCTCCTCCTCGCCTCATCCACCGTTGACCATGCGCTCAACAGCCACGCTGAAGATCCTATTCCGACCCTCGATGACATCCTCATGACATTCAACGATGTCGGCGCTCTACGGCCTCAGAAAACTCCGCTGGAAGAAGACCTCGAGGGCGAAGACATGAGAGGGCTGGAGCTGTTTCTGGCTTGGTTCAGTGGGCCTGCGAACACGGAGATTAGACGGATTGCCGGGTGCATTCCTAGTGAGGGCGATGTCGTTGATGTGGAGGACATGGGAAAGGAAGACTATTTGTCCGGTTGGTTTTACTCTACCTTGGCGTCACTGTTGAGCTGTCGCTGACCTGAGCTTCATCTGCTATTCTACAGCGCTGAAGAAGAAACACAGCAAGACCGGAGAAGAATCGCGGTTTCAAGGAACCGTCCTTGGGAAGGATGTGGAGGACCGACCCGTCGTCATTGAGGGAGGAATCGAATCGATAAAGGCATGGGGAACACAGGTCAGGTCGAGAGAACAGACCGCGGAGCCGGCATCTACCACCATGAGTAGCATGTCGAGAAGTATGTCGCCGCCGGGGGATATGGAGATCTAGCATGGGGCCGTCGCTGGCGAATTCCCAGCTTTTGGCCCCGGCATTTCAGCTCCGGCCAAAGTAGCCGGTCGATGAATATGATTTATGGCTATCTATCATCGCTTTAACGCAATCTCAAATCCAAAAGATGAAAATACAATAAGCAATCAATTCTCAGTAGTCATCTGTTAATCTTGTGCAATCCGTTGTGACATCACCACCCTGCAGCACTGCGTGTCTCACCATCTTCGCCGTTGCCTTCTTGCGAGAATGGCATCATGATATTCGTCCATTGTACGGAGTACACCTGACCAGAGCCAGAGTGAGCGCCAATAAAGACAGGAACCCATTCGCAGCGATGGTATTCTCGTTCTCTCTCCCCACCACCTCGCACCTCTCCTTCCAGTCCTACCTCACCTCGCCCACCCACCCCTCGCTCCCCTCCTCCGCCTCAACAGCCCGCCACGCCCTCCGCCTCGCCTTGAAGAAGCACAAGGCCCTGCTCCCTGCGCAACGCCCAGCCCACCTTCCCTCCATCCTCACCGCACTGCACGAATACCTCCCCTACCTCTTCGCGCTCTCGCAAGGCCTCAGCTCCAACCCGGGCCCTGAACATGAAGACATCGACGTCATCCTCCGCACCGAGATCGAGGTGGCATGGCGCGCTACGCTAAGTGCACCCGCGTCTGCGCTACATGTGCTACATCGCGCGGCACAAGGCGCGCGGCTGAAGGGCTGCGGGCTGGATTTCGAAATCGCCTTCGTCCTGTTCACCCTGGGCTACGTCCTGTCACTGCGGGCGCGGACCCGGGTGCTCAACACAGTCTACGCCAGCGCCACGCCGACGGTGGAACAAAAGACCGCCGCGGCGCAAGCGGCCATGAAGGACCTCCTCGCCGCGAGCAGCGTGCATACGTACCTGGCTTCTGCGGGCCTGGGCGCGATGACCAGCGAAGCGGGCCACGGGCCGAGTTCTGCTCCGGTGCCAGATATGGATCCGTCGACGCAGTCTGCTCTGGCCTCCCTGGCGATGGCGGAGGCGACTCTGCTGGCGGTGCTGAAGGATGACGCTTACCTGTCCGCGTGCATCCAGGCGCGGAACAAGGATGATACGGAGTGGATGATCAAGGCGCCGGATATCCCCAAGGTCCGGGCGTTGCTGTTTGCTCGGCTCTGTGTGCGCGCGGCGGAGTATTCGGAGCAGGCTGCTGCGAGTGCTGGTGCGGTGAAGAGCGGTGGCTCGAGCTCACCGGACTCGAGTGGGGCTGAGAGGAGGAAGCTTGATGAGAATCTGGTCAACTACATGCGCGTGTTGGCGAGAGTTGGGAGGGCCAAGGCGTGCCGGTTCTTGGGCATTGATGCTGAAATGGCTGGGAAGGTTGGGGAGGGGATTGCGTGGTTGCGGGCTGGAAAATCGATATTGGGATTCAAGGGATCCTTGGAAGGTGATGAGGAGAAATCTGGGTCGAAGGTTACAGGGAGAATGGGGTTTTCAAAGCTGAAACGCCAGTGGAGCGAACGGAGAGAGGAGAAAAGGCTTGAAGAGAGTGCGTCGGGAAAGAAAGGTGAGCAGGCGGCGGGATTGGATTGGGGCGATGACGCGGGCAGAGAAGAGGAAGGCAGAGTCATTGAGATGCTGGAGGCAAAATGGATGAAAATGAATGACACTGTATGCACGGTTCCATGACATGCAAAATATTGTCCTCGGGAAGCCCATTGTTGCTGACCATTATAGGTCAATACTCAAGCCATACCGTCATCTGCGGCTTATTTGTCGAGACTACCCTCCGGGAGGGACATTCATCCTCCCCCAGGTCCTTATGTCCCTCCTCACTTGGATGCGGATCATCTCGCCCGCATGCGCGCCCCCCCAGAAAGCCCTGGATTTGCAGATGTTGGTGACAGTAGCGAGGAGGAAGTGGGAGAAACACATTCTGAACGCCGTGGTGGGTATTTTTAAGGGAGACCGGATCTCGATTTCTCCTGGCGATGACTAGAGGCGCTCCATACCGTTACTAAATAGTTCCTCGTGTCGAGCACTCTTTATATATGGTATCCGAGGAAAACGTTCATTTATCAAGTCAAAGAGGAAAAGATGCCTTGACCCATTTTAACTTTATATACAAGTAACAACAGAAATCCGACATGGCACAGTCAGCGAATAATCCCGGATGCAAACGATGTCATCCGGGGACAAGCTAGACGATCCTCGTGGTGTATCCATGGGCGGAGCAGGCTTGGAGCGTATCGTCACGCGTATCATCCGCCGGGGAGGCAACACAATGGATTCATCTCTATTCATAGGTGACCTCGTATCTCCCTCCTCTAGTACAATACAGAGCCCCGTAGTTCCGCAATCGATCACGACGACTTCTCTCCCTCCTTTGAAAAGTAGTTCTTCTCCTCGAACAGATAACCCTTGATCTTGCGTTCGTTGATCAATTCAAAGTACTTATCTGTTTTGGACTCGAAAGTTAGCCGAAAAAAGAGTCTGGCAACCTTGGCTCCCCCGAATGAAAAGCAATCAGGCCCCCAAAGCACGAAGGGAGAGGGAAAATATACCTCTCAACTTGCCGCACTTCTCCAGATGGTTCACGCCCTCCCTCCGATAACACTTGCCCAATTCCTCACCGACCAATCTGGCCATCATGCTGCGGACCCATTGCTCGCGGATGATAGCGTCACGGGCGTTGTGAAGGGCCTCTGTGTCTTCAAAGTTCACCCCATCGTATGTTGGTGGTACCTTGGGCTTTTTGGCGAGGAAGGCGGCCGATTCGGGGGTGGGCATTGTTGCGGCGGAGGTTTGCAGCGGGATTGGGGTTCGAGGGGCAGGCAGTAAAGAGCGCAAGCCAATTGCGCTGGAGGCCGGGGTGCAACTGATCTCGTCTTTGCGGTCGGATGGTGAGATCAACTGAGGCTTCGAATAATAATACAATCGTAGTGTTGAGGTTCAATCCGAGCAAGTTGGCGACAACGATTGCTGATTGGCTGCAAATGTGCTGTCTCTGATTGGATGATAAAGTCATTACGTGATTCATTACTAAGCAGTGTCTATTACATAATCGGCTTAAAGCGGCAGGTCGGCAGCAGTCTAAGTGGGCTGTAATGGGCGTCGACAGAGTAAAAGAAGAACCATTTCACGGAAAATGCCTTGGGATTGGGAATCCTCTTGGCCAGAGACTCAGAGAGCGACGAGAAAGTCGATGATGACAAGAGGATCGTGGAAACGAGGCTGGCAGTGGCAAACTTTCGGGGGTGTCGGCAAATAACAGCCGTGTTTCGGGACGGGAGTGCCTGGGGGGAGTTGCTGATAGGCGCGGTTCTAAGAGAAGGTTCGAAAATAGCATGCAATGGAGGACAATAACAGTCACAGCAAACAGTGCTGATGGAGGGACAGGTGACGAACAGCAGCATACACATCAAAGGGTGGTCAAGGGCCAGTTTGTCGGTGCAGCTGGTGATTTCACTACTCCATCGCCGCCCATGGTTCGCGGTGGAATGGACAATAAAGCAATCTGCTATTTCGGGCAGCGGTTTCCAGCGAAATCTGTCTTACGCCCGGTCCGCTTTCTCTCCACTTCTGCTACAGCCAAGAGCAAAGCAGAACAAGCAGACGTTCCCCTGCAGCTCAGCATGAAAAGAGCGGCCTTTTCCTTTGAAGCTGGCGGCAGCCTGACTGGCGGATCTGGCGATTGTGTCTGTCGAATTTTTAAGCCGCGTTGGGCTGCGCGGCTCAGTCACCAGTGGAATAATTAGTGGAACGAGAGGTTGGAGACCGCGCAAATTGTGAAATTCGAGATCGTCATCCAGAGATGGGTCCCGGCACAGAGGCTGCTCGGATTGTATTCTCTGGAATGCCACTACGCCGTGGTTCTCTAGCTATCTGCCTCGTGAAAAGCAGGCCGTCCTGCTGCGTTCTGAAACCTCCGGATTCCAGCATCCAGCGCTTGTTGCACAGGAGCGGGAGATGCAGGCTTGACGGATTGCGATCTGGCCTTCAACACGGTCGAGAAGCGTCGAGATTGAGTTCAAGACCTTCGCTAACTTTCACGGAGAGATAATAGTCAATTCGTTAGTGTAGCGGAATTCCAATTGTTTTTTTAGCAAACTGGCTCTTCCAGGGTCAACCGTGCGTTGAAGCCGTGCCAGCAGTAGAGATTCTTGCTCTCATCTTCATCTCCATCGCTCTGTGCGTCGCCGGCAAAGGGGCGGCTTGGAATTGAACTCGGTCTTCTATATTAATACTATTTAACTGGCGTCAGCACGCTAACCAAGGCCTTAATCAAGCCAATTATTGAGAAATTTGATTGTTTTTTTTCAACAGACCGGCCGTCAAGCCCCATCCATCCCTTCGACCGCCTCCATCATTCCTCGACAGCATCCTGCAATCACCGTCGTCGTCCGTGGAGCTTCGTGCAGTCGGGTCTTGTGGTGACATCCCACTGTTGTCTTTCGTTGAGTCCCAAGATCCTGATCCCAGTCGATAACAGCATCTTCCGTGCTTGATGTTTGTCTAATAAAAGGTACGTGCAAGATTGCGTCTAGGGGAAACCCCGTACTTTTTTTCATTGCTCTGGAACGATACACAACAGCAACAAGACCGCATGACTGAAGATGAACACAACGCCAGCGCCTTCAGAGTGAACACGCAAGGCTAACCACGTGTGTTGGCACACAGCTTCGAGCAACATAATCGCCCTGTTCCCGCTGCCATCGCTCGTTTCCGCTGAGGCGTTGCGAGGCAGAGACTCGAGACGACACCAGGACGGGTTTCCTCCACGAACATCGCTCGCCCTTTCCATCCCGCCCCGTTGGCGCTGAGTGCGTGCAAACGATCGGATCTCCCTTTTCGCCCGTATCCCTGTTCAAGGGAACCCTTTCATCCTGGCGACCACTTCGTCCAGAGACCACACGACCCCGGGCTCGCACCACCGGCGACGTTCCTCTGCCGTCGTCCCTCCGCTAAATCTACGCCAGTCCAGCCCTGCCAACCACGCTGTCGACGACTCCTCTTCCCTCCACGCCTCCTCCGCCGCCCATCACACCCTCTCCGCCATCCCAGGCACCCCATCGGCGACGGGGCCTTCGCCCATGTCGCTATCGCGATCTCCCTCTCCGAGACCCGGCGGAGGATGGTCGAGCCCCGGTTTGACCACCGGGACCGGAAGCAGTGGCACTTCGACTCCTCGGAAAGGTTATGGGGAACTACAGGCAGGCGGTGGGCCGTTTAGCAAAGGAATCGGCGCAACTGGGCCGAGCGGAGTGTCGTGGGCAGCCGCCAAAGCCAAGAGTGACCAGGTCAAAGGCTACCCTTCGTTCTCAACGCGAAACAATGGCTTTTTCTCGAGGCAACGGCGGAAAATTTCTGCGAGTTTACCACGGTTCCGGATGGGCTCGGTCTATGGCGAGAAAGAGAAGCTAGGGCGCGGACGTTGGAGTCCCAATGGCGGATCGTTTCTGAGCCGTTTAAAAACTCTACTGTGGAATTTGCTACGACGCAAGCGGGTGCAACTGTTGCTGTTTTTGATTTTGTTTTTTGTTTTATGGCTGATATTATCTCAACGTAAGTCGGGTCCTTTGCTCCCCCCCCTTTTTCCAGCTACTGCATGATGAGTCTAATGGAGAGAACCCCCGGTTTAGCTATCCATGAAGCGTACCGCAGGTCCTCCCTTGGCGGAGGTAAGAAGATCGTCCTCATCGTCGCATCGAATATTGGGGGAGGGGTAATGGAATGGAAAGGCGCCCGCGAATGGGCCATTGAACGGGATAGTCTACGCAATAAAAGACGATACGTCAAGCGATGGGGCTATGATCTGGAAATCGTCAACATGGTGACGAAGAAACGATATGCGCACGAATGGCGTGAAAGCTGGGAGAAAGTCGACACGATCCGCTCAGCTCTGCGAAAATATCCAAAGGCGGAATGGTAACTCTTCCCTCTACATGTTTTGCGTGTTGACCAGGCCGGCTTGCTGACAGGGTTTGGGTGCAGGTTTTGGTGGCTGGATCTTCACACTTTTATCATGGAACCGTCGTTGTCCGTTGAGAATCACATACTTCATAATCTCGGCAAAAAGACCTACCGCAACATCAATACCTACAACCCCTTGAACATCACCCACCCGCCCTCTCTCTTCTACCTCGATCCTAATTCCCTCGCGCCCGAAGGCGATGGCGAAGAATCGTCGATCAACATGATCATACCGCAGGACTGTGCCGGTTTCAACCTGGGCTCGTTCATGGTGCGCCGCAGCGCCTGGACGGATCGTCTCCTCGATATTTGGTGGGATCCCGTTCTTTACGAGCAAAAGCACATGGAATGGGAGCACAAGGAGCAGGACAGTCTAGAACACCTGTACACCCACCAGCCGTGGATCCGGCCGCACGTTGCGTTTGTCCCACAGCGGCGGATGAACTCGTTCCCGCCAGGCGCCTGTGGTGACGGGACCAACCTGGGCATCCACTACCAGGAGAAAACCCGCGACTTCCTAGTCAATATGGCGGGCTGTGAATGGGGGCGGGACTGCTGGAGAGAGATGTATCACTACCGGCAGCTGAGTAACCGGTTGAACAGGAATCCGTGGGAGAAGTTCAAGGATGGGGTTTCCGACCGATGGAAGAAGACGTTTGGGAGGAAGAAGGAGAAGGAGAAGGAAAAGAAGAAGACGTAATGAAGCAAGACAAATAATGATTCTCCTGTTACTCATCCTCTGACGCTACCTTTTATATTCATGGGCATCCTGTGGGGTCGATGGCTGCTTTTTGTGCTTCCGTATCGTCCTGTCTTTTTTTTCCTTTTTCGATTCTTTATTCAGCAGGGATCCTGTTCTAAGATGACTCTTTTTCCCTGGGTATATTCCCGTCTCCTTTTCCTCTTCCGCCCACATGCTTCCTTTTGTGTCTCTTCAGTTTGGTATGACATCTCTAGACCATTTGGGGAATCTGTGCCACTTCGACCAGTCGGGTTTTGGCTGCCTTGTGGATTGCAATGCGTTTACCGGCGTTGGGCATACATGCGACGGGTGTATATATATGTATCGTGCTCTGTTATACTAGTCACCAGAAGACACCCAACACGGAGTGCTCGATGTGCGCCAGATGGGCCGTGCCTTGGGATAGAGAGTGTGGTGTCTTTCTCAGAGCCGGGCATGTATTTTGTATTTCTGCTGGACGAACGATGTCTATAAAACTGCCAGTCAGTCAGTCAACCAGCGCATGTCCACTTCAACTGTCGCACTGGTATAACCCACTGCTCTCGTCCTCACGCATCACCAGCCAAGGACAGCAAGGTCAGCGTTGCGCACAGGCTGATGACATGAATCTAGCAGAGTGTGACATTGTGCTTCTGTTTCGGCTACCGGCGGTTTCTCCAGCGCCCAACGCTCCACAGCTCTCTTCCCCAGCCGACCTCTTGGGGCTCCACGGCCCTTGCTGGGTTCAAGCAACGCCCTTGCTACACTGCTGCAGCTAGCTTGGGTGCTCTCTTGCTCGTGACTGGATGAAACGTCGTATCTTCGCCCTTTTCCTTCGCCAAGTGCCTGCGCGCAGGGGGCTTCCCGGCAGCAGTCTCTGAGGCGATCACGGCTTTGCTTCCAGAAGACGGCCGGGGTGCAGGGCGACAGTTCGAGCTTGGCCCTTTGTGTTTTCCGTCCAGAGTGCTCTCCGATGACTTTCCCGTCCGCTGGCGGCTGATCGTCTCTTTGTCTTGCCCAATAGACCGGTGTTGAGAGCCAATATTTCCCTCTGGCTCTGTCGTTGGGTTGCATGGCGGCAATCCGGAGATGCTCTCCAACTGCTCAGCATCGAAAACATGTCGCCCGTGAGTGGCTCTGAATGGTGCGATTGTGGTGATCAGTGTGCTATCTCATCGGATATTTTGAACCTCCCTGGTCTCCAAACCCACTCCTCCCAGGTTCCTCCGCAAGTTTGCCTCCCCCGGCTTATCTGGGCTACCAGGTTGTTCACGCTGGCAACTCGACAATGGGTTACAACGGCGAGCCCACTCCCTGCTACGACCTGACGGTGGGCCAACAACCCGGTCCCTTTTCCCTCAACTTGCTTTCCATCCGAACGCCCTTTGCGAGCCGCCATGCGAGGTATATAGCGACCGGGCCCCCGTCAAGAGTTAGCCTCGAAGACCGATCCCGAAATTTCGCTCCCAATCTCGCGGTAGTGACAGAGAACATCCTGCGTTTTGCGGCCGCATAACGCATATTTTGGCTGTGAAAAATGTCGGAAATGAACCAAGGGGCTACAGAGTGAGTATTGCGTTGTCTACGTCAAACTGGCTGTCTCGACGAGGAGATAGAGAGGGCTGACTCCGTGCCTGCAGCCCTGGACATCAAGTGGTCGACATGGAGAAGACCGAAGTTGTCATTCACCGGGACTCCGACTCGGATGACCCAAAAGCCATCACCCCCGATGGCGAAGAGCCAACTGAATACGAAAAAGCTACATTGAGGCACGTCAGTGACCCCCTCAGTATCTCCGTCTGGCTTGTCGCCATCGTCGAATTCTGCGAGCGGTTCACATACTACGGGTTGAGTGCGCTCCTCCAGAACTATGTCCAAAGACCTTTGGACGGCAGTGAGGGTCGAGGCGCACTGGGTACGTCCCCTTCTCAACGGGCATACTTTGTGTATACTAATTCACCGCAGGACTTGGCCACAGAGGAGCAACTGGTCTGACGACCTTTTTCCAATTCTGGTGCTATGGTAAGTACCAATGCTGAAGAATTATAGCGAAAGAAATCGACTAAGGACAATACAGTCACCCCGCTCGTCGGAGCTATCATTGCCGATCAGTATCTCGGAAAGTACAAGACAATCGTCTTGTTCTGTATCACTTATGCGGTTGGCTTGTTGGTCTTGCTGTTCACATCCCTCCCTATCGCGCTGCGAAATGGAGCCGGCCTCGGTGGTTTCATCGTCGCTGTGGTTGTGATCGGTCTTGGAACTGGTGGTATCAAGTCGAACGTCTCCCCTCTCATCGCCGACCAGTACACTCGGCGAAGGATGGCCATCTCGACAACAAAGGAGGGCGAGCGCGTGATTATCGATCCGGCCGTCACCATCCAGCGTATTTACATGGTGTTCTACTGCTGTATCAACTTTGGATGTCTAGCCACAATCCCCACCCCATTCATGGAGAGGGATGTCGGTTTCTGGTCTGCATACCTGATGTGCACAGTGGTCTTCTTCATCGGAACTGGAGTTTTGATCGCCGGTCGCAAACGATACATCGTCAAGCCGCCGAATGGTACCATCATCACCGATGCGTTCAAGGCTATCTGGATGATGGTCAAGGCTCGCAACATGGATGCCCCGAAACCGAGTTACCAGGCTGAGCATGGCGGAACCAGTGTCGCCTGGAACGACCATTTCGTGGAGGAAGTGAAGCGCTCCCTCGTTGCCTGCAAGGTCTTCACTTTCTTCCCCATCTTCTGGGTTGTGTACGGACAGTTCTCGTCCAATTTCGTCAGTCAAGGTACAATGCTTCTCCCTCACTCGCTTCTCTTCTAATCCCAAATGAGATCATCTTGCTAACACAGCACCGTCTTTTCAGCCGGTCAAATGGCGGGTCACGGCATTCCCAACAACCTCATGCAGGCTTTCGACCCCATCTCCATCATCGTCGCCATCCCGATCCTTGACCGCTTTGTATACCCCTTCCTCCGCAAACGCCGCATCCAGTTCCTCCCCATCACCCGTATCACCGTCGGCTTCCTCGTTGCCTCCCTCGCCATGATGTACGCTGCGATCGTCCAGCACCTAATCTACACTGCCCCGCCCTGCTACAACATGCCGCTCTGCGAGGCATCCATTGTCGATGGCGTCAAGCAAGGGAACAATGTGCACATCGCCATCCAAGCCCCGGCCTACATGTTCATCGGTCTTGCCGAGGTTTTCCTCAGCGTGACTGGTCTCGAATATGCGTACATGAAGGCCCCCGAGAGCTTGAAGAGTTTCGTCTCACGCTTGTTCCTGCTGACCAACGCTTTCGGTGCTGCCCTTGGTTTGGCCCTTACCCCCGTGGCGTATGACCCAGCTATCATCTGGATGTTCGTCGGACTGTGCGGTGCCGCTGTGGTCACTGCCGGTATCTTCTGGTTCTTGTTCCGTGGATTGAACAAGGAGGAAGACAAGATGAATTCCTTGGACAAGAACTACACTGGGGAAGAGAGTTCATGATTTCTGAAATATATTTTTCTTATTTAACGTGCTAAAAGGTGGAATGATTATTTTATCATGGTAACAGGACAAGATACCCCCAGCTTGATTTGTTTGTAGGTACCGCGTCTTCGTTGGGTTTTTCAACGCCTCAGAGATCGCTAGTATCACAATCAATTATATACAATTAACAGCGACATTTGCTTTCCAAGCATAATTATCCTATGTACACATCTGGCTCAGGCAATACAGTACGAATCGTAGAAGGGAACCGACCATATAGCCCAATAAACCTAGCTGTTTCAACAGAGCGAGCCAAAAATGAGAAGATACATCACCACTTTCCACCCCATGGGGTCAATGTCCTTGCAGCAAGGAATATTGCTTTGCTAGTCTTGTCAACCCATTCCTGTGCGAGTTTCTGGTTCGCACCAAACTGAATGGCCTCTGTGACACCTGGGAAAGTAGTCGGCGCATATCTATTCAAATGGGTTAGCACCGAATTGCGATATAACCGGGCAGCGAAAAGGCATCTGGTAAAAAAGGTTCTGGAAAAAGGAAAAAAAAAAAAACCATACAAAGCAACGTACCCTGTATCTTGACCAGGAGCATAGATGACATGTTTATAAAACTCTCTATCGGGCAAACCACCCTGGCTCACAAATGCTCGCTCAAGATCTCTCTGTTTGTGATTCACAAGGTCCATCAGACGCTTGTCGTGGGTGAATTTTGCCACTTTCTTGGTTGCTGTCAGCAGCTTCGCCGCTGTTGTCAATGCCTGGATCGAATGTTCAAGTTTGGACAAGTCAAGCTGGACGTTCGATTCCCTCGCGAGGGCCTTGAGGTTGTCAAGGTAGATGTTTAATTGTTTCGGGTAATTGTTGACATCGAAAGGAACCAGCTCGTCGGTCGCCAGGTGATACGCCATCATGCCCATAAATTGACCGATTGCAACGTGGGTTTTGAACCCAGGGTCGCCAAAGTTGGCCATCCAGTGGTACGAGTCGTAATTGGAATGGTAATGATAGACGGGGTCGCTATCACCCTCGTACGCGCCGAGATCAGCCTGTGAAATAAATACCTTTTAGTAAATATTCGCTAATGCATGCAGTATTTTGTGATGAACCTACTGCAGGAATGCCATTATGGACAAAAGCCGTGTAGTCAGAGCCGCTTCCAAGCACGCCAATCCGTCCACTAGTTGAGTTCCAAATATCAAATAACGTGGTATCCTTGGACCCTTTGACGGAATAGCGGATCTTCTTCATAGATTCTATTCCAAGTTGGTGGAGTTGCGGAGTGGCATCGAAGGATGGAATGGGACCAGACACGGCAATGTCAACATTGAGATATGCCACTGTGGCGGCTTTCAACCAGGGAAGCTGTTTAACAAGTATTAATGCGCGACGTACTGGAGTCAAAGGAAAAGAGCTACTTACGTATTCTTCGACCCATTCTACTGATCCTAGAAGCCCGTATTCTTCACCGTCCCAGGAACACATGACGCTAAATGGTATCAGAAACAGCATTTTAGTCGTTTGCAAAGAATAGACTTACATCGTGCGCTTAGGCTTCCATCCGGTCTTTTTCAACTCATTAAAGGCCTTTGCCAATTCAATCATGACTGCTGATCCAGAATTGGGGTCTGCAGCACCACCGACTATCCACGCGTCACGATGGTTGCCAATAACAATAACTTCGTCTGGGCTTGTTCCATTGATAATCCCCACTGCGTTCCAGATGGGCGTGATGGTTTCACGCATGGAGTTTTTCAAGGAGAGTTTCGTCCCTAGAGCCGGTCCAGTCGAATAGGTAACATTGAGCCCGCCAACCCACCGGGTGCGGTTGACCTCCTTGCCGGGAATGCCATGGCCGTCCAGAGCAGCGAGGATTGGAACGGCTTCTTTCCATGAGATGGGGAGGGATGGGATCTTAGGCACTGCATCGGTCGTGTCTTTGCGGGGAGCGTCTGCTTTCGACGGATAACCTGGAGTAGTGGGATCACCTGGGAAGTATGACAGGAATTGGACGGATCCTCGTTGTACGGATGTTGGATTTCGTGCTGGACCATGAGGATAAGCAGCATAACCGTTCGCCTCCGTCACTTCTCCATCATCGCCGGGATCAGTGAAGATGACGCAGCCGATCATCTCATAGTCCTGAGCATTCTTCACCTTGACTCCTCTGTAAACTAGATTAGACGAGTGCTCAGTGGGCCCAAGACGATCGATTGATAAAACTCACCGGAAAGGGCCGCCATATCGAGCAAGCGCAATCTTCCCTTTGAGGTCAACTCCTAATTCTACGAGGCGGTCAAAATCACCCTTCTGTCCGCGGCCAACATAGACATATTCCGCCGTAACATCTCCCGTGGCGGAATATCCGTGGAAAACTGGAATGCGGTTGGGATAGCTTGACGTATCGTCCTCCGGCAACACGTCCTCCTCCAAGCTCGCCTTCCACTTGGTCCCGTTCGCATACGAAAGTGACAGGGCTTGTGACTCCGGGTAGTTGATGAAAACCGAGTACGGCACGACTGAGGACGTCAAGCCATATTCAGCCCACCTGTCAGCGGTCCATTGGGCCATGGTGCGGTTTTTACCCGCCAGATGGGCTCCATGGGTGTAATAATACGACCAATCGCTAATGGAGGCATTGTTGAAGCTGTTGATCAGGACCGATTCTTGCTTCGTCAGACGAGGAGGATACTGTGGTCTGTCGCGTTTCACAAGGAGCGGATCACCGGGGTCGAAGGATCTTCGAAGGCGGTGGTCCTTCCCACATCCTTCCACCGCAAGAGGCAGCCAAAGGGCAAATAGTGAAAGTGCCTGGATATGCATGCTGGTGCTGTATTAAGTCGCAGTGGCAGAGATGGGAAACGAGGCCAGAGACGACAGAAAAGCCGGCCGGGAGCTCGTGTTCCTTTATTCTGTGATCTCATCCGCGGTCGATCCCCACGCGAGGGAGCTCACCTCGGGGTTCAGGCCCAGTCGCAATGTCCCGGAGGGACACTGCTGGGACATCGTCCAGCGGAGGCAGCCCCGACGTCGTTCGGGCTGCGGCGTCCTGTCAAACAGCAAGCATTCCGGGCTGTCATGATGATGATTGGAAGCGAAGGCTGTAATTTCCCCGCATCTCGTTTCCCAAGATCAAGCGAGCGGAATGCTTGATCAAAGTCATTTCACGCTCTTGGTAGGGATTCCCGGCCAGCAAGAGCAAGCTCCAGCTTTGACTTTGAACAGGCGTGTGGGCGATGCAACCCTGCTCCGGTTTTCGCGCCAGGGAAATATGCGCCTTCGTGTCGATCGCATGAGGTCAAGAAACGGTGCAGCTGCTAGTGACTAGTGTCGGGTCCAACTGTGCGGATGAAATGCGAGAGGTGAACAGAACTAATAGCATGGACGAGGGAGTGATGTTCGTCTGTCTCTGGCATCAAAGTTAATTCATCCACTTTACTCCGTACATGAGTACAACGCTCGGAAATACCCCAATCTATCCTAACCCTTCGTTTCTCGACTTGATTAGTGTGATGGACGATATTAGCGACTCATTCTTTGGGGAGAGCTAGGGGCATTTCATTTCCCTATTGGAGATTGCGGCGGAGGAATTCGGCGATAGGGCGCTGAGCAAGAGTATTGCACGCTTATGCTGAAACCTGATATTCGTGTTTCATTGCATGGAAGTTGCCTCGCAGTGGCTGTCATTCCATACTAGTTACAGGAGCCTATTTAGCCTAGAAGCAACTCCAAATTCAAAATGCAAAAAGAGGTAGCTGAAGGTGAAGAGAAGGCTGTATGTGGGTATTTTTCAGTAATGCATCTTTCATATAGTTATTCACTTCTCCAGGCCAAAAAGAGCTGGAGCCAATTATTACAAAAGGTTTTTGGATATCAAAAGGCGTTTCAAATCGCAAGCAATGGGTATTTTCAGCACAAGGCTCAAGAAAACTGTACTTTCTACCATCAATGTCGTTATTCAGAATTTGTCGAGCAATATTGGCAGAAAAAAACACGCTTAAAATTGTTTGATCCTCCGTTTTAATATAATTGCGAGAGAAGATGAAATGAAACTAGAACAAAATGAGTAACCATAAGACTTCAGTGGTATCAAACTAATAATCCAACATGGGGAAAAGCGAGAAGGCCGCAAGAATTAAACGAGGAAGCCAACCAAAGTGTACATCAAAATTCGGTCCAGTGCAGATTTCAAAGGAGAGGAAAGGGTTCATAGTAACGTATGCGCAAGCTCATCACCGTTAGAGGTCGCTCTCCGAGTACGCGCCTGCGACTGTTGACACGGTGACGCTTGGAACGGGCTTCAAAGCGGCATCACTGCGACTCTTCGCCGTTTTTTCAATCAGAAATTTCTCCTCATTTTCAGGTCGCGTCTGAGCACTATCTCCATGGAAAAACTCGCAACGATATTGCAGGAATTCGTCTCGGCAGCGATACACTGTGATTATATCGCCCGTATACACCTTTCCAAAGAGATAGGCATCGCCGTCCGGGGATTCCCTCTGTAAATCCACATCATTCACCCAAATGCGCTTGCTCGCCTTGGTCGAGACAACAGTGGCCACGTCGGTCATCTGGAGCCAGTCTTCGCCTGCATCGATACGTGATTCGATGGCGGGTGCCCAGAATGTCAATTCAAGCGCATACGCTGGAATGCGAACATCCATGGGATCGGGGTAACGAATTGTGTTTGAAGTGCCGCGACCCCAGGATGTCATGCGCGAGTGAAGTATAATGCACTGATCTGTGATAGAGCCAGGGACGGGAGTCAGTTTGCCTAAGATGGTGAAAGGTTTTATAGCGTTGCTCGTATTCCGGCTTCCATTCAATGGTTTGGTCGTGGACTGGGAATGATCATCAATAGCATGCAAGCTATGGGTTTCGTGGTGCAGATCGGATGCTGTAGAAGGTCGGATTTCCTGTCCTGTGCGCTCGTCAATTGTGCAGGCAAGTTCTACCCAAGAGGCATCGTGGTCTTCGCTATTCTGGCTGAAAGACTCGTCCCGGACGTGCAATTCGTGCGACGAATGGGCCTTTCGGGTAGGTTTTATGCTTTGATTTGGGATAGGTTGGCCGAGCGAGAAAACGGGTTGTATACGACTACGCCGGGCGACCTGCTCCTCTTCCTTGTTCGAATCATTTTCCACGTCAGCAACATCGTTCCCCTCGGAGTCATCCACACGACTAGGAGAGGTCTCGTTCTTTTCTTCCTCTGAGAATGTTGGATTGTCACTGTTGGGAGAAGTGGATGCGCCGTCGAAGGACCCCATACTTAGGTTGCCCACGAGTGCCTCAGCACCCATTAAACTGGATGCTGACCTTCCAAGCCTTGATTCCATCTCCGAAAGGAGATAGTTGGATGGGGTGGTAGTGTGAAGACTATATCCATGAGAGCTGGACTTACCGTTGGTTGACGGATAGTCGCTCTTGGACACGCTGCCAAATTCCCGCTGAAATTGGGGCCCATCCATTGGGATTTGGATATTCGGACCGATAGCTCCCGAGCTTCGAAGGGCAGTCGGAGTGATCTCGCCAAAGAGACGGCGCCCAGTCGGCGTGGATTCAAGATGAACGCTGGAACCAAAGTCGTAGCTGGATATGTTTGGCAGCGAGGGGTATGGAATCCTTTGTGGAAAAAGGGGCGCGGCAAGTTGGCTTCCTTCTTGTTCTTCTGTCACTCTTGGCCTTTTAATGTTAATAGGTTCTGAGGACGGGTGATCTTCATCTTCACTTTCTTCGGAGAACGGGTCATGAGTCACATCGTTCAAGTCGATTCCGGAGGCGTCAAGTCGCTCATATTCACTGGATTCTGGCTCGCTGACTTCTACTATAGCCTTTAGGTCAGCATTGACCTCCTCTTCTGCTGCCTCATCGATTTCCATATAATCGAACTCATCCGGGACATCAATAAGCCATGGGTGCTTGAAGCAGGCTGACTCTTTGGGCCTAGCCTTAGGGTCACGATTCAGGAGTTTAGAAATGAAATCTATTCCTTCATCAGATACCCCTACTTTCCGCAGCAAGTTATAGTCTGCTTCTGTAGTCATGATATTGCGCAGCATTTGGGCGCCTCTATCATCTCCCCGTCCCATATACGGAGGGCTACCGGAAAGAATGTGAAACAATACGGCTCCAAACGACCACATATCAACCGATTGATCATAAGGAGAAGTCTTCGGCAATCTGGAGAGAAGTTAGCAGTGAGGCATCGGCACAGCTACAATTAATGACTTACGGGTCACCGAGCCGACGTCGCTTCCGGGCTTCCTTTCGTTTGTAATCCTCATATTCTGGATATACTTCGGGAGCGCAATACAATAAAGTTCCACAGAACGTTTTCATAAAAGTCTCTTCTTGCACGACCTTCGAAAGACCAAAGTCGGAGAGCTTTATCCTGAGTGGTTCTATTGAAGCGATGAGAATATTATCCGGTTTGATATCGCGATGCGTGATCTTTCGACTGTGGAGGTATTGCAATGCGTGCAAGGTCTGCCTCGCAATGGTTTTGACCATATCTTCGGGGAGTCGAACCATTTGCCCTAACAAAGCAGAGAGCTCGCCACCTCCAACGTATTCCATGATGATATAGAGCCATCGATTCTCATGGTCGTGATAATCGTGAAATTGGACAATGTTAGGCTGTGCCAATTATTAGCCTCCCCCGTTTCAAAACCAAATCTCACGATGCTTACATGCTCTAGACCTTTCATAATCCTCATCTCACTATCAACCTTGTGGTCGAGAATATTGTTCTTCATTAACCGGCGTTTATCAAGCTCTTTGCAGGCGAACAAGGCCCCGTCGTTCTTAGTAGCAAGTTTGTACACTGTAGCAAAAGCGCCTTTGCCTATCTGCCCGGCAACGTTGTACTTCGGGCCACCATTCCAGCGCATGCCGTGGAAATTACTAATTTGCTGAGGGATCATGAAATTTTGTAGATCTCGACGCGGCTCGCCTTCGGGTTTTTTGGTGGCTTGTCGAACTCTATCCAGATACTGCAATAAGTTTTGGTTATATTGAGCTTGATACTCATCGCGCGAAGGAACGCGAACAATGAACTTGATACTAGCGGAAACATCACTGCCGACGACTTGTATTATTGACCCGTGAATAAGCATTTGGGTGGTCGGAGCGCCGCCTCTTTTGTCCTTTCGAATGATTGTGTTATCGACGATCGTGCCATTCATTGAAATGTCCTCAAGCATCAAAATCCCATCGGGCTTGAGATAAATGCGAAAATGAGAATTAGATATTCTCTTTTCGTTATCATTTGGAGTAAGGATAATGTCACAGCGGGGGGCACTTCGTCCAAAGCTGAATCCTACACTAGGATCCTTTACGTGGGACGAGAATCGTAGAGCTATATCGCGGCTAGATTCAATAGGAGAGGTGTCATCGGAATCATATTCCAGCCCATCATCATCATCACTTCGTAAAATGTGCTGCGGATTACGTCTAGCTGTAGTGGCCACGGCAGTGTGTGCAGCGATCGAATTTGGATGCAAAATGCAGAGTATATCAGTGATTTCTTGCTGGTCGAGCCCTGAATTGTTAAGGCCTCTGCGTCTGGGGTCTGTATATGGTTGTGTTGCGGGCTGAGTTGCATCGTCCATGGCTGAAAAGGGTTGACCGTCGGCCGTGTCTCTCTAAAGGATAAGGTAGCCGGTGCCTGGACAGTAAGCCAAAGTGCTCTATTGGACCATGAGCGCACTGAGGGTTGGAAGCACTTGAAGGCTGTTAATAAGGATAGACAATAGAGATGCTTCACTGCTGTGGCAAGCTGATACTATGACAAAGGGATTAAGCCAAAGAGTTTGATCCAGAATAAGACGAAAGCAATGCTCTTGTTTTTCAATGGAGAATTTGCACGAGTGAAGGTGAAGAAATAGGGAAAGAAATGGTTGGATCTGTAGGGCCGCAGGATGTTTAAGTAATGGGAAAAAAGTGAGAGATTGTCACTGGGGCAGTTGCTCAAGCAACCCAGGATTAGGGAGGAGATGCGACGACAACGGGCCAGTGCAAACCCAAACAGTGCCGCGCTGATGAAAGACTACATCTGTGAAAAAAAAGAGCAGTATGTAGGGAACCGGGACTCGAGGATTCTTTATATCTCGACGGCGGCTGGGACTAACCTTTTCAAGCAGGGGCCAATATGCACGAATCCCTGGGCCTAGCGCTGCCAAGGACGCTGCAGGGTGCCGAGCGCTGTGACACCTAGCCTCAGATGAGATCTCCGATGCAAGTTCGAGAAGGGGAGAATCGCAATGACTCGACTTTTCGGGAAGAGACGACCTGGCGGAAAATGGTGCAGATCGTTCGTCGGGGTGTGATCGTCTTCAGGGCGCTCGTCACAGCCTGATTTGCGGCACAGTCAATTCCCTGCACGCTCCGACCTATCCCATCCCACCCCAGAGGTCTCGGCGGCACTTGGGATGGGTGGCTGCCAGCTTCTGGGTCCAAAAGGCAGCACTCGTGGTTCGCACGCAACCCGACGCCTTGCCGCAGCAGGCAGTTACCGAAGTATTGGGGTGGGAGGAATAAACCGTAGGGTCGGGAAAAGAGGAGGGAAATGGACAAAACCCGAGAGCAAAGGAATAATGGGAGGTTTGTCTAGTCGAAGAGAATATATCACGCAGTCAGCACGGCTCTGCTCGTTCAATTGATATTATACGTGAGTGAGAAGAATGAGCAGTAGGTGCAGATGAGGTGGGAGCCTTACCCCGTTGTCGAGTCAACGGTTTGCCACTGCAGGTTGATGGCGTGAACGAACGGCAGCTAACTACAAAACCAAGCAATAAACAAGATACAATCCCGCTGCAGTGCCAGCATCAGCAGCACATCCTCATCGCCCGGCGTCCAAACAAAACAGCGGGTTGGGTTGTGGTTCCCGAAAAGTCAAGGCCACAGCCGCACTGACTCAGCATCCACTCGCCACATGGCCCGTGCGTTGCTTGGCCCTGGCGCTAGTCTGTGGCGCCTTGCCTAAAGCAGTGTCGGAGCAAGTATCTAGTTAGAGCAACACCACATCTCCCCTTTGATGGCTGAGAGCCTGGTCAGTCAATTGTACCGCCGGTTGAGACACCATCTGCAAGAATTTCCAATACGGCGACCCTGCCGACTTCCCTCTCCCTCCTCTCTTTAGAAAGTTTGGCCATAGCAACACTATAGATCTTATACACGATGTCGAGGCCAGTGAGATTATCGAGATCGTTAGCTCTTATTTCGGGTTTATTCTAGCGTTTTTACCCAAATTCATATTTCTTGGAAGGCCGAGTTGCGGACTCGAACTACCCCCTTACGCCATAGAACCCGCCAGATTAGCTCTAGGAGCGGCTGGCCTCGCCGGCCTTTTCAAAAACGTGGTAGACTGTTTCGAATATATTCAAATCGGCCGGAATTTTGGCACAGCATTTCAAACGTCTATCCTCAATCTCGATGTGGCAAGACTACGCCTGACTCGATGGGGCGAATTCGTAGGATTAGCCCGCTGGGATGGGTTACAATCCTTGAAAGAAACGAAACTTTCGACTGAATGCATAGCAAAAGCGGAACTTCTTCTCGGGCAGATAGAGGACCTCTTCGTGGAGGGAGAAGGGATATCGGAAAGATACAAGCGGCGCTGCTCCTCCGAACAAAGCCTCGCTGCGTACGACCCCAAAACCGATCTAGATAAAACTCGGACACTTCTTCATAAGAAGATGCGCGAGTTCGAGCTCAAACGCCAGAGTAGTGCAAACCTGCGAGAGAAGGCTAAATGGGCTCTATACGAAGAGAAACGTTTCTCGCGACTGATCGAGGACATCACCGCTTTGACAAACGGCCTTATCGATTTGTTTCCCGCTGCTGAGCAGATCCAGCGACAACCGTGCCTGGCCGAGGTAACCAAGCTTGATTTCCAAAATGATAGCCTTCCGTTACTTCAGGAAGCCGCCGCGGACCAAGACAACCTCCTAAGTGATGCTATCTCGGAAGTCAGGAACTCTCAGCCCACGGGTTCCTACAACATATCACTTTCAGGAAATCAGAACCATGGTTTGCTTTTTGGGTATAACACAGGCACCATCAACTGGAGATAAATCACTTCTCAAGGAAAATTGGCTGTACGCATCGGTTTTCCTCGGATAGCGTTTGCTTGTTTATGAGCCAGCTTTTTAGCTTCCTTTCCCATTAGAACAATTTATCATTTTATTTCTTGGTAGAAATGGAAAATGCGATGCGTAGAACCTCCAAGACGGGTCAAGATGAGCGGGATTTGGGAAAGGGAGACTAATTTTTTCGATTTGTTTTTCAACGGCGTAGAATATAGACAGGACAGTTGGACCGCAGTTGCTATTGGTTGTGTTCATATTCGCAGAGATGTCGGGTCTCAAGGAGGAGAGAGGGAGAACAAGAATATCGTGAGAATAAATTTTCTTATATTGTATTTTGCGGAATTGCTTAAGGGCGATCTGGGATCAGGCCTAAACTTTTCCTAGGTTGCCTATTCTGTATGCAGCGGAAGGTTCTGTTTCAGCGCCGCGTCCATGACTCGGTCGAGCCTTTCAATTGCGGCGTCGCTGATTTCTATGATGACTGTTAAGGTATTGCCCCACGACGGAAAGGGTTGATACATACGATAGTGCACAACCAATCGGTTGCCCATCAGCTTCAGGCCTTCTTGCTGCCCGAGTGCCTCCCAGTCAGCCGCTAGGATACCAGCCGCCTCCAAATCAAACCAGACCATATTGGTTTCGGTAGGACTGACAAGTTTACCTCCTTTGGAAACCCACATGTCCGCGATGATCGCTGCATTCGCATGGCTGGGTTTCAGTTTTCCGCCGTCGCCACACGGGCCTCTGCCGAATGTTTCTTCTACGGCGACCCGTGCAGCCGCTGCGATGATGCCGGACTGTCGCGTCCCACCCCCAATTGACTTGCGGAACCAACGAGCCTTTTTATTGAACTTTGCAGAGCCGACCAGTATGCTACCGATTGGCGCCCCCAGACCTTTAGAAAAGCAGAGGCTCACACTATCAAACAAGCGGGCATAGTCATGTAAACTTCCTGCTCTGGCAGCAACTGCTTCCCACAATCTTGCACCATCTAGGTGGACTTTCAAGCCGTGGTGGTGCGCCCAATTACAAATCCGTTTAGTTTCGTCCAATGGCATTACCATACCATCCAACGTATTTTCCAAACTGATGACGCGAGTTGGACAGACATGGAAGTCATCCTCCAATACCGCGTGTTTCGCAATGTCTTCAAGAACCAGGTATCTCCCATTAGTCGGCTCAATGCCCTTGAGATACGCACCAGTCCACGTGGTCGCTCCGCCCCCTTCATAGTGAATAATATGCGCCCGGGAGTCACAGAGAATCCCATATGGAGGCTGGGTGAGATGCGTTCTTAGCGCAACTTGATTGCCCATGGTCCCAGACATGACCAGCAGGCCGTCTTCATGGCCAGTCAGTTCAGCGATATATTCTTGCAGTGCATTGGTAGCAGGATCTTCCATAAAATCATCATCTAACAATGAAGTATTGGCAATAGCCTCCAGCATGGAGGGAGTTGGCCTTGTCACAACATCACCTGCCCAAATGTCAGTGGAAGCTCCGGGTGGGATCACCTCCATCTCGGGCCGCTGAAAACTCACTTCGGAAATCGAACGCGGCTCTACCTGGTTTCTCCCAAGAGCTACTAGCCCGAATGCACCAGCTTGACTGACTCTGAGCCACTCTTGCCGGCCGTATACATGAGTGTCGCCGTGGTAACCTGGCGCGGGTGGTGGCCAGCCAGCTGAGTCGTGGAACACCACCTAGCCCACGCTTCATCGTCGAAAGCTACTGTTCAAAACAGAAAACACGAAAGGGAAAGAAAGGGAAAATTCATGAAAATCTTAAACACATTTCAAAAATTGCACAGCGAACGGGGCAATCAAGCGAGAGCTTCGACCTGTGCGAACTGGCATATCGCATCTCGACCACTTTCGGCAATCCCGGCCCCTGAGGCCGAAGGCCATCGGAAGTGGGACAATGATAGTCCGAGATTTGCATTGAGCTCGGTATTTAAACGTCAAGACGCTTGCAAAAGAATGTAAATATCCAGATTCCAGCCTCTAACCCCTTTTTGACCGAGGGTTTCTAATATAAATACTACTTTCACATAGAAAAGGGCAAGATCAGACCGCTTAGGGCGGTTTATTAAAAAAAGCCTCAGATGGAGCTGGGGAATCGAGTATTAAAATGAGATAAATATAGACAACGATAGAGTCCCAACAACCCAATATGGGATCCATATTTGCACTTTCTCCTTAATGCACAGCCATATGCATCCCTCCGCAAGAGCACAAAATTGAACAGGGGAGATTCAGCTGCTCAAAGAGCCCCCGGTTGCATTACATCCTCTCTCTGCACTGCTGCCCGCGACATAATGTCCTGCGCAGTCATATGTGGCCGGCGTGCATGAGGGGCGGGCTCGCCTAGCTCTGTATTGCGGGTTGGATGGAAGTCAGGGAGGCTATCCGGTTCCCGCTTCACCGTAACCGGGGAATGAGTAGGCTGGAGCGGGGGCTGTGTTTCCCTGGTGTGGGCAGAAATCGACCCTTGTTGCTGGAGCTGTCTTGACCCAAAAGAGAAACGGCTATTACTGAAAGAATAATCATCTCTACCGTCATCCAGTCGCTCCCTGTCCCCGTGCGGTGAACCGGAGTTTTCATTGTCTTTGTGGAAGCGGAGATGGGTTGGTTTAACCCTCTGGGGGAAGCCTGGAGGAGCAGCATTGGGAAATGTAGCAATATGGACCTGAGACGAACCGCGAAAGCCTCCTCTACTGCTTTTCGCGCCGCGACCTCCGCGTGGGCCAGTAGCGATAGGCCTGATCCTCTCGTTGGTGTGATAACGGGAATCTGGTGGCAGGTAATCATCTGGGCCCTTGGCAACGCCAACCTGATACTGAGGTTGCGACAGTCCTGGTACGGGCGGAGCTACATTTCCCGAAGGTTTAGGAGGACGCCGGCTTGGGCCTTTGGGAACTTTCGCTCCTCTTTTAGGAGATTGCGGCTCTAAGCGCTGTTTTTTAGATCCTCTGCCCCGCGTAGCTTGGGATTCACGCTTCTCTGCAGCTCGCTTTCTCCGCCCGATATAACCAACATCAGGTGGGTTCGCGGCCTGCTCAGTTTCTCTCTGGTGGGCAGCGTGGTTCACAGGATGCATCGGTTGGCCGTTTTCCTGATTGGGATTACCGGCACTTACTTGCTGGCCTCCGATTCCGTCATCGCCTTCACGCCGTTCTACGGCATTAACATGCAACTCATGTGATTGCTGAGCCCCTTTCGCATCAGCGACACTGACGGTCCCGATTTCTAGGGCAGGATTATTGGGCATATGTGAACCATTCCTACTCTCATTCAAGCTGTTGCTAGTTTGCAACGGCTGAGGAAGGAGGCTATGGCCTAGAGATCCATGAGAAGCGACCTCAGTCCCAGCGCGAGGAGGCGCATTGGGAGGAATGGTTGGCTTCACATTTCCCATATTCAGTCTTTCTTCCAGGTCTTTAATCCTCAAGCTCAAAGCAACATTTTCAGATGTAAGCTTGGCAACCTCTGCGGTTTTGAATTGCAGCTCTTTCAGAGCAATTGCAACCAGCTCAAATGAATCAGGCTTGCCAGTGCTTGTCTGAGACGGTGCTGCTGAGAATAGCCTAATTTGGCTCTGTAATTCTCGGACTGTCTGGCAAAGCTCAGTCACCGTAGCAGAAACATTTATCTCTGGAGTCGTCGCCCCGAGCAGCTTCCTCTCACTAGGAATTGGAGTCTTGGAGGCAGGGGCCGGCGGCTCTACAAGGCCACTTGGCAGCTGACACTTTGACAGCCCACGAACCCTCAAACCTTCATCCTCATTCTCTTCGCCAAATAAAGGCGAAACATCCATTTTGTGATATACATCCTTCAACTGAATCTTTGAACATGTCCATATGTAATCGTATTTTCTGAGTCATCCATTAAACATCATGGCCATAGTATCGGATTGATAATTAATCGTTCAAAGGTCAAACTTACCCAGGATGTCCATCGACGGGGGATCGAAAACCAATCTCATCACCGCAACGGAAGCAGCAGACCTTTTCCTCTGCATATTCAAGCTCGAACAATGCAAAGATAGTCATTGGCCTCCCAGTGTTCGGGAAAAGGGTGATCCATTTTTGAGTACCGAGGAACAGATTCGAGCGGCATCTAGCACAATGAGCAGTAGTAGCATCATCTGTGTCATAAAGCATGGGGGGGTCATTCGCGTAGATAAATTCCACGGCCCTCGTTGGAGGCACGGGGATCAAAGGCATTGTGAAGCAAGTACGTGATTAGATTGGTGTTAAGCTGTTGTACAGATTTGAGCCGTGAACTTCATCTGAGTGCATCTCAGAATAGAAGTGCTGTTGATGTTTAGTCCGAAATATGCAATGGAAAGGATGAAGCACCAAAAAAGTTTGATAGATAAGGAGAGTGGTTTAACTAGTCAGCAGTCACGTGGCTCACTACCTCCCAATTGTGTTATGGGCTTGACATCCAGATAGTACGGAGCAAGGTGAATAGACAGTCTCTTATTAGCACCCACATACTATCTTTGTTGCTATTTTACAGTCATAAAACCACAACCACTCCGGGCCTTTTGCAATGCGGCTTTCAAGGCCTGTTCCTCCGTATCAGTCCATTTGACACTCAACTCATCCCACGGCTTTCGGCTGCGGAACTCTTCCATGTAGGTTTTATGCATAGCCTGCAGGCGAACAACCTCCCGTGGATCACCCGTGCCGGAGTATACAATAAAGAGCGTGCAGGGTGGCAGGCTTTCATAGATTCGCTTGATACGTGCCACCATGGCCGTCACAGCGGAACCAAGGGCCTCGGGGTCGTCGGCACCCAAAGATGGTTTGATAGGCACAGGAGCAGATTCATCTGTATTTGATGTGCCAGGGACTCGATTACACCAGCCGCGGATAACCTCTAGCTCGCGTAAACGCGCCCAGGTGAAGTCCACCCCGCCGCCGGGGACAACGTGACCATCAGAATCTCCATTGACGGCCCGATCCACTGACACAACTACTTCCTCATCGTCTCGGCAACCCAGAGCAACGGTAGCTTGAGCACCAAAGCCGCGTTCTGGGTTTCCCCAGTCGACTACAGCACCTGTTCGACCCTCGCCTTCGGCCGCTCGAGCCGCTCGGCTGTCCCTCGAAGCTCGCGAAAGTCGCCGAAAAATGCTTTCAGTGTTGGAATCACTGGTTCCCCATCGCTCGCCCTTTTCGCATTTTTGTTTGACGAGGTCCAAAACCGCCTTTGCATCTTCGATAGAATCGTGACCCGTTTGTCCTTTTTGTATCTCCCGGCCAAGATATTTCTGACTTAACCACTTGAGACTTGATTTAAGTGGCGAACCTCGGGGGTGTGGATAGATGATGGCTGTATCAATTATGAATGGGTGCGTTAGTTTCAGAGCGCTTAAGTCAGAGTTTAAAGAGTGGCCGACTAATATGGAACGCGGAGTTAAAATATTGAGCAGCCGCTTTTGGATGTCGGAGAGCGTTGTCGTAACTGGATCTAATTTTTCTTTCGTTATTCCGGAATACTGAGTAAGATAATCAATCACTGGTCGACCAGGTTTGACCAGTTCGTCCAAGATAACTTCGCCGTCCCATCCCACAAGACTTATTCGAGTAAGTTCAGAGGCGCCACCTTCAGTGATACACATCTCACAATCAAGGCCCAGCACCTGCCGACCAGCGGTAATGCTCCCTTTTTGTATCTCGTTTTTAGGAACGTTCCCGTCGGAGAGGTCGGCGACATGGGTATCGACCCAACCGTGCTCTTGGGATTGCCCCGCTCTTTGTCGAATATCTGCATATGCTTGCTTCTCTCCAGTGGTGGAAAACACGGCTGGATGTAGAACATACTCTCCTTCCTTTAAATCTTGAACAGTCGCAACAAATGTGGTCACTGAAGTTCGCTGAGCCATCCAAGTTGATGCGCCTCGAGGCGCTTTTGGCCCCGTACTACGGCCGTCTTCTTTCGACTTTGGTAAGGCAGTCATGAGGATGGCCTGGAGAGGAGAGTGAAGTTTATTGTATTTTGTGTCTCCAGGGGATTTTACTGGCCAAACATGTGGGAACATATCGGCTAGTGGCTGTAAGGGTTGTGGAAGCTGGTCATGTACCAGGGGTTTTGGGTTCGAGCGCTGAAGTGAGTCTTGAGTAGGGGGAAGACCTCTTTTCCATTGCTCATATTCACTAAGCTTTTCGTCGACTGTAGCATTATCATCCTTGATGCTATGCGAAGCCATGTTATCCAAAGCTAAGGGTATCGATCCGTCAAGCATTCCTATCTCCAAACCCGGTACCATCAGAACAACGGCCTTTTTCACATGGCCTGAATGTTTGATTGATACCCATTGCGGAGCAATGCCATCCGCAAAGCAATAAAGCAGTAGTCCTTGGAGATCCGAAATTTTGATCGGGTTTTGCATCTGGCCGCTTACATAGATAAGACTGGGGCACTTGCTCTTGCTTTTGCCTGTCTTCGCTTTCTTTTTGGACTTATTCTCGATTGTCTGCCAATCTCCTGCCGTATCAACCTCATCGGCGTTGCTGTCCGTTTGTCCAGAAAATGGGCTCGCGGCAGCAGGAGGCTCACGAAGCAAAGATAGGGTTTGGCCTAGTCCAAATCCATTGTTGGACGTCGGCACAGGGCCTGCTTCTGCTGCTCGAGAATAATTGCCACGCTTCCGTTTCTTCCCCATTGTGTACTTTTGCAACAGAGTGGGCGTATCTGATTAGGCAAGCTGATATATGGGAAGACAACGGGGCAACACAGCAGGATCCTGACGAGATTGATATGGCGATGGAGAATCGAGATGTCCAAGCCCAAATTCAAGCGTGTAGCCACAAAACGCACAGCTGCTTGATTCAAGCTGGCACGGATTTATTGACATGAAAAAAGCATCGCGATATTCCAGCTCAAATGGGAAATTCTCAGTTGGTGCTTGGCGCCAAGATATGGACTATTGGGATAATTGTTATTCCGACGCACTTGGCTTCCTACGCGTCACATGACCTAATGTCGCTTATGTAAGTTAAACAGGAGAAAACATTGAGAGCGCAAAATATCCCTCTCAGGGTAAATGTGATTATTGAAATTATAATATTTGGGGTCTCGGATTCAGTATTAGCTGTCCGAACGCTTGCTCGACTACCTATCAGAACGCCAACCGTATTTACTTTTCATGCAACCGTAAGCTTCCCAATCTGTTCAAGAGACAATGGGACAAAGGGGTATGTGCAACTTTTAGCGAACGAAAAAGCCATATTTTCCTTTTTATTTTTGATGGGTCTCTGTTGCCTTTATACAACACGGCCCTTGACTTGCTTGAAGTCCTTAACTTTGAGATCTTTCCAGATCGCGGTTGCCGCCCACCCCAAACTCAGAATAGCAGTAGCACCAATGAGCATAAACTTTTGGGCATCGCCGTACGCCTGGTTAATGGCACTTCTAGTTGGAGTCCCCATGGGGTATATCAGCTGCACTCGAACATCCCCGTAGATTGACGCGAGGTTGCCTTGAGCTTCAGGAGGCAGGTATTCGGCAAGTTTCTTCGGAAAGGTGCCACTCCAGACGGCTGCAGCAACGGTGCTTCCAATCGCACCGCCGATGTTGGCGAACATAGACTCGACGGCGAGGACGACCGCAACGTATTGGTGAGAAGTAGCAGCCATGACCGCCATCTGCTCGCAAATAACGCACGTACCACCGGCGAACGCGATGAAGATCTGGCACATGATGATGTAGCCGATATTGACATCTGGTTGGCGGAATTTGATCATCAAGCCCACGCCAAGGATCGTGAATGGCACACCGAACCACAGGGCCAGCCATTTGAAACGGCCACTCCAACGGACTAGAACACCAACCAGTAAAGACCAAAAGCAGGAGCCGATGCTGTAAATGTTTTGGATATAGCTGGCATCCCTGACAGAAAGGTTCGTAACGACGAGAAGGAACGAGAAGAAATAGCTGTTCCAGATGTAGAAACTGATGAAAAGGACGGCCGCGAGGATACAGGCTCCAAGAACAGTGCGGTCCATCAAAAGGTCGAATGGAATAAAGGTGACGGGGGCGAAGAACTTTTCGTACACGGCAAATGCAATCAGCAGGAGACCGCCAAATATGATTAGGCAGATAACAAGTGGCGATTTCCAGCCGTTCGCTTGGTAAGAGTAAAGACTGAACGGCAGAAGGAATAATGCGAGGCCACCGGTTATAAGGAGCAAACCGATCACGTCAAATTCAATGAAGTAGTATTTTGCGGATTCCAAAAACGTGCGGTTACTTTTTCTCTCTGGCACCAATCCAGCCTTCTTCGCTTTGCTATAGTTGAAGGCGAATAAAGCAAACAGAGGTAGAGTGATAGCCGGGGTAATGATAGAAAAGGCGCCAAATGCCCATCTGAAACCAGGTCCAGCTAAGAAACTATTTGCAAGCGGGCCGCTGATCCAGGTTGTCGCAATATAGGGAGAGGACGAGAACGCGAGCATCAGAGCTCGATTTTTCAAGGCTGACGTATCCGCGATGAAAATGGAAATGGTGTATGTCAAACCGTTAAACCTATGGAGAGATAACAGTCAGTTAGCGCACTGAGCATGAAATAATGGTCTCATGGCCAATGAAGCACATACCCAACCATATAAAATACTTGAGCAGCCGCATAGGTCTGAACGCTGTCACACCCAGCCATCATAATGAGACCGAGAGTCAACATGACGATCATGAGTAAAAACCCTTGTGGACGGCCCCAAATGTCAAGGACCTTGGCCAGTGGCAATTTGACAAGACCACCGATAAGACTCGACATGATCCTCGTCGCGGCAGTCAACGAATGTTCTTGGAAACTGCTAGTCACAAAGGGGTCCAAGGCGAACCCCATGCCCGACTGCATGGACTCTATGAAGGCGATGACCCAAATCCTACCGGAGCAGTCAGCAACCAGAGGGCAGAAGGAGTTGTAAGGAGGGCACCTACAAAACATATGCTGCAATCAAGTGAGATGTGGACCAGACGGTTGTTGTGGCCTCCATATTCTGCACACCGGCTTGGGCTTCTTTCGAAATGCCCTCGCTCTCAGTGTCAGAGACAGTTCCGCCCTCTCTGCCAACCTCTGCATCTCCAATCGCGGGTTGTTTCTCAACTACAGGCGCCTCAGGCCTGTTGAGTGGGAAAATCGCCCTCATGGCTGTTGTCGACTGGAAGACCGTCCCCAGGACTCAAAAGATCTTTTGCGTTAGGGGCCTGCAGTAGGAATGCGGAGTCCTTGGAACCTCGCAAGTTGCCCTGCACGCAAGCGGGTATAGATAAAAACGGAGATGGAGAAGATTGAAACCCCAGAGAAGCTGGCAGGGAACAAGCTAGTTAAGTAGGAACTGTGTCCATGCAGTTGATCCATGCTTTGAAGTTTTCCATGCGCGGCAGCTCATTCCGGGTGGGGTCATGGTTGAATTTCCTGTTCTCGTGTCGGTCCCTGTCATGGGAAAAGACTTGTCCCACAGTCCAGACTACCAGATAAATTTTCAAGATCATCTGATAACTTTATTTGCTGATATCTCAGTTAGACGCTCGCCATTGCTCCATCCTCACTATTGCGTGTTGCTACACTTTTCTTTTTATCACTTCGAGATCCTTTCAAGGCCGTATTCGCAGCTTGTATGGAGTCAGAGAGGCCCGGCGGAAAGCCGCCCAAATTTCCCGGACGACAAACCATGCATTTCCGATAACACTCCACAAGCGACCGATGGTCTCATTCGACCAGTGCTACCGAAAAGCAAGACGCAAACAGTCCTTGGCTGGCAGAAGCCGGAATGAGGTTATTTTAGCCGAGCGAGACCAAACTCAAAATGGCGCATCCATCTAATCTGATTGATCTTATCTGATTGCCAGACCACCAAGCTCTCGTGTCTCAGCAAGGTTTGGGGGAAGTTTTTGAAAAGTGTCATCGAGTTCTCCATCAGCTGTTGAAGATTGCTCCGAATGCTCTCTTTACCCTTCATCCTGGCTCAGAAAAAGAATGGAGAGGGACATCTGTATTGTTGCGGAGCTTTCCAGCACTTGGCAGCAGTACCCGGTGTTACACTAGCGTACCAGCATCAGTCATTACCGTACGGTATTCAAGAATAGATTACAGGAATACATACAGCACACGTAATGTGTATTGTACTCGGTAAATAACGGGCTGTTTGGTGCACTCCGAGGGCCCTTTTGACCAGGCTTGAAAGTTCAGGGATGCGGTGGTTCAACCCAGCAGCCCAGCAATATACCCGGGTTCGAAATGAAAGTGCCTAGGCCATTCTGGTCAGAGAATGCGCTGAACTCCACGTCGAAAACGTGGGCTCGGAATGGGCGCTTTTGCTTTCCTCGGTCTAAACCATTGCGCGTGAAAGAGCGGGAGATACAAGAGAGTGCAATTTTCAAGAATTGAGCACATACAACGTTCTCTGTTCGCTTCTTTGGCAGCACACGTTTATCATTCCTTTCACATATGGCATCCGCTTCGAGAGCCTCCGAGCTTCCGCTCGTCAAACTACCAGAGCCATACAAAACGAAATATGAACTTTGGCAAAGCCCATCCGATTCGAACAGGCGCATCATTCAACTTCGGTTGTCTGAAGTTCAAGATAGCGGCGCATCCGAACCTCCTGAGCCACTTCATAACGATGCTCTCGTTTTCAGCGAATTGATTTCCAGTCCTCAATCGCAAATACCATCCGCGTCGGACAACACTGCCTGGGGCCGAGCATGCAGATACTTGGTTTCCTTTGTGACGTGGGATGGGGACGCTGCTCCCACCGTGGGCCAGGTTTGGATAATAGTATATGCCATTCTATCAGCATGGCCGGCTGAAGAATATTTCCGATTATGTCTGTCTGGTCCGCAAAAAGATCAGCTGTGCGAAGAGATCGCGGCTACGGGCCTGGGTAGGCCGTTCCCAAACAAGGCGGAATCGCAGGAAATTGAGGATATGGTCATCTCGAGAGCCGCTTTCTGGCAAGGAGCCGGATCACCGTTTGGAACACGCCCCATTTGGATTGCACAACCCCAAGAAGGACCTAACTCCAGGCGCCCGGCTTCTGATTATCCACCTTTCCCGCTGCAGTACACCATCACCACCGACTTTTCTAGCCGTCCGATACACGCTCAGCACCCAATTCGACCCGCAAAGCCTGCTCGCGGAGCAACGATCTACAGCCGCTATATCCCGCACTTGGACGAGTTCTTCTCCATGGTACACTTAGACTATCAGAATGAGACTCACCTCAATCTCTTCCACAAATGGCAAAACGATCCGAGGGTTGCAGTCAACTGGAACGAAACCGGGACATTGGAGGAGCACCGCGAATACTTGCGCAAAATCGACGTAGATCCCCACCAGATGGCGGTAATGGCCAAGTTCGACGACAATTATTTTGCGTACTTTGAAATATACTGGGCTAAAGTAAGTGCTTTCAACCGTCCCGTTCTGGACAGAAAAAGGCCCTCGTCGTCCAGATGCCACTAACGCAGCATACAATGTATAGGAAGATCACATGGGCACATATTATCCTGCCCTAGACTGGGATCGCGGGCGCCATTCATTAGTGGGAGATGCCCGGTTTCGAGGGCCGCATCGAGCGACCGCTTGGTGGACGAGTCTGATCCATTATCTCTTCCTTGATGAACCTCGAACCACGTGTGTCGTTGGTGAGCCCAAAGCCACGAACGAGCCAGTGTTGGCGTATGACGCCGCCAATGGATTCCACGTTTATAAGTGGGGAGATCTGCCGCATAAGAGGTCTGCGATGGTGAGGTGCGAGCGTGTGCGGTTCTTCGAGGTGGTGAATTTCGGAAGCGTGACGAGCAACGGGACCGCGAAGTCTGCCAGACCTAAGCTGTAATAAGTTTTATACATTGCTTATAGTAGTACTGGGAAGAAGTAAATAGATTCACAATGCCCTGACACGCTCAGTGATATTCCATGAGGTCTCTATCTTTTGGCTAAAAAGCAATGCAATAGAAAATCGCTGACTAATCACAAACGTCGTCTCCTCCTTGACCTCCAAACTCCATCATCTCTGTTGACATACAAAGGTCGTTACATGGTGCTTGTCTTTGATATCGTACAAGCCTAGACTTCTTCCAGCAGCTTCCTTCCCAGGTCTCTGAGGACCTGCTTTTGAATCTTCCCACTCCCCGTCAAGGGCATCGTTGGAGGCAGACGTGGATCTGTTCCGAATGCAAATATGAATCTAGGTGCCTTGTGCCGTCCCAGGGTCTGCCTCGTCCAGTTCCTCAGCTCCTCGGCAGCTGGGCAAGGATGGCCCTCTTCGACGGATATGAATGCTCCAACTACCTCGCCGTAATGGCTATCGGGGATTCCCACGACCGCCGCCTTGGATATCGCTGGGTGAGCCGCTAGCCGCTCCTCTATCTCAAGGGGGTATATATTTTCACCGCCTCGAATAATAATGTCTTTGAAACGTCCAGTGATAGTGCAGTAGCCGTCCTTGTCAAATACAGCTTCGTCTCCAGTCCGCAGCCAGACCTTTCCGCTCTCGTCATGGATCAAGGTCTCCGCCGTTTTGCTAGGATTGTTCCAGTAACCATTGAATACCTGGTAACCGGCCATGCAAAGCTCTCCTCGCTCGCCCACTCTGACTGTCTTCCCCGTTTGTGGGTTTATAATCTTTGCGCTGGCGTGTGGCATCACCTTCCCTACTGATGCTAAGCGACGATCAATCGAATCGCTTGTGAGTGCATTAAAACACGTCGGTGATGCCTCAGTCAGACCATAGCTACTAGTGAATTCCGTCATGTTAAGATCCTTCAGAAGCCTTCGCATTAGTGGTCGAGGTACCGGTGCCCCGGCGATTATTCCCGTTCTCAGGAATGTGCAATCGAAATCCGCCGGCCGTGGCTGTGATAAAATTGATTCGAACATTGTGGGAACCCCGTGCAGTGCAGTGCATCTCTCGTCTGAAATCGCTCTTAGGACAGCTTCCGGCTCGAATGTTTCCCCTGGGTAGACAATCTTGGCTCCGTGGGTTATACAAGCGAGGAGCCCGAGCACTAGCCCGAAGCAATGGAATAAAGGCGGCGGGCAACACAAGACGTCCGACCGGTTGAAATCCATACGATCCCCGATAAATCTTGAGTTATTGATCAAATTACTATGCTCATATCAGACCTCACTCCGACCTTCAAGCGAGCCAATGTATGCTTACTAGTGAGACAGCATAGCAGCTTTGGGACTTCCTGTTGAGCCACTTGTGAACTGCAGATTGCAAACATCGAAAGGTGAAAGTTCCTCCTGGCGGCGTTGGACCGCATTCATTGGGATAGCGAGGCCGGCGTGGATCACGTCCCCATAGGTTTCGAAATCCTGATAACGGCCTCTGAGAATTATCGTTTGTGTAAGCTGAGGCAGGTCTCGCGACACCCCCATCGGCGCTTCCAGGCTACGCAACGCACTGAGAAGGCTATGTCTTCCGATCTTTGGTACGATAAAGAGTAACTTGCACCCTTTCGCCTATTAGCCCTGCGTCCAATCAAAGCGGCAATATTTATATACGTACCAACATGTTTGAGAGCATACATTAACTCTGGGTGAGTATATGTGTTGTTGATAACAACCAAAATCGCTCCCACCCGTGCTGCCGCAAAAAATAAAGCGACGTATTGCTCGCAGTTGCCTGCCATCACTCCGATTCGATCTCCATGCTTGATGCCCTTTCCAAAGAGCCCCCGGGCAAGCTGATTGCTTTCATATTCTAAATGGCCGTATGTCCATCTTGCACCAGTCCAAGGGCAGACGAGGCATTCCGAATCCTGATATCGCAGGCATTGAAATGAAAGAAGCTCGCCAAGTGTCATCTCCCAGAGGAGAGGCTCAGTTGGGCCATGCACAATAGACAGGTTATGCCCATCCTTTTGGCTTGACGGCGCTTGTATATGGTCCAATGTTTGCTGCAATCGCACCAATGGTGTATGGTACGCCGTTATGGCCGCTGCCATTTTGATATGCGTCCGGTTTTTGCTATTTTACACGACTTGTCTCGGGATAGGTTTCTGGGTATTTTGTGCTCTTTGCTTCATGGAGCGGTTGCTAATAATATTTTATTTTGGCTATCCCAATGACGACCCCCTGGGTCCATAATTCAGGGCATCCCCGCGCAACATCATCGGCTACAATCTTACCAAGGCAACTCCGGACTTAAAATTTTCTACTTTTCTCGTCCCGGTTAATTATTTGACGTCTCACTAATTTGGTCCCTTGCAGATTGTCATGCCAGGCCTTGGATTACCTTTGCGCGCGCGGGAAATATTCGGCACCATCTTTTGTCTGCTGAGAAGGTTTTCTCCCGTCAAAGGAACCTTTTCCGTGTGTTCGGTGAGATTTTTGTCGTTTTGTAACACTGGTATATGACCAGGGGCTTTTCACGTTACTTTCTTACCCAGGGTGGGACTGTCTCAGGTGTTTTTGGGTCTTGGGTATTTTATTATGCTTTGCCGGTTTGCGTTGCCTGCCAATACCGGTGGCATCGCTCTTCGCGAGCTCCATCAGACAACGGACCGTCGGCCTGGGTGGCTTGTCAATAAAGTGATTTTCAAAAAATGGTTTTAATCAAAAAAATGCATAAGAGGATAGTGAGTGGTACTATGGCTGGCTGATATTGGATTGTAAACTTGAAAATGAAGAATAATTGTGGAAAATTGAGCCCATGCCTAATATGAGCGTATGCGAGTAAGAGACAACTTCGCACTTACACCTACTGGAATAATACTCTCGCGCATGCTCATGGTGGAAGATGGCACATATCAAGCTACAGCTAAAAGTCATGCAGTGGTGGTTATCTATGAATCTATGATGTAAATAGGTGGATGAAACCCTACATCCAGCTTTGACTACTCGGTTAAGCTCTTTCAAGACTATCCGTTTATCAGATTGCAAAAATAAAAAAGAACAGGTTATCTGATCCGGATCAGCTGATGGACGCGAGCTTCCGGTTTAAGTTATCTGATCCGCCGTATGGTATGTTTCGGCATTACTCTCAATACGGTAACTAACTATGTATGTATCGTTCCATTCCCCATTCGACGTAAGGTATAATACTGTATCGCGTCTTGTCATTTAGATATCCAAGGCTACTTTTGACGACAAACCTGGAGATGCTCTGGGGAATCTGGGACTCTTTCACCAGTGCGGGTGATGAAGAGGAAACCGGTGAGCAACCGACAGACATTGACTGGAGCTGTGGGCTCTGCCAAATTCACTGGTCCCATTAGGCGCCCCCAAACATCACCTAGGTTGAGTGATGCTTGCGATCTGATCGGCGCATCTCTTCAACCTTGTGGCATGACACCATCGGACAAGCTCCGCACCAAGGGCTTCACACAGACTGGGCCCCTGGAGCAATACCATACCAGAATAAAACAATGCGGGCTTTTTTGGCGGGTTCAATCATCGACCAAACCTTAGAGACTTGGTCAAACCGATTTCACCGCGTCAGAACTTCCGAGACGAGACTCTGGATCCTACCGCTGTGCCAAATCATCATACAGCGGGCGAGGGAAATTTTAGGAACCCTTGTTCTAGGCAAACCCTCAAATGCCGTGATTGACGGAGTGGGCTCATTCCATGTTCCTGGACGCTTCCCTGGCAGCTTGGGAATTTAACCAGAATTGTGCCGCGCATTTGCTGTGAGCAACCCTCCAACTCTGGATAATCGAATTGGCCAATTTGTTTGTGGCTTGCTTGCTCTTCACAGTTTGTACCTTGCTTGGTCACTTTCATTCATCTCACTAGAATCAGTTGTCCATGGAGCCTACCCTCAAAACAGGCAATCCTGTTCACCACCCTCAAGCCCTTTCCCACGGCGGCAGCAACATGTCTACCGGCTCCGCAAACGATGAACCATTTGACATAGTCTCCGTGGGCTTTGGTGCTTCGGCCCTGTCAATCGCCATTGCTATGCGCGATCGGGGTGTACAATCGCGTGCCCTTTTCTTGGAACGGCAATCTGAATTCGGGTGGCATACGGGCATGTTGATCCCGGGGACCAAGATGCAGATTTCCTTCTTGAAAGATATGGCAACGTTGAGGAACCCACGATCCCACTTTACGTTCCTGAACTATCTGCACACAAAGGGAAGACTAGTTCACTTCACAAATCTCTCGACGCATACTCCCTTCCGCGAGGAATTCAACGATTATATGAAATGGTGCGCTTCGCATTTCGATGATTGGGTGAGATACGACCAGGAGGTTATGAGCGTAACGCCGGTTGAATCACGGCCCGGCTGGCCTATCGAGTTATTCAAGGTGGTGGTCGGCGACAGACAAACTGGCGAGGTGAGAGAGCTATATGCTAAGAACGTCGTGGTCGCTACCGGCGGCGAACCAGCAATTCCTCAATGTCTGTTAAAGGATTGTCTCTACAACACTGTCGTCCATTCGTCTGCCTACCTTAACACTGTCCCCCACCTGCTCAAGGAACAGGCCGCTGAATATCGCGTTGCGGTTATTGGAGGAGGTCAAAGCGCGGCCGAAATATGCGAAGACCTCGCGTCGAGATACCCAGCATCCAAGATCAAGCTGGTCACCAGAGGCACATCTTTACGGCCCAGTGACGATAGTCCCTTGTGAGTACATCAGATACGCCTTCTATAGTCATACCAATTCTTGATCTAATCGATAATCCGCCACTTCTAGTGTTAATGAGATATTTGACCCTGAGAGCGTCGATAGTTTCTATTCACTCTCTTCGTCCCGACGCCAGCAGCAGCTCAAAGAAAACAAGGCAACAAATTACAGTGTCGTTCGGTTACCACTACTGGAATCTCTCTACGAAAAGTTGTACCGCCAGAAGCTGCTGAACCCGGATCCGTCTACATGGCCACTCCGCTTGGTGACGAACAGGGAGCTGTGTGGCGCTAAGAAGGTTATATCCAACGGAAAAAACCAAGTTGAGCTCCAGTTTAGAAACACCGAAACAGGAGAGAATGAGATTTCCAGCGAAAAGTATGACTTGGTGGTCCTTGCAACCGGATACAGACGCAACCCGTTTAATTCCATCCTGAAGCCGTTGAACTCGGTTCTAGAAACTGGGCCTGCGGGAGAACAGTTCTGCGTGGATCGGAACTACCAACTACGCTTCCTTCCCGGTAAAGTGAAACGGGACGCTGGAATCTGGCTTCAAGGGTGTTGCGAAACTACCCATGGAGTAAGTCGCCAACTTCCGCAAACATTACATGCTTCATTGCTAACGACTAGTTACTAGCTAAGCGACAGCCTTCTATCTATATTGGCAGTTCGCGGCTCCGAGCTCCTCGATTCCATCCTTGCAAACCGTAGGCGTTCAGAGCAATTTGCAAAACTGTGATTGCAAGCGAAATACTGTATTTTATGGGCGAAAACGGGGCAGGAAAAGCGTGTATTCTCCTTCTTTGCCAGACGGTTGGGTCAAAAGACTTCTGGTTTTGCTGTTTGTCGCTTTTTAGACGGCTGTTTTTCCATGAGCATTGCATGTGATGTAGAATCAGTGGTCTCTACAGTAGATTTTGCGATTTCTCGGCTTAACGGGATGCTACCGCGGAGTCGTTTCTTCTACCAGAATCTAATAATCCTATTCTCCGAGCTCCTGGCGCTTTTCTCAATCCGTGGACTCGAAAACGTGGATGTCGCATCCCGCTCAGCGATGATCTGATAAGACAACAGGATCTTACAGTGTGCGTACAATAACATGACAGTACCATACGTCTGCCTCGGGGTTTGTGTTTCGTACTGTCAGAGCGGATCAGATAACCTTAAATCAGCCAACTGCGGGGCTGTTTTCATCTGATAGTCGAACATCGCATGTTCGTTATCGCCAAGCAGCACACGGGGAGGTGAAAATTTTTCTAGTCGACTGTGCCCAGCTCCCCAGGGCCCAAAGGGGCTAGAGAGCTCCAAGTGGAGCTGGGGTGGTAATTTGACAACAATGACGACGGCCGTTGTTTCTCGTTTCTCCTCAAGGCTGACTGGAATCGGCCACCGAACTCGTAAACGAGGATCACTGTTTCGGATTATCCCATCAGCAGCACGACGAGAGTCGAGAGACTACCGTGGGCACCGCGTGACCAATGCCACATATTTCTTATTTCTGGGAGAGACTCGTAGCACTAGCCCGTCTCATCGTTCAATCCTCCAGACGTTACTTTTTGACAATTATGCACGGCAACGGCCTGTCCTCAATTCTTCCCGGGAGGAAACCGTACAAGGTCCTCGTTGTCGGCGGTTCGTATGCTGGCCTCTCGACGACACTTAATCTACTAGACCTATGCCATGGCAAGCCTACGCGGTTCTCGCTCGCTGCGTCACCAGATCTAAGAGCGTCAAACGAAAGGATTCCCGTTCAGATTACCTTGGTCGATGAGAGAGACGGATATTGTGAGTTGCTAATGGTCTCCCCTTTATGCCCGTTTAACAGGTTAACTGACCATCTACTAGATCATCTCATTGGCAGTCCCCTTGCCTTTGCGTCTCGAGACTACGCCGCGAAAGCATGGACTAGATTCCAGGATATACCCGCCCTCCAAACACCTGAGGTGAGATGCGTACAAGGTCGAGTTACCTCTATCGACTGCCAGGGCAAAACTGCCACGATTCTCGAAACTGGGACAAACAGGCAAATTGACGAGGAATATGACTATTTCGTAGCGGCATCAGGGCTCGCGCGGAATTGGCCCAGTGCGCCACAGTCGTTGACCAGAGAAGAGTACCTTCAAGAAACGAGAAAGCATATTAAATACCTCGAAAATGCACACGATAAGATTGTTGTTATTGGTGGAGGTGAATACATTTCTCGCTCCCTAGTGATCCAGAAGCTCACGCATCTTAGGCGCTGTTGGCATCGAAATGGCAGCTGAACTCAAGCTCGCGCAGCCCGAGAAGGACGTGGTTCTTATCCATTCCCGATCGAAGCTCCTCTCGTCTGAGCCCCTTCCAGATGAATACCGCGACAATGTCCTCTCTCTTCTCCATGACTCTGGCGTCGAAACAATAATGAGCTCTCGAGTCGTGAACATTTTGCCGACTGAGCTAAAGGGGGGCTGTGCTCCAAGCACCGTTGTGGAACTGGACGATGGCAGAAATATCAAAGCTAGCTATGTCATTAATGCGGTTTCAAGATACCGGCCAACTTCATCCTATTTGCCTCCCAGTGCGATTAGCAAAGATGGATACGTCAGAATAACACCTGCGTATGATGTCTCAACCTGGCCTTTGATATGAGAAGCTAATTGGTAGAAACAGATTGAACTTCACAGCCGAAGTCCCCAACGCTGAGTGTCACTATGCTGCCGGCGATATTGCTTCATGGCCTGGAATTAAAAGGGCGGGCGGCGCAATGTACCAAGGACATTATACCGCTAATAACATACACCAACGCATGCGCAGCGATCTCTTCGATACTACACCCAAATTCCTTGAGCTTGATGAAGCACCACCGGTCATATGTATTGCAATTGGGAAGCAAGCAGCAGCTTGGAGCGAGGCAAACGGCACGCTTTCTGGAGAAGATGTGTTGAATCTCTATTTCAATGACGATTTGGGCTATAAAAGTAGGCTGTTAGCCTTTTCACCCTGAAATAATCCGTACTAACACATGCGTTTTTAGTCTGCTGGAACTATATGAAACTAGGAGAAGCCCTGGAGGCTCATTGACGAGAATCGTCCCCAAAAATACCATTTTCTTCTTCTGCGGGCGTCGTGGATCGGGAAGAAATGGGCTCTGGATTGTTTCATGCATTTTACGGGTTTCGTTGGTCTCAATAAATGGCTTCTGGTCAACCAGGTAGTTAGTTGTAGGTTCGGGTAAAATTTCAAATGCTATCATTCATGGCTATAAGTAAAATGAAGAATTTTATTAAATATCCAATATTATTTCCATATAAAATTTTCGCCCCAGAACTCCGTTTTCCAATCTATTTCGCCGAAAGCTCCGCTCCGTCAACCGCTTGATGCAATGCATTGACCCTATAACTCTCGCTCCTCTCCATCAGCTCACGATGCGTGCCCCGATCAACACATTTTCCATCCTCAATTAGGAAAATAACATCGGCTTTTTGAATTGTATTCAACCGGTGCGCAATTGCAATAACGGTAATTCCCCGTGCCGCCTTCTCCAACCCATCTTGTAATAGCTTTTCGGACTCTGCATCCAAAGCACTCGTCGACTCATCTAGCAGCAACAGACGTGGCTTTCGAACCAGAGCACGAGCAATAGCCAGGCGCTGTTTCTGGCCACCAGATAACTGGCTGCCGTTTGGACCGCAGGACGTATCGTATCCCTCTGGTAGTTTGATAATAGTATCATGAATGTTTGCAATTTTGCACGCTTCTTCTAGTTCCGCATCGCTCGGTTCATGTCCAGGCCTGGCTCCCAGTGCGAGGTTGAATCGGATACTACCGTCAAACAAGACATTATCTTGAGAAACGAGCGCGATATTGTTTCTAAACGTGATTCCTTCGTATTTGGAGATATCTCTATTGTCAACTTGAATGACACCAGAGCTGGGAGCGTACATTCGCTCGACAAGGGAGATTATCGTCGACTTTCCAGCGCCACTTGGGCCAACCAGCGCCGCAAATTGCCCGGGTTGTATACTTAAATCCAGCCCTTGGAGGACTTTGACATCTGGGCGGGCTGGATAGGCAAATTCCACTTGCTTAAAAGCCACACTTATTCCGCTGTTGCCAGAGTCCAAAGCTTTCTCAGTCGTCTCTGGTGTAGCTTCAACGTCTGTTCCCGGTCGACGGTTGTTGGAAAGTTTCCGGTCCGAGCCGAGATCGAGAAGGTTGAATATCCTGTTTATTGCTGTAAACGCGCGCGAAACATCAGGCGCCAGTGTAAACATTTGGCCCCAGAGCTGCGCACTAACTAGCAAGGCCACGAGAACAATGAAGAACTGTGTTTGCGAATAATCTCCTGCTATAATCCGCTTTGACCCCCACCAGTAAGCCAGCGCATAGAGGAAATTGCTTAAGCCGTAGGAAATCGCCAGCCATAAACTCGCATAGGCGCTGTGCTTCGTGATTGCTTTTATTGGTTTCTGTAGCGACCGAATATAGGTGTTGAATATCTCTTGCTCGAGAGAAAAGGAAGATACCGTCTTGATGGAATTCACGGCTTCAATTGTAATGCCAATTGATTTTGTAAACGCCTCTGCGTGATGCTGCTCAAAACGTGCGAATTGAATAACTCGCATTGCGCCTGCACCGAGCATCAGAGGAACAACAGCGAGAAAAACCAGCGCAATCTTCCACGCGATGATATGCGTGAGGATAACCGCAGTGACAAAGTTGACGACAACGGAGACGAGATTCCCGATCAACGACCCCGTGAGGCCAGAAAGAGCATTTCCATCCTTTGTAATAAGTGTAAGCAGCAGCGAGGGAGTCCTCCCATTCGACTCATGCCACTGGAGGTCTTGCTCAAGAAGCGCCCGGAACGAGAGGACCCTGATTTTATAGACAATCCTTTCGGCCACGAACCCGAAAAGCGACCAGCTCGCAAAATTCGCAAAGAATTCTACAATTGCCAGCACAAAGAACATCAGACCGTAGAAGTTGCCGGCCCATCTAATCCTGCTTTCGCCGTTGCATGGGCTCAACTCCCCGATCGTATTCCCAAAGACGGCGGCGACGGCGGAGTAGGTCCCGCCGACTATAATCGCTGCCACAAGTGCCAGGAACAGATGGAAGATATATGGCCGGAGGAAACCACATAGAACGCCAAATGTTGCCCCAAACGGTCGTCTTGCTCCCAGAGTAGCGTCTTCATCATCGGGAACTGGACCAGCAGAGCTCTTTTCAGATTCCACGTCAATTTGGTTGAGCTTCTCGTCCACTGTCGAGCTATATTCGTCGGAAAGTTTCACGGATACATCTTCAATGGCTGCGTCAGTGGCCAGCGACTGACTAGAGCGGTTATCTTCTTCCTCGCGTGCGTTTAGGTTTTGCAGCCGGATCAAGTCGGCATATGCGCCATCTCTGGCTAACAACTCAGAATGCGCGCCTTGTTCAATAATTTCGCCGTTCCTCATCACCACAATCTTATCGGCGTTCCTTATGGTTGAAAGTCGATGGGCAATCACTATCAGAGTTCTCCCCATCGCGGCCCTTTCCAAGGCGGCCTGAACTCTTCGCTCACTTGCCGAGTCCAACGATGCTGTTGCTTCGTCCAGGATCAGGACTTTAGGGTCCTTTACCAACGCTCGGGCAAGGGATATCCTTTGCTTTTGACCTCCGCTGATTAGGCTGCCGCTTGACCCAACAAGGGTGCCAAACCCATCTTGAAGCCGTGAGACAAACGTGCTCACATCGGCAAGATTTGCCGCATCTTTAACCAATCGAACTATTTCGACGACTTCCGCCCCATTCGCCTCTGCGACCGAATCCAGATCCTGCCCTCTCTGAACAGCCGCAGCGACTTCGGAGAGTTTGCCACTTTGCAGGGTGGGCTTCAAATGAGAATGCGTCGGCGAGTTAACCAAACCCAGTGCGATGTTCTCAAGAATTGAGCGCTCTAATAAGCAAGGCTCCTGCTGCACAAGGCTGATATATCCCCTTAGCGACTTGACGTCAATACTTTTGATGTCCCGTCCATCGAAAAGTATGGAACCGTTGTTTGGGTCATAGAATCGCATAATAAGATTTGCAATTGTCGATTTCCCACTACCTGAGAGTCCCACTATTGCTGTTTGCGTACCAGCAGCACAGTCAAGCGAAAGATCCTGGAGAACCTGTTTGTCCGGTCGTGATGCATAGGTGAATTGTATGTTTTTCAATTCGATATGTCCAGTGGTATTCTGGAGAATTTCGCCCGTCCCACTGGCTGTGCCATTGATTTCTGGTTCTCTATCGATATCCTGCTCTAGTTGTTGAAAAGCTACACTGGCCGAATCGAAGTATTGGAAGAATGGCGCCATTGTGCTGAGAATCAAGGATGCTACAGTATGAAAATTAGCGACAAAAGGTAGCTGCTTTTAATGAAGAAATCCATACCATCTACAAGGATAAATATTACCGTATATGTCGACCCCACGGTGGCACCCTCGCCCCCAGAGGCAACTGCATCGGCAATACTCCTCGAGCCTAGCCAGTACGCAAGCGCATTCGCGGAATACGCAATGAAATAAAGCAGTCCCGCCTGGATACCTGCAGAAATGGCTTTTTTGATACCGGCGTTCTTTGCCATTTCCAGAAACTTTGCAAATTTTGATTCGAGGCGAGGATTCGCAGTTAAGGCATGCACGACCATGACGTTGGATAAAGCTTCCAGTGCGACAGATGTCGAGGAGGCCACATTTTCAACCATTCGGGATGTGTACTTCTGAATGAAGTGACTGCCGACAAAGGACATCAACATGAATGCCGGTAGCAGCGACACCAGTGCTCCTCCGAGTTTCGCATCTTTTATGAAGGCAACAATATAACCGGTCACAAAGAAGGAGATGCTGTTCAAAACAAGCCCAACTTTCTCGGAAGTACCATTCTGGATGGTTGCAATGTCTCCGTTGAGGCGCGCGGACACGGCGCCGGCAGGTAAGTCATCGAAAAACACCACGTCCTGGCTCAATATAGCCTTGAAATATTTCTGGCGAATTCTTTGCGCAAGTCTCTCGCCCGTTAAGGTCCAGCAAACAATTGAAATATATGCGAGGACAAAGTAGCCCACTCCAACGTAGACAACTTTCAGCACTTGCGCATTAACACCCGATTGAAAAGCGGACAGGTCCGCGATATCCGTACTGCAAGTGGCAGAGTTGAGGTCATCGACGACTTCGCCAAACAGGATACCCAGCAGCGGAAACGAAACACCAGATCCAAGGGCAGCAACAACACCCAAAAACAGAAGTAGAAAATCATAGAAAGAGGGATTCGCATATACCAAAAGTCTCAGGTATGAGGTGAGCCTCTTTTTAATATCCTATGCAACGTCCGTCAACAATCGTGTATGGAGCAAAACTAAGACCGGCATTATTTGCATACCTTTGGCATTTTTGAGCCACTGCCACCAAGTTCTCCAACGGTTGCCGCCATGCTAGGAACACCGCAGCGTTTCGACGACAAGGCTCTCGTCCGTCACTCGAATCCTGAGTCCTCAGCTCGTACCAGACCCAAATCAGCCTTTCATGCTGGAGCCCGCGCGCCAAACGAAGACTTGGGTAGAAAAAATCCCTTTTCCCAAATGACCTCACCCTTGAACTGCTTCGATTCCGCATTCAGGCCTGCGCTTGGCGGCGATCCGCTTGGTATTGAATTTCGATGTCGGTATGGTATGGTATGTTTGGTACCAGTGGTTTGGTATTACGGTACATAATACGCCGTACCGTGGGACGTAACCGTATCGTAACGAGCAATCTTATCAGATTATCGCCGAGACACGCCACCAAAAGTCAATTGAAGCTGTGCCGGATTTAGCCGTCGGGAGGCATCAGATAAGATAAATCGCTGCCCCGAGATTGCCCGCAGTGAGCGATTAAAGTTATCTGATCCTTTCCCATGTGGAATCCCACGCAGGCCATGTCAACAGCATGACACGGCAGAGACGGGCCCGGCTTGGAACCCACGCTCTGGTTTCGTGAATGACGCTCTGGACAATTTCTCCACTCACCGGTTCTCAGCTGGGTCGCGTATTTTATTGAGAATTCCGGATTCCGCAAACTTTTGGGACAAACATGGGCGCGATGTGGCTCTATGTTCACGATTGGGAGTGAGCCTTGTCGGGACCGATCATCAGGCATGCAACAGACAGGGTAGTTAGCAGGGCTCCCCGCCGTAAAAAAATTATTGTTGTGCAGTGCCCGAGCTTCTCGGATGGCGGAGTAGCTCTCGAAGTTCACCTTTCACCATTGTCCTCGTCTGTCGTCTGCTGTATCTCTCCAACGCGACGCCCTCTGAATTATCTGCCAGCATGACCGGTGCCAGCGCTGGGAGTGCGCCGGTTGAGAACGGTATAAATGGAGGGAAGAGCGGATTGGTGGCTAAACAGCTACCTCTACTCCAAAGACCAGGTGAGGAGCAGGTAGATTACTTGCTCCTTAGCTGGATACTACTTTCATATCGAGGCGATGGTTCCGGCGAAGACGGCAGCTTCTCGTTCGAATATCAGCCACGAAGAATCATCAGTCCACCTGCCCAGCCAATCTCAGGGTTCATAACAGATATCATAGTAGAGGAGACAGGCCAAATATCGCAAGCACTCGAGAGAGTACGAGCTGTTCGGGGCAACCACCTTGCTTTTGATGAAGAATTGGAGCAACGGGAGGGCCTTTCTGTCCTTTTCTCCCACGCTGCAGTCTCAAGAGAAGACTCAGAGAGGGAAACATTGAATGTATGTACCGTAGAGCGGCATGGCCTTTTGTGAGGGCAACCAAAGCTAATTAAACAGGAAACATTTCGCATCCGAGTGCACTTGATAGGGGAGGAGCTCTCTGTACACGTTGCCCTTCGTCCCGCTCTATTATCATGCGCAATGGCCCACCTCGCCGTGAAGACGTACGTGGAGATACTCAGCTCGATTGTATCTGACCCCAACCAGACAGTTGCACAGGCAATTCGCGTGACAAAAAGCGAGCTTGAACGGATTTGGGAATGGAACAGAACAGTACCACCCGTTATCGATGATTGCGCCCACGACATTATCATGGAAAATGCGTCCTTATATCCGGAGCGGCCTGCTGTAGTGTCCTGGGATGGCGGACTATCCTACAGGGAGGTCGACAGATTTTCCACTCAACTGGCTTCTCAATTGCTCCAGAACAATGTACAAATCGGTGAACCGATTATGCTTTGTTTCGAAAAGTGTATGTGGACGGTCGTGGCTGTCCTCGCAGTGATGAAAGCTGGCGGTGCTTTGGTGCTTACGGACCCAAGTCAACCAGAGGCGCGGCTGCAAACCATAGCAACGGAGGTAAATGCGAGATTGCTTTTAACCTCTGAATCACAAGCCAAACTAGGAAGCAGTGTAGCTCCCGATGCCTGCATAATACCTGTGGGGCCAGATACTTTCCAGAATCAGACAGAAGGGCCTTTGTCATCAATCTCCTTGCCGAAAGTCCCAGGATCCTCGACATTATACATCATCTTCACATCAGGAAGCACCGGTAAACCCAAGGGCGTGGTCATCTCTCACGCAAATTATACCAGCGGCGCGATACCCCGTGCAAAGGCAGTCGGCTACCAGGCACACTCCCGAGTTCTTGATTTCCCATCATACGCATTTGATGTCAGCATCGATTGTATGCTTTGCACGCTCGCAAATGGTGGCTGCATCTGTGTTCCGTCTGAGGACCAACGGGTCAATGACCTTTGCGGCGCGATAAGGAGCATGAACGTTAACATGGCCCACATGACCCCGTCAGTTGCGCGCGTGTTAGACACCGACATTTTGGATTCACTAGAGGTGCTAGGCCTCGGGGGAGAGGCAGTATCTGCGAGAGACGCTGCGGCGTTTGGCCAAAGGACAAAAGTCATCATTGCATACGGGCCTTCGGAGTGCACTGTTGGCTGCACCATAAATAATGACGTTGGTACGGATCGAGCGTATACCACCATCGGCAAAGGAGTTGGGTGCGCAACTTGGATCGTGGATCCAGCCGACCACGACCGCTTGATGCCCGTCGGCGCCGTGGGAGAGCTTCTAGTCGAAGGGCCGATCGTTGGAGAAGGCTATCTCAATAATCCCACAGGTACAGCCTCCGTATTCATAGAGAATCCGCCTTGGCTTCTTGCTGGAAGTGATAGAACAGACGGGAGATTAGGACGCCTGTACAAAACTGGGGATTTGGTCAAATATGACCTCGATGGATCTGGGTCGATATTCTTCGTGGGGCGTGCAGACCAGCAGGTGAAGCTGAGAGGCCAGCGAGTTGAGCTGGGCGAAATCGAATATCATCTGCGGTGCAGGTTACCTGCAAACACCACGTCTGCCGTGGAAGTTATCACACCAGGCGGCCAAAAGGAAAACGCGACACTGGTGGCCTTCATCGCAGAGCAAACCCAAGACAAGAACGAGGCCAGTGAAGAGACTACCGCATTCTCCCCCGAACTACTTCACGTGCTGGCCAGCATGGAGAGTGAGCTCGCCGTGGTACTTCCGCGATATATGGTTCCCGCGACGTTTATTCCGTTGAAGGAAATACCGCTATTAGTCTCTTGCAAGACAGACCGAAAGAAATTGCGCGCCATCGGGTCTGCCATGTCGCGGAAAGAGCTTGCAAGCCTCAAAATAACACAGCTTGAAAAGAGCAAACCTCAGACGGATATGGAGGTTAGGCTACAAGCTCTCTGGGTACGGATTCTAGGCGAAGCGACAGAAATCAATGCCAACGACAACTTTTTTGACGCGGGCGGCGATTCTCTCAAGGCAATGAAACTAGTCGCGGCGGCTCGATCAGAGAAACTAGCGATTACAGTGGCCGATATCTTTCGACATCCAACGCTCTCCGACATGGCTACTATTGTAAAGCAAGTAGACACGGATGCGCTCGTAGACATTCCTCCGTTCTCCCTCTTGCCAGACGGTTGGAAACGACCGGATGCGCGTGTTGAAGTCTCGAATCTCTGCGGCGTTGAGACATCTCTTGTTGATGATATTTACCCCTGCACGCCGTTGCAAGAAGGGCTTATGGCTCTCTCTGCAAAGGTTAGTGAGGCATATGTGGCTCAAAGGGTCGTCGAGCTTCCCAGCCTTGATATAGCAACCAAGCTCAAGGCTGCTTTTGACACATCGATTGTCGAATGCCCAATCCTACGGACGCGCATCGTGCAAGTCCCGCGCCGCGGTTTGATGCAGGTTCTAATCAAAGAGGACATCCCCTGGAACTCGAGCCACAGCTTGGAGCGGTATCTTCAACGAGACCGTGAGGCTCCGATGGGTTTGGGTACAGCCCTTGCCCGTTTTGCGCTGGTCGATGACCAAAAGACAGGGAAAACGCATGTTGTCTTAACAATCCATCATGCGCTGTATGATGGGTGGTCGATGCCACTTGTAGTCGAGCGTGTCAACCGAGCATATCATGGGTTGAAAACGCAAAGGCCGGCTCCTTTCAAAGCCTTCATCAAGTATCTTCTGGATATGGACCGCGCAGAAACGGAAAACTATTGGCGGGAACAGTTACAGGGAGCAACGAGTTTACAGTTCCCAATTCTCCCTGAGCCCGGATACCAGCCTCAAGCGGAATCTTTGCTGGAGCATTATATCCCTCTGACTAAAAGGTCGGCATCGAGCACAAGCATTGCAACAGCTATTCGAGGGGCCTGGGCTGTTGTGGCATCGGAATATACTGCAACTGACGATGTGGTCTTTGGCGAGACGCTGACGGGTCGGAACGCGTCCGTTCAAGGTATTGACCAGATCGAAGGGCCCATGATCACGACAGTGCCCATACGCATTCATGTTGATAAAATATTGCCTGTATCCGATTTCTTAAAGGAAATCCACAATCAGGGCATATCCCGCATCCCTCATGAGCACCTTGGGCTCCAACATATTCGGAAACTGACCCGAGACGCCCGTGACGCTTGCGAATTGAGAACTGGTCTGGTTATACATCCAACGTCGGAAGAAGAGAACGTCAGTGATCGCGAAGATAACCCTGCGGATGGGTTTGTTCCAGCCGGTGACCTCGAAGCTGCTAGCGAAGCCTTAAAGTTCAACTCGTACTCCTTGATGTTGGTATGCTCACTTGATCCGCGAGGCGTGTTGGTCATGGCAAGTTTCGATTCTAGAACGGTCAGTGTACCTCAGATGAACAGGGTACTGGAACAATTCGGGCAGATAGTCCAAAAATTCTGTACGGAGCCAAGTAGTAAAGTTGGAGATGCCATGCGTTTGGCTGAAAAGGACTTTGCTCAGCTCTCAGATATGAGTCGAATCGGCCCCAAGAGTCTGGAATCTGGGAAGCCCACGGCGCTGGGACAAAGTCTTGCAAATGCCTCTGCTACATGGATTGTGCACCCACTCAACCCCGACCATCTCGTCCCAGTTGGCGCGGCCGGAGAACTATTAGTTGAAGGGCCTTTCGAATCATCTCTACAGAGAATCGGCGTACCCCAGTGGCTTTCAGCCACGGGTACTTCTACCACGCCCAGGCAGCTGTATAAGACCAACCAACTTGCAAAATATCAGAGTAAAGGGGCCATAATATTCCTTGAGCAAAACAATCTCAGTTCGGTGACTCAGCAAGTCCGGAGAGCGCCAAGCAGCCCTGGAGATATGACGGCGAAGGAGCGAAAACTCTTACAGCTCTGGAGCCGTATCCTCAATATGAGTGAGAGCGAAATTGATATTGGAGACAGTTTCTTCGACTTGGGCGGGGACTCTATCGGCGCAATGAAGTTGGTTTCTGAAGCTAGAATGGAAGGCTTCAAGTTGACAGTGGCGCAAGTGTTCAAACACAGATATCTAAGGGATTTGGCTGCTGACCTTCAAGAATCTCAGCCATCACCAAAGGCGTCAGCCGAAATCTGCAGGCCATTTTCATTGCTTGAGACGCCGGATTTAGAAGCATTCCTCTCCCAAACAGTTCGACCAAGTCTCCACAGGCCGTCGTGGAAGATCATTGATGTCCTACCCGCCCGTCCCCTTCAAAGCGTTGCGATAAAAGGAACGGTGCAATTACCCCGATATTCCGCGAGATACGAGTTGTTTTACTTCGATAGCCAGGTCGATGAGACGCGTTTGTTCCAGAGCTGTCGTGAATTGGTAGCGCATAATGAAATCCTTCGGACAGTCTTTAGCGAGCTCAACGGGCAGTACTATGGTATTGTCCTGGAAGAAATAGACGTCGAGATAGAGATCTATGACATCGAAAGGAATATCGAGACGTTCTCACACAATCTGTGCAATCTCGACGTCGAAACCAAGATGCCACTTGGCTCGTCCTTTGTAAAGTTCCTTTTCGTGAGGTGCGAAGATGGTCGAAGCTGTTTGATTCTGCGGATCTCCCACGCGCAGTATGATGAGATTTGTCTTCCTATACTCCTTCAGCAAATGTCTGCGCTTTACGAAGGAAAGCCTGTGCCGCGGGCGCTTCCGTTCTCATCATATGTGCGCCACGTTATCAAAGAAAATATCCCACAGAGCATCCAATACTGGAAAAACCTTTTGAAGGGGTCTTCATTAACAGTCTTGCGCCCTGATATACCGTTGGAATCCAAAGCTCATGCCGCCGTTTATAGGACATTTGACATTTCAACCCGCCCCAAAGATATCACAGTCGCCACGATTCCAACGGCCGTTTGGGCGCTGTGCCTAGCAAAACGCTTGTCTCTTCGAGACGTAACGTTTGGGGAAGTAGTCAGCGGCCGCAACATTGATTTCCCAAATAGTGATGTCGTGATGGGCCCATGCTGGCAATATATTCCCGTCCGAGTCAAATTCGAACGCGGCTGGACGGGGCTGGAGCTCCTGAAATTTGTCCAGCACCAGCACATCGCCAGCACGCGATTCGAGGGCATCGGCCTCCCGGAGATTGTCAAAGACTGTACAGACTGGCCAAGCACGGCGGACTGGTTTGATTCTGTCGTGCATCAGGACGTTGCACATGTGGAAAGCTTGGGATTCTTGTCGGCGACGAGCCGAATGGAGACGGTCTATCCCCATGCCGAGCCGCTGCGGGAGTGGAAGATCCAAGCGTTCTTGAAGGATAACCAGCTGAGCATCGAGATCGTGACATTCGAGTCGTGGCTGGGATCTGCGAATTCGTTGCTGGATGACATTGCGAAACTGATGTCGCAGTTGCTGGCGGAACCGCATTCGCGCATCTTTGATGATTGACCCTGTAATTAATAGACATTGAAGATTTCTTTTCATTCGTTCGATCTTTTAAGAAGTGCCCACTAGAAATATGCAGAAGTTTCTGGCAAAAGCATCTGGGCGTCAAAGCTATAGTTACTGATGATAGCCGTTATTTTTTTCATAGAATGTTCGTTCCTACTGGCTTTACGGGATTGCTTCTGAGATCAGATGCCAGAGCTCCTGTGGCAACCAACGCTTGACTGATGAGCGTAGAGTATTTGAACGGAGAGATGTCTATATCCGCCTCGCAGCTCTGGTGAATCGCCTTCAAACCCAGAATGCTTCCATTCAAAAAGGAATGATGCACTATCTGGAGAGCATAATGCAGCATTATTTGAAGACAGTGTTCAATCTCCGAAGCAACTGGCCGCACAAGCAGCGAAAAGCTCCATCGTCACCAAGGAATGAAGAGGATCTCCTCAAAGCCTCATGTTTAGAGCGTGGTTCACAGCAGCCAGGTACATTCGTTTTCAATGCCCTTTTCTCCAGCAACCCAGCATAGCAAGGCAGCGCCCACCGAAGTGTAGCATTTTGCCTGACGGCAGGGCATTGACCCTTCATCCGAGACTGGTAGCTCCGATATCCAGTTACAGAAGATCCTGCAGGAAGAATTGCAGCATTGGTTGTCGTCACTAGTTCTGATTCGTCTTGGGCCTGGGCCGTGCTTCTCGATTCTTCCAACAGCCAACCCAGTCGAGATATCAATGCACAGCCATGTGTTTTGAGGACGCGAGGCGGGTGTCCTAGGGCGGCTGGAACCACTGACAATGGGTTAGTTATCGAATCAGTCGCATGGCTTCGAATGCCGAATTCTTGGGCTGACGGCCATTTCAATGGGAACGGGATAGATATATCGTACTCCCGACCACATCAATGGCTGACCAACAGAACGGTCCGCTCGATTGCTTACAGAGGTCCCGGTCCGACTTTCAATGTTTTCCGAGGAGAAATAATCAGCCCCGAAAGAGGCTCTAGCTTGCGCAGCCTCCGCTGGGCATGAAGAGGGTGACTAGGGGCCAGAGCACAGTTAAAGCCAGAGGGATGAACTTCCCAACTTCGATCTATCAAGATGCCTCGCCACTGAACGAGCCAACGCCACGGGTCGGACCAAAAACAACGGCCGCAGTGGCTGGTTTCAGCAGCACTGGTTCCCATCCATCGAGCTCGCTTGCCCGCACTGTCATTCTGTCATTTCCATTTGGGCCCAAAGGAAGAGAGAGCGGGGGAAAAGGCGACTGGGATTGCAGCGATGGCGGGACGAATCGTCGAATCCTGGTGCGGTGGCTCTCTCGTTAACGCAGGGCATCGTGCCCAGGACCGTACGTGGCAAATGAGCGCTTTGCAATGATAACCAAGTCGAGACTCTGGGGTTTCTTCAAGCTTCTGAGACGGTTTCGATCTCACTTTGCATCAAGGATACCCTGGATGTGAGACTTGGCCTCTGGGGTAATGATCGATATCGGCAAGGCTGAAACGCTCTCTGGCTGGAGTTGATTAATTCATGCTGTGCGGTCTTCCTGTGCTGGTTTGACAACAGAAAGCGCAGACGCTGTCGACATTCACACGCGCTCAACTTGGCCGGCCGGCTCTCTCGGAGTTGGCTTGCGCGATGCTCGATGCTCGATGAGTTGAGATGCAAGGATCCAGCGTTGGAGATCTCAACTAACTAACGAATAACTAACTAGTTAACGAACTAACATCAAGTGAACCGTCTCTCCTGGACATCCGTTTGGGCAACTCGACTGTTGATCACAACATCCGAGCAAATTGGCCGTTGTTTAGGGCCTGGGATGAGACAGGAAATGGTCGCTTGATATGGCTGGAATTTTGCAAATGCTTTATGCATGAACATCTTCGTCAGCTAATAATTATGACGGTTTGACTACTCGCTACAGAGTCACTAGTTGACATTGCTTGGAGCAGTTGGGAGTCGGATCTCTGCATTTGCCCCTGATCTATCATACTCAGCAACTTACCATCGATGAACAGTTACGCACTTTTCTCTGGCCTGCTCTTTTCAACGCTGTCTCTCACACTATCTAAATGCAGCCCGATATCGGAGAGAGAAATTGTTTTGGTGAGCAGCAGTACTGCAGCCCCCACAGATACACAAGGGCACTGCAGGGCGGCTGGACGGCCTTCCGTTTTGACGATGGCGCTGATGTCGCATGGTGTCATGACTGTTTCAGCACTTTGGGCACCGCATGGCAATGTGGTCTGACCACTCTCTTCGCTACAACCAAAGCCCCTGTCGTGCGTTGGCGCTAGGGAGCTCGGCATGCCGCCCAGGTGGATGAAGACTGCACTAGGATGACTGGACTCGCCGATGCTTTTCACCAAAGCATTCTGTCCCGCGTCTAGACGGCCGTCGAACGCATGGCAAGAGTCGATGTGGATGCGCCTCTGAACCGTGAAGAATCTAAAATCTGTGTTTCCTGGGGAAAAGTCCCTGTGCTCGCCGTCCCAAATACCGGCCTGCCCCCTGTCTGCACCCTGGCGCTCTCTCCATGTTGTCTTTTGGCCTCCAGGGCATCTCACTGCAATCTCAATCTTCTTCGAGCTTTTCCCCCGTTTGCACGCTGCGGCATCGTTTGTTGGAGTCCATCCTGCTCGTTATCCACTGCCTCAATAACAAGCAATTGTCCCTTGAGCGGTCTTAGCTCACGGTCGCAATCGATGCCTGCTTTCTCATCATGTTATTTCTCAGGAAAGTGAGAGACAGAATTTCACTTCCGCTGCGTCCAAAGGGCATTGAAAAGATAGGGTTGACCTCCTCTGCAACCGAAGACTCTCATCTCGAGGCGAATCGCAAATTACATTTATACCATCGTGTCCATCGGTGGGACCCTAATCTTGATGATGAATATCTCGACGAAGTGCACCGCGCAGCCAACAGTTACGATGGGAGTTCAACAAACAAACGCATGGCCCAAAAGGTCTCCGAGAATTCGCCTTATCCAGAGGTCTGCATCCCAAAATCATACACGAGCACGAAGCTCCAGTAACTTTTTCTGATACTTGCTCCAGGTTCGAGCCGCTGTGCGGAATAAGGACGAGGACGTGCCCGTGGATACCATTCGTGCATGGACGATCGGTATCTTCCTCACAACCGTCGGATCTGGGCTGAATTCGTTATTCGCGCTTCGTGCGCCTTCGATCGTTGTTAGCTCCATGGTCGCATTGCTTATCGCGCACCCACTTGGCCTGGCTTGGGCAAAGGTGATGCCAAATAAAAAGATCAAAGTTTTTGGCCGCGAAATGGAACTTAACCCTGGACGGTTCAACATCAAAGAACACGCTTTAATAGCAATCATGGCGAATGCCTCGATCGGAAACGGACACGCGTACTTTGCCAATACGATCCTAGCCCAAGTGAAATTCTACAACACTGATTTCGGTACGGGGTCTTGCTACTCCTTTGCGTTTTTGAGATTGCTAGCTGACCATGGTTCTGAATCAAGGGGTGTTATGGGAAATATGTCTTGCAATCAGTACCCAAATGGTCGGATTCGGTATTGCCGGGCTGCTTCATCGGATTCTTGTCGAACCAGGTACGCTTAGCCTTTTTGAATCTCGCTCTCTGCTCCGTAGCTATGTTGATCGCTTCGTATTTTGATGTGAGGGAGCTGATTCCATCTAAGGATCTATGATTTGGCCGCAGACTCTTGTTAGCTCGTCGTTCCTTTATACTTTACACAATGACAGCCCGCCAAATCCAGCTACCACGAACGGTTGGCGAATTCCACGTTATCGATATTTCCTCTACCTATTTACAGGCGCCTTTATATGGTATTGGTTTCCGGGGTTTATTGCGCCGTTCCTCAGTGTGTTCGCCTTTGCTACGTGGATCAAACCGAATAATCCCCTTGTGAATCAACTATTTGGAGGTTGGACCGGGCTCTCGCTCATCCCCATCACTTTCGACTGGACCCAAATTGCAGGTAAAGAGGCTCTTTCCCGAGAAGTTAATAGGCGCTTTTGCTTATGCTCTGCAGGATACGTTCAAAGTCCATTGATACCACCGTGGCACGCAATCGGAAACACCATGATTGGGACCGTCGTCACGTACCTCATTGTGACTCCTATCCTTCACTACACCAACCACTGGTACGCACGAAGTTTACCTATCCATGACTCGACCATATACGATAATACCGGCCATCCATATGATGTTTCCAAAGTTCTGGACGCCGATAGAACGTTCGATTTGCAAAAGTACAAGGTGGGCCGTTCCTATATCCTAATTATCCAATGTCTTGTATTGATTTTGCCTTTCCAAGGCGTACTCACCGGTGTTCCTCCCAACCACCATGTCTATGACATACGGTCTGAATTTCGCTGCGATTGCCGCCTTGATCGTACACACCGTTTTATTCCACGGCCAGCAAATTTGGATCAGGGCTAGGGATGTCCGCGGTGACTTGGACGATATTCACACCCGGATGATGCGAAAATATCCAAAGGTCCCAGTGTGGTGGTATCTGGTCCTTCTTAGCGGATGCCTCGTTTTGTGTTTCCTGACCTGCGTGGCCTGGCCGACACATTTACCCTGGTGGGGCCTTCTTATAGCGCTTTTAATCGCATTCATCTTGACGGTTCCCATTGGCATCATTCAGGGCTCGACTAACATTCAGATCGGACTAAACGTCTTCACCGAGTATATCGTCGGATATATGCTTCCTGGCCGGCCTCTTGGGATGATGCTTTTCAAAACTTATGGATATATCAGCATGGCCCAGGGCTTGTCTTTCATCCAGGATCTGAAGCTTGGACATTATCTCAAAATCAACCCTCGGTCACTGTTTTGGGCACAGGTGCTCGCCACATTATGGTCTTGTTTTGTCCAGCTCGGCGTGATCAGGTGGAGCATGGGTAACATCGAAGGCATCTGCGAACGTGATCAACCCAACCGGTTTACGTGTCCCAACGGCAGGGTGTTCTTCGCAGCTTCAATCTTGTGGGGGTTGATCGGACCACGGCGCATCTTCTCCGGTAAATCGATATACGCTGGACTTCAATACTATTGGGTGGCCGGCGCATTGGCTCCGATTGTTTTTTATATCATTGCCCGGATTTTCCCCCGGTCCAGAGCTCGGTTCGTCAACACGCCCATTTTATTTGGTGGTACACTCATGCTCCCACCGGCCACCACCTTGAACTATGTAAGTCCTTCACGTCCCGCACTCCTTTGTGCACCGGCTGATTTGACCATGAATAGCTCGCATGGGGCATCGTGGGTGTTGTATTCCAAAAGCATATCCGTTACCGGTTCACAGGCTGGTGGATGCGCTATAACTACATAACCTCCGCTGCACTCGACACGGGCCTAGCAATCAGCACAATCGTCATCGTCACGGCTTTCCAGCTGTCAAACATCAGCTTCCCAAGCTGGTGGGGAAATACGACTGCTTTGCAAACGATGGACCAGAAGGGGACCGCGATAATCGACCCCTTGGCGCCGGGCGAGACCTTTGGGCCAAAGACCTGGTAGTCTTTGCTGATAGCGGCTTTTGCTCTTTTCTTTTCTTTATCTTCTAGCATTCCATGGTGTTGTGGAAGGGACCAAAGCGATGAGTAAATGGGCGTTCTCAATGGGTTGTTCTCTTTTGTATACTCTCCCCTAGTTTGAGAGTCTCCCGCACAGTTATATACCCTCAGGCACAATGGCTCGCGACAAGTATCTGAATGTTTTCTTCCCTTCAGTTCGCGTTGACTGTCTGTTAACTACATAAGCAGCTCTTGGCATTACTCTATTAATGAAAAGACTACAGACTCCACTGTTGGTGCATATCTGGATTTTTAGTGAAAGTAGTTTTTGTTTGTATTGTTTCGGGGATTTATATTAGAAAGAAGTATTATACACTGCAGAATACATTAGCAAGATAGGTGGAAATCACATCTTGGATTTGGAATCGATTTCGGCTTCCATGTTCCGCATCTCAGGCAATCCCCATTTTTGCATCCAATCGCATCTTACCACGTCCTTGATTGTAGCCCTCTTCCTAGGCTCAAAAATGAACATGGATTTGATCATTTCACCGAATGCCTTTTCCTCTTCTGGTGAGAAAGTGGGATACTTCATCATCAGGCGGACACGATTGATATCATGTGGGAAACGCTGGTCCCAATTTCTTGATATAACACCATATTTTTGTTGGTATTCCTCCTTAACACTCTTTATTCCATCATCATCAAACCAGTCGCTCCTATTCTTCCACTTTCTCCACCATTTTTCAGGAAGCTGACCAAGCATCTCAACATGTTCTGTCAAAAGCCCATCAATTGTTTGCGGAAAGGGGCAAAAGGGGCCGCTATTTCCAAAAAGCTCCCAAAGTAGACAACCAAGTGTCCATATGTCACCTGGAAATGAAAGAGGCTCATCTGCATCTGGTCCAGACCCCATGAAAATGCATTCCGGTGGTGTTAGTTGGGGAGGTGTATGAGAAATAAACTGCTTGACCTTCTCCGGGACAAAGGCCTCTCCAAAATCAGCAATGTGAATTGAAGCATCAGCAAGTGTAAGCTCATCACTTGCACCTCCAAGCCACACTGGTACTATTGCTTCTGAAGGAACACCAAAATCAAGTGGTTTGCAATCGCGACGAACAACCAATTGCTTGGATGGTTCACCGGCCCTTGTATAAAGTTGTTCAGCATTCATAGCCTGGATATCAGGGGGCAGGTTTAAAAACACATTTCCAAGGTGAAGATCTATGTGAATGTTAGTGTCATTTCATTTGTATTGATATTTTGCAGGCTATCATACCACCATGGACAATTCCCTGAGCATGGATGAACTGAAGGCCCAAAATAATCTGAGATGCTATTGCCCGGGCAGCTGGTAAGGAGAAAAGGCAATGATTTGAAGCAAGTTTAGATTCCATAATGCTAACCCTTGCAGCATTTGAAACCAAGCACTTATGGACGCCATTAGGCCCAGAGAATGTGAATTCATCGCGGAGTGTCTGAACCATAGTCCTCCCGGGGAGGCTCGACTCAGCATTGCCTAATTGTAGTAGGATTGCCGATTCATCGGTTCGCTCAACAAGTTTTCGCTCGATTGATTCTGCAGTGGATATCTTCAAGGCAACTAGCTGAGATGCTTTCTTGTCCTCAGCTAACCATACTGTCGCAGATCGACCAAATCCAAGTTTATGGACAATGATATATCGGCCATCACAAAACTTGTCCCCAAGTTTCACAGGATGGTAGCCGCCTGGGACATAGAAGTCCAAACGCTCGACTTCCTCAGTGTACTCATATCGAACTGTGCTTGGCTCCAAGGGAACCCAGGTGTATGCTCGTCGGAATGGTTTGATCGTTAGAGAATTGGAAATCCGATGTCGTAAAATCGTAGTGAAGCCCCGATGGGCCATATCACAAAGGAAAGATAATAGGAAATGGAAAGACAGTGAAGTCCGCCTTGTTGATCTGCCGAGTTTAATCTGATAACTAGCATATTAGTCATCCATCAGATAAGGCCTTATAAATCATCCCGCCTTCCATCAGCATCAAAATCGCTCGTTTTCTTCACTGTTCAGTCAAGGGAGATTTGTTCCATGAATCCTCGCAGGCCTTAAGCTGACCTGTTGCGCCACTACTCACCCCATCGCAGGAAATATCTGTTTTGTCGTACCTTCTACTACTTCCGGTTGTCAACGCGCAGCAATGTCCACCCTCCATGAAGTCACCTCCGAGGAGGACTTCACCACCCAACTCTCCGCGCTCCCTCCAACCGCTCTCGCTGCTCTCTCCTTTCACACTCCCTGGGCTGCTCCATGCACGCAAATGCGCACCGTCCTGTCTACGCTCGCCTCGACATACCCCGCCACAACCCCTCCATCCATCGCCTTCCTCAGCATCAACGCCGAAGACTTCCCTGACATCTCAGAACAATATGATGTGACCGCCGTGCCATTCCTCGCCCTCGTGCGTGATAAACAGGTCGTCGAAACGGTATCTGGCTCCGATCCGGTCAAGGTCCGTGACGCAATTGAGCGGCACGTGGGGCGCGGCGGACAAGCGGACCAGCCATCCATCCCACCCGCACTACCGGTAACACCGAGAGCGACAGCTTCGCAGGACGTACCCAATGGACCCCCTACTACTGCTGCTCCAAATGCACAGCCAGAGCCGCCCGAGCCGACAAAGGAAGAGCTCTTTGCGCGGCTATCGGAGCTTGTAAAAGCCGCGCCCGTCATGCTATTCATGAAAGGCACGCCGAGCGCGCCGCAGTGCGGTTTTAGCAGACAGGTTGTGGGCATTCTGCGCGAGAATGGGGTGAAATATGGATTTTTTAATATATTGGCGGATGAGCACGTACGGCAGGGATTGAAGGAATTCGGCGATTGGCCTACGTTCCCACAGCTATGGGTCAAGGGCGAGTTGGTGGGCGGGTTAGATATTGTAAGTCTATGATACATCTTCGTCACTTGCGTATTGGGAGTGTGGCGAAAATGCTAATTGGGTCTGATATGCAGGTGAAAGAGGAACTCGCTGCGAATCCTGCATTCTTCCATGATTATTCGGTCTCCAAAGTTGCAACTGCACCGTCCGCTTAAAACTTCATATTACTAGCACTTTTAAAACCACTTTTAACCGCCTTTCTCTGCGAATTGGTTTTGGAATGATATTTAATAAATTGAATTGTTCGAACCCTCCAATGCAAATCTTGCTGATCCGGTGCTTGCAAATGCATTAGTCTGCCCGTTATTTTGGCTGTATTTCTGTTTTAGATATGTGACTATATTTACACATTCAACATCAACAAAAAGGGCGCTTTCTCCATTTTTTAAATAAAATGCCGCAAGATGGGAAGTTTGAATTGAAAACTGAAGCACGAGGAAAAGTTGAGACGTCTGGTATACAAGTATGAATCTTCGCTGTCTATGATACAAAATGCTAGATCTGGGAGATATTTTTAAAATGAGCCCCATCATTAAAAAAATGTACTATTCAATTCGTAAATAGAAGACCTCAGATGCCCTTGCATGCTATTGTGTAATCCGATGGGGTGTTTATTCAGTAACAGTAGAGTCTTGAACTGGTTCTGGCTGTGATCGCCCGATCATCTTCTCGCGGATCGCGCGTGGAGTTAAACTGCGGGACATCCACTGCTCCTCCGTCACTTCACGCCACTCTTCAGGGTTCTGCGCGCGACAGATCTCAAACTTGGACAGCAGTGCATCCTCGTCTACATATGCACCGCGTAGCCAACGGGAGCGTTCCTGATTATCACTTCCCGACAGGTCAAACGCTTCTCGAGCGTGGACAACGCGCCGGTTTGCGAAAATCGCGCATTCGCCCGGATTCAATTTCAATTTGAATACGTTTTCTGGCTTCTCCAGACTATTTGCAAAGACACGCATCGCCTTGACCCAGGACCTGAAGGTTGGTCCTACTTCCACACCGTTGTGGAGCCTGGAAAGGCGGGGAGTAATTGACATACTTGATGTCACCCATCCTGTCACCCTCGAATGTAGGGCGCGTATATTCATAGCGTTGGCCGTCGTTGAAATAACCAAATCGAACCGGGGTGGTCCAAAGCCTGTTATAATCGTGTCGATGGGTTCTGTATAGTTGTTCCGCAGCGCGAACAGTGTCCGAAAACATGGATTCTCCGCCCGGGAGGGAGTTACTCATGCAGTGCAAGAGCTGGTAACCCGGTGGATCGGCCATATATAGTAGGTCCATATGAAATCCCAAGAATTTATTCGTGTAAGCCACATTTTTAGCATCTGGCTGGCTTCGAACGTCCCAGGTCGAGCCGTAAAACGAGTTGCGCAATGGGCCCATCTTTGTTGCGATTTGCGACACACTTTCTGTTGATTCGGGGACATCCTTGACAAAAACCAATCCATATCTGTATAAGCTGCGCATAAAGCCCCTGAACTTTTTCTCATCATTCATATATTCATCAAAAGAGATCCAATGCTGGTTCCTTGTGAAGGATTCCTTGTTCCACGCAATTCGATAGCCCCCCGCACGTTTATGCCGAGGAACCGGAGGCTGAAATAAGGATCTGAGCTGGTCCATGCTATACTCCGAAATATGCGAGCCATCAGGATCCCCATTACTACCGCTCCAGGTTACCACAATCTTATCGGGCTGAATCGACACGTCCTTCTCAGCGACCTCCATGTCGAGGTCCGAGGTTGCAAAATTACGCTGTTTTGTCGATGGATCAATGCATTTTGAACAAGTGCACGCGTCTCGCAAGCGAAGACGAGCTATTGGCATCTCGACGCCGTCGATTGGAAGCCATAGGCGCGATGTGTCCACGACAGGCTTCGGGATCTCACCAGTCTGAGCATTATAGCCTGAGGGCTTCGTTTTCGCGATATGTCTCGCAATGGCGTCATCAGTGGCATTACTTTTATTCCTCGCTGGAAATTTCCGTATCTTAAAGGGCGCCGAATGCCCTGGCTGAAGATTGCTCTCAGCTTGAACGGCGGCTCGGTGCTCTGGCTCGATTGGGGCGCTGGAGTACGCACGAAGCGAGGGTTTCACTCTGTAAGCATGTCCGCACCACCCACTAGGGGCTTTTGATAGCCTCCGAAGCCCCAAACGTGCCGACATGGTGGCGGTATCTCGTGCTGCGATCTCTGTGGATGCTGTCAGAAGCAAAAGACCAAAAGTTGTGTTGTCGCGGCGGACGGAATTCTCCCGCTGAGTCATTGATTAGTCAGCACCAGAGACCCCCTGCCCCTTTTTTTGCAAAGAATCAGATGAAATGGATTTTATTTCGGGTGCGGTAGCCTTGAGGTATAAAGCTTAATCCCGGGTCGTGGGCATATCATAAATGGAAGATCATCTACCTTTGAAGAAATTTCATAGAAAGATTGGCCCAGTGATACATTCGAGATTTGACAACATGCCAATTTCTCGCAATGGGAAGAAACCCGATAGTCGGACTACAGTGTAGAAAAACCATAACCAACCGCTCAAGTAAAGCATCATCGTTATGGCTAGGCAGCTATATGTTTGTAAACGCAATACGTCATGCAGGAAGAGCCTTATACTATCCATCGTGAGCAATAATGGGATAGAGGCAGGGAATACCGCGCCTGAGACTTTGGCTTTAGTTCCTTATCAAAGAGGCTTCATCGCGATCCTGTACAGACTCTGATAATACCGGTTCTCTGCTAATTAGGTGTGCACACTTTTCCTCCCGCCTTGCCACACTATGAGCCATGGAAATCGAACGTCAGATTCAAATAGGCGCCAACGTTGGCCCTCAAACCTCAACCCCAGTTTCAGCCTGATTTAAACTTTGCAATGAGCCCTTAATTCTTAGTAAAATCTTGCCTGAACCTTTCCAATCATCGTCAAGTCTTTTGATAACCTCAACGAACCCGATTTCCCGCCAAGACACAAACCGCTTACATAACCAACCTAATCTCTGTTTGCGGCTCCTGTCCCTGCCTCTGATTGGTGGTACTTTGATCTCTTGGCGAGCTAGCGTTCCCGCAACTCGGTGCCGGTGGAGCCTCGCCATCCCCTCGGTACCGATTGCGGGCCCGACTTGCCATCCCGAGTTGACGGCGGCAGCCTGCTCAGCAGCTTTATAAAAAAGCGAGCCAGTAGGCCTCGATGTTAGCGGAATGGACTGACTATGCTTTTATTTAGCGACCATCTCCTTTGACATCTCAAGTCGTCAAATCGATCTCCACCTCTGTTAACACAAGGTCCCTCGCGTTTACGAGGCTCCCGACAACTTCGCATCGTGATTGGCCCTGTTCCTGGATTCGGGGATAAGAAGCATCGGATGATGGCTTCCCTGGACCTCTTACCCACCGAGCTTCTCAACCTCATCGCTCAAAAGCTCCACGTTGAGCATATCTCCAACCTCCTTCGGACCTCGAAACGGCTTTATAACGCGCTGAACGATGAGCTCTACCGTGAAGCGAGCCGGCGGGACAATGACGAATATGGACAACCAGTATCGCTTATCCACGCTGCTTCGTTCGGTGAACCCGCTTCGTTCGATGGGCTATTGAGCCGAGTCAAAGATATTAATTCTCCAATCGTCGATCTCGAGGGTTACCCGTCGTATCGCCTGCCCATTTCCAAAGGAGTGACCAGGATCACGATTCTCCAGGCCGTCAGTGCCATGGGGAAAGAAAACTTGGTCGAATTACTCATTGCCAAAGGTGTGGACACGGAAGTGCGAGACAATGGCCAGCAAACCGCGCTGCACCTTGCTGTTATACTAAAACAAACGGCTGTGGTCAAATCGCTCATCGAAGGGGGTGCCAACGTTTTAGCTTTACATGGCGCCCAAAACACCGCCTTGGTATATGCCCTGCAGTACGGAAGCCTAGCCATTGCCAGAATGCTCATTGCGGCCGGTGGAGCGAATGTAGAACTCCCTGCTGGGCCCAGCAACCCTGTTTCTCAAACTGTCGCCTACATGGACCTCTCACTTGTAAAGCAACTTCTGGAGACGTCCTCGGCCTTTTTCCCAGAGCCCTGCCTTACCGACGCCCTTCCGAGTGCCATCAAGACCGGCAATGTGGATATAATTCAGTACCTGCTCGATGCCGGTGCCAAAGCGACACCAGATGCGTTGAGCGAGGCTTGTGCGGCAGATAATTTGCCGGTTATAAAACTACTCATCCAAGCTGGGGCAAACGTCAGAGGCCGTCAAAGGACTGGGGCTACCGCTCTTCACAGTGTTTGCAGCTTTGAGGCCGCCAAGCTGCTCTTTAACGAGGCGCCTGATCTGGGGAGGTTACTCGCTGCCCACCAGCCCGCTGTGGAACATGTGTATCGGACTTATTCCCTCAATCAAAACCTGGATATAATACTTCTAGTGTTGTTCTTGCTATGGAAGGGACCACGAGATCAGGATCCAGAGGACAGCGGTAATCGTATGCGCGCCATTCACTATGCGGCGCAGTATGGCCATGAAGCAGTATTAAGATCAATTTTGGCCCAACAGAAATGGCAGGTCTCCACACTCAGTTGCACCGGCGCCACTGCGCTGCACTATGCCGCAGCCTCCACGTCCGAATCAAGGCTAAACTGTGTACGGCTCCTGGTCGAGGGCGGCGTGGATATGGCCGTGATGGATCAACTTGGAAATACTGCCTTAAAGTCTGTCTTTCTCAATGGATATCACCCACTCAACGCTACAGTCGCCGAGTATCTTGTTCGCGCTGGGGCTAACCCATCGCAACGTCAACAAAACGACAAGTCACCGCTTCATGACGCGCTGTATCATTCTGACTCCGAGTCTGCTTTGGTTCTGATCCAAGCAGGAGCCGACATATCGGCTATGGATCCTTGTGGAATGCAGCCGCTACACTTCGCAGCCCTATTTGGGTGTGCCGATATTGTGACAGAACTTGCTCAACGCGGAGTCAACCTATCTGCTCGAGATAATCGGGGGTACACCCCGTTGCATCTGGCGATTTCTCAGGGGTTTGAAAAGTATAGGAACCGGGAAGATTTTCTCGTAAGCGTGGAACGAGTGATTACTCGCAAATATTCACACGCGCATACTTCTCACGCTGACCCTGAGGCCCTGCGTGGGAGTAGATATCTGGCAGTGATCAAGGCCCTCTGCTATACAGGGGCTAATATTAATGCTCAAGCAACCTCAATGAACCTCAGCCCGGCCGACTTTGTCGGGATGCAAAGGTTTTGCTGGAACGGATTCGCACGAAATGAGGGGCCGTCAACCGAGACTGAACAAGTTGATGAGACGCTGCAATCTGCAGACGAGGTCCGCAAAATCTGGTGGAAGCTGGCTGAATATCTCAATTGGCAGCGGGTATTTCACCCTGCCAGCACAGGATTAGAGTAGCCAGAGTAGTCGGGGGCAAACGGCGTGACGGGTAGGAGGTGGCAGCTTCAACAATAATCCTTCGACAATCGAGACAAGACCTTGTTGTATGTGAGCGCAGAGCAGTTGTTGGTGGAAGGTGGTGATAGGCTGAGATTTAGACACTCAACGGGCAATTGGCATTACATCATCGCTCTCTCAACAAATTTCCTGTGATCAAATTTCGTATTTTCAAGCGACGGCAATGTGATTCTTGCAGTTTTAATGTCTCTGGTCTATTCATTCGTTTATGCTGTATATACCTTTTGCTCTAATCCACTGCCGTAACTAGCTATCCTATCCTGTCTTCGTTCCTTGCCTTTTCGCATCCGGCCAAGCGCTCGCTTTTCTCAACACGCGCCCATACCAGAATCGCCTTCTACATTAATGAATGTCGGCTGGTGGCGAGCATCTAAAAGATGAAGTATGCCTTTATATATATAATGTATCCTGAACCCTCAATTGACATCGCATGCAACAGGGTCAACGGTACCAGGTGGTCGCCGCCGGCGCAATCGCGGGACTGGTCTCGCGGTGAGTCCATTCATCCCAACTCCCCATGCATCACAAATCGTCTCTAACGATCTCAATGCGCTTAGATTCTGCGTTGCACCCCTCGACGTAGTCAAAATCCGACTTCAGCTCCAGATCCACTCCCTCTCCGACCCTTTATCACACCGTCACATCCACGGCCCCGTATACAAGGGTACCATATCGACCCTCAAAGCCATAGTCCGTGAAGAAGGCATCACAGTCCGTCACCACCATCCCGCTACATACAAACACCCCAGTCCTTCATAAACGATGTGAAAAACCCATACTAAACTTCCCCTTTTCAACCCGCAGGGCCTCTGGAAAGGCAACATCCCCGCCGAACTCCTCTACGTCTTCTACGGCGGCATCCAATTCACCACCTACCGCACCGTCACCCAAGCCCTCCACACCCTGCCCACCGCCCACCGCCTCCCCCAGCCCGCCGAGTCATTCCTCTCCGGCGCCGTCGCCGGCGGCATCGCCACCCTCACCACCTACCCCTTCGACCTCCTCCGCACCCGCTTCGCCGCCCAGGGCAACATCAAGATCTACCCGTCTCTGCTCTCCGCAGTCCGCACAATCCACTCGCACGAGGGGTACCCGGGCTTCTTCCGCGGCGCGTCCGCCGCCGTCGCCCAGATCGTGCCGTACATGGGCCTGTTCTTCGCCACGTACGAGTCCGTGCGCGTGCCTGTCGCCCAGCTCGAACTGCCGTTTGGCTCCGGCGACGCGACCGCCGGCGTGATCGCGAGTGTGTTGGCCAAGACCGGTGTGTTCCCCTTGGATCTGGTGCGGAAGCGATTGCAGGTGCAGGGTCCCACGCGGTCACGGTATATTCATCAGAATATCCCTGAGTACTCTGGGGTCTGGAGTACGATAAAGTCGGTTGTGCGTGATGGTGGAGTGAGGGGGCTGTATCGTGGGCTGACCGTGAGTCTGATTAAAGCGGCGCCTGCCAGTGCGGTAACAATGTGGACGTATGAGAGGGTTCTAAAAACATTGAAAGAAATGAATGCGGATCCCGTGCGGTAGAGCTTCAATTATGCACATCTGTATGTATGTACGTACAGTATTTGAATAGATAATTGGAGATACTTGACATTCTAAAGCCAGGCTTGTTCTTACGCAAGCCAAGAGCTTCACCTCCTCGAAGACGGTCTACAACAAGAAGCAGCACCAATGTATGGTATTAATAAAATTTATAGGTTCATTTCAATCAAGCTCAATTATCAAATGTCGGTACTGGATATCAACTTTCTCGTCTCTGGCAAAGCAAAAATGAAGGTATTCTGCGACAAAAAAGGAGTTTTCAAACACGAGACGGATAAAGTGCGCTGCGGTGGACGTGCTTAATACTCAAGACCCTCATCTCCCTCAGCTTCCAGACTGTCGCTGGCGACTTCTTCGTAGTCCTTCTCCAAAGCAGCGAGATCTTCGCGAGCCTCAGAGAACTCACCCTCCTCCATACCCTCACCAACATACCAGTGCACGAAAGCACGCTTGGAGTACATGAGATCGAACTTGTGGTCGAGGCGGCTCCAGGCTTCGGCAATGGCAGTTGTGTTGGAAAGCATGCTGACAGAGCGGTCAACTGGGGCGAGCTCGCCTCCTGGAACACGGATCGGTTTCTGGTAGTTGATGCCGAGTTTGAATCCAGTTGGGCACCATTCAACCAGGTTGAAAGATGTCTTGGCCTTGAGAGAAGCAACGGCCACGCTGCAGTCACGAGGAGCGACATCACCGCGGTAGAGAAGGGCAACGGCCATGTATTTACCATTGCGGGGATCGCAAACGACCATCTGATTGTTGGGCTCGAAGCCTACGGAAATGAGTCAGCGTTAAGATAAACGACCAAGGAGAATGATTCTTACATTGGAAGGTCAAGTCAGGAATCTTGAAGCTCTCATGGGAGCTGCGGTTGCTGGAAACAACTGGAGCATAACTGATAAGAGGATAGTGGATACGAGGATATGGCACCAAGTTAGTTTGGAATTCGTTCAAATCAACGTTCAAGGCACCATCGAAACGCAAGCTCGAGGTGATGGAACTGACGACCTGGGCGATGAGTCTGTTAAGATGTTCATAGCCGGGGCGGGGGATATCCAAGTTGCGGTGGCAGATGTCGTAGACGGCCTCGTTGTCCACAAGGAATGTGCAGTCAGAGTTCTCGATGGTGCTGTGAGTAGAAAGGACGGCGTTGTATGGCTCAACCACGGCACTGGAGAGGCGAGGAGCTGGGTAGACAGCGAATTCGAGCTTGGACTTTTTACCATAGTCGGTAGAGAGACGTTCCAAAAGAAGAGCACCGAAACCAGAACCGGTACCGCCACCAAAGGAGTGGAAGATCAAGAAACCTTGAAGGGAGGAGCAGTTGTCTAAATTCGACAGAACAATCAGCCAGATCCCAGCAGTATGTTTTGAGGGCATTTCTACCAGCAACGCGACGGATGCGATCGATAACGTTATCAACAAGTTCCTTTCCGATTGTGTAGTGACCTCGAGCATCTAGTATCCCCGTTAGATTCTCACAACTGTAGCTGGATCTGGGATCGTGGGAAGCCCACAGTTGTTAGCAGCATCTTCCTTTCCACTGATCAACATCTCAGGGTGGAAGAGCTGTCGGTACTGGCCGGTGCGGATTTCATCAATGGGCTAACAAGCAGTGAGTATGTATCCTCCACCTCCAAGGCACAAGGCCACGTACAGATGGGTCCAAGTCGACGAAGATGGATCGGGGGACATATTTGCCATTTCCGGTTTCAGTGAAGAAGGTATCGAAAGAGCCGGGCTCGCCAAGGTCAGCGGCATCGGGATCCGCACGGCCATCCGCTTTCAATCCGTGTTCAAGAAGGTACCTGTGTGGGAAAAGATCGCGATTAACCAAGGGTGTCGAAGGGGCGAAAGGGCGGTGAAGGAGCATACAGTTCCCACGCACTGTTACCCAGCTGGGTACCAGCCTGGCCGATATGAAGATGGCAGACCTATGTCGACAGAAGCGGCATTAGCACGGAGAAATTGGATATGCAAGGTTGTGGGTTCGTGGTGGAATGAAAGAGCACGGTTCAGATCAGGGGTGGTGCAAGCAGCAGGGCGTATAACGGGACATCGGAAGCAACGTACCTCGCCTCTCATTGTGACAGACTCACGAGTTCAGAGAAGAGAGAATCAAAGCAAATGTCGAGTCTCTGAGCACAGTGGTGGCGTCGGGGCTGTGAAGGTGACGAGGGGAGCGAGAGCAAGCAGCAGAAGCGAGGATTTTTGAGGGGGAAAAGAAGAGTAGGTCGAGTGGTCACGAACGGGAAGGAGTGTTGTTGTGTTTTGGGTGTTGAACCGTGCTCCTTCCCTCAACGTGTGCGTGCTAAACCCCAATTGGGAATGGTGTAAACACACCCCCTGTAAACAAGCCCTCCCCCACCAATCAGAGCGCCCCGTTGGGCTCTAGCGCCTGCCCCTTTTTGCAGGCAAACAGTGCAAACTCGCTCAACAACAAAAGCGCCTCTTTTGACGATCGCCAGACAGATTGTTGTCACTCGCTTGATTCTTCTGGCGTGGAACTACCAGATGTGAGGCGATCACTTTGCTGGATGATGATAATTCAAAGAAAGTGTCTATGGATTCTGATTTGGCTGACAGACATCTTCACAGTTTCCGACTCTCTACCGCCCGCTGATTGCAATATTACCCTCCCTATTACCAGTGCCATCGCGAGGTTAGATATACTGGGATATCGAACGACTTGGATTGGCATAGTTCAGTGTTGCGTCCGTCCAAGTTGGCATCATGGCTCCCCCCAACCAGGTCGATAAACAATCCCAGATACGCTTTCAAAGGCACGAAGACCATCTCTCCATCAAATCCCGTTTTCCTCTTGTACCAGCCGTATATACTGGACATGTATGGTGATGCTAGGACTAAGTAATTGTGCGAACGATTAGCCAGACCTTGTCAAAGAAGCGTGTCAAGCAGAGCCCGAGAGAGTTCACGCAAAACGCCAGGTCAAGACGGTCATCCATCAAGCCTAGGCATGAATCTGTACAGAACAAATTTGTGTCAAACAACTACAGCCAAGCGTGGAGATGAAGGGCACCAGGGTGACGTGGGGCTGCAGGGAATGCGTCCAAGTCTTTGACGTGAGACTTCCGTGGAGATAGACTGGCGGTTTGCAAAAAGTGATCTTGGACGATGGGGTAATCGAAACCCCGACCTTCTGTAATCACGCCCACTGCGGGAATTATGCGAAACAGACGTTATACCCCTAAACCAATCGCCCGAAAATTCTACTGGAGGCTCCCCAAAACGCATACTGATGGACCTCTTGATTCACAACTCGACAGATGTGCATCCATCCGCAATTATGCAGCCAAGTCGAAATCGAAACAAGCTGTCCAAGCACGTTTCGGTGCGGCCAGTCTGCTGGTCCCTGCCTTCCACTTTCCAAGATTCGGGGCAGACTGCGAGTGACGTGGGAGTTCCAGGCCCTCAGTTTCGTCCTGTCTTCTTCTCCGCTGCTGCGTTTTGCTGCGCATCGAAACCTGTCAAGCGGGGCCAACAAAGAACCCGCGCTTATGTCAGCACGAGAAGCGAGAGAACCGCAGGCTCCACCGAGCTCCACCCGCACCGCTCCCATTGGCTCGTTTTTATGCTTAACTAAGCCACTAAAGCCACTCAGGTGGGGCTTGCACTCCTCGGAGCTTCCTCTCGTGCTTGGCGTGTCTTCTGCTCATCAACGACGCTCCTCGCGGTCTCTCCTTGTCCTCGCCTCGTGCTTGAGCAGGCTCTCTCGTCTCTCTCAATCCTTTGTCTCGTTGTCTCTTTTGTCACGAAGCTCTCTCGCTTGACTCTCTCTGCTTCTCGTCCATACTTTGCTCTTCTCACCAGTCGTTACTCTTCCTAAAAGTTTCTTTTTTCATATCTCGTTGCCTCTTTGACTTTTTCCACACCCTAGCTGCCCAGCAAATCTGATCAATTGAGCAGGCAAGCCCTTCGTCATCTTGCTGCTCATCATCCTGCTTCAATCCGTTGACAGCACGCAGTAGCGGCCGGATCGTCGATCAACTAGCTGAACACAACCTCCTCAAGGTCGCAGCTCACCGTTTCTGTCACAGGAATTGGCTTCATCTCTCTGGAACCGCTTATGAGGAATCAAAACTAGCATTCAGAGCCTAAGCAACAGCTGGTGCCATGTCCACGCCCATCTACGAAGGGCCCGAGCCAAGCTACGGCTCCGAGCGGGGCCGTCTCGAACATGGCCGGTCGTCGACTGAAGAGACCATGGTCGGCGAGAAACCGCCCGACGAAGAGCGTGGACGCCTCAAGGTCGACCCTTCCCTCAATCCTCATGACACCGTGCAACCGTCGCCGTCGCGAACTCGGGAGGAAGCCCATCGGTTGGACGACGACCTGGCAATGTTGCAGGTCGAACGACAGGTATCAATAACCGAAACCGAAGTGGAAAAGGCAGGACGAACTGGGTCGATTCACAGATCCCGAACTCGGCGCTCAGAGCCTGTCGATGAGTTCGATGCCGCCACCAACCCCCTCCATGAGCAGACCGCGTTCAAACCCCCGGAGAACCCGACGACCAGCCTTGCTCGGTTTGTCAAAAAGGTCCACAACTCGAGCTTTTTGATCAGGTATTTTACCTATATTACGCCATTGGTTCTGATTCTCTTGATCCCGCTGCTGGTCGGTGCCCTGGCGTTCCCCGATGCCGATGTTGGCGGTGTGAGACTCATGTGGTTCTCTGTCTGGTTGGAAATCTTCTGGCTCACACTCTGGGCCGGACGAATCGTCGCAAAATGCATCCCGGTACCCGTGGGGATTATTGCAAGCATGTTTACCAACAATGCTAAGAAATGGAGGGACCTTGCGAAGCAGTTGGAATTGCCAGCTGCCCTCTTCTTCTGGTGGCTTGCAGTGGAGATCTCCTTTCTCCCGACTATGAAGAATCATCATGTCGATGGAAACAAGGCCACCAAACACTGGGAACTCGTTATGAACAAGATTATCATTTCTATTTTTGTTGGAACAACCCTCAACTTGATTGAGAAACTCATTATCCAGCTCATTGCAATCAGCTTCCATCTCAGAACTTATGCAGATCGCATTGAAATCAACAAGTTCCAGATCGGGAGCCTGACAAAGCTTTACGATTACTCCAAGAAGATGATCACCATGGAGGATCGTGAATTCGAAGATCAGCCTAAAGATGGGCAGAGTTCCGGCGCTCGAACCCCAATGATGTATGCCGACAGGGCAACAAGGGTGGCCAGGGAGGCCCTCCATCGCGTTGGCGACGTTGCTGGAGTAGTTGCCGGTGATTTTACAGGGCGGAAAGTCACGAAAAGCAGTCATCCATATCAGGTCGTCCTCACCTTGTTGGGCACCACAGCCGGAAGCCAAGTTCTAGCCAGGCGATTATATCGAACCTTTGTCCGCGAGGGCTTTGAAACCGTTTTTTCCGGGGATTTGAAAGCCGCCTTTGACAACGACGATGAGGCAGAAGCGGCTTTCAACATGTTTGATAAGGATATGAACGGGGATATCTCCATGGAGGAATTGGAAGCTGTCTGTGTCGAGATTGGCCGGGAGCGGAAATCTATTACGGCGTCGCTAAAAGATCTGGACTCCGTCGTATCGAAGCTAGACGACGTTTTCCTCTTCATCGTCGTAGTCATTACGATTCTCGTATTTTTATCCTTGATCTCGACCTCTGCGGCGGGCGTGTTGGCTTCGGCTGGCTCGACTCTGCTCGCTCTCTCGTGGCTCTTCTCCGCCACCGCGCAGGAATTTCTTCAGAGTATAATATTTGTCTTTGTGAAGCATCCATTTGATGTGGGTGACCGTGTCTCGGTGTACGGGAACACCGGCGCCAATCTCACGGGGGACGATTACTTTGTCAAGGAGATCGCCCTCCTATACACCGAATTCAAAAAGATGGAAGGGCATGTTGTCCAGGCCCCTAACAGTTATCTCAACACGTTGTTCATTCTCAACCAGCGGCGCAGCGGCGGGCTCGCTGAAGCCGTCCCGATTGTCATCAAGTTTGGCACCAGTCTTGAACAAATAGATGCTCTTCGACAACGCCTCCTCGACTTTGTGCTCTCCGAAAAACGGGAATATCAAGGCAAAATCCTCACTGAACTGAGACAAGTCACGGAAAATTACTCCATTACGCTCAATGTTGTCTTTTTCTACAAATCAAACTGGCAAAATGAATTGCTGCGTCTGCAGCGTCGGAACAAATTCATTTGCAACCTGATGATCTCGCTGCAAGAAGTTGGCATTGAAGGCCCACGCATGAACTTGCTGGGTTATAAGAACAATCTCCCGTACCATGTGTCATACCAGGGTGCGCCACCGCAATATACTCCCAATGAGAACGATCCATCCCACCCACCCCCGTCAGACCCCCAGCAGATCGCTGAAGCTCGCGACACGCTTGGAGAATTGGGCGGCGGGGTTTCCACTGGTGTGAATCATCACCCGTCTATTCTTCGCCGTCCGGGAGCGCGTGGTCGTGGTAATTCCGCCTCTAAACACGTCGACTTCTCTCTTGGCATGTCTGCACTCAGCTCCGGCGACCTCATGTCCGACGTATACAGTGACCGAGAAAAAGGCCGCGTGGACGACGTTATTCGATCCGCCAACCGCGAGACTGCGGAGCGTCGCCTCCAAGCGCAGCAGGAGCGGCTATCCCTTGAGCGAGAAGCGTCTCATCGTGGCCGTAACTCGCTCGAGTCTTATCGTTCCGGCTCATCGCGGCAAGCCACGTCGGCGTTGGGAAGCACGTCGTCCGTTCATAGGAATCGCTTTTTCGGTCGGCTCGGCAGTCGGGCGGGTTCGCACCAACCATCGCACCGAGGGTCTCGCGGTGACGATGATATGATGGAGCAAGGTCGATACGTCGGTGGTTCACCAATCCTCCCGCCAGTACCGCAAAACACCATGGATTCACGGACAAGGAACATTTCCTCTCAAGCAGCGCATGATGATTACCTGGATCAGCGGACGACGAACAGTGATTCGGAACTGATGCATAGCAGGAGCATGGACCGGATGAATGAAGAGTTTGAGATGGGCAGACTTGGGCACAGGTCGTAAAACGCTGCCTTTTGTGGTTTGTTTTTTTTGCATATATATTTTTTTGGAACTTTCTTTTGTTTTGGGAGCGGCATCGAATGCCTTTGCCCTTTTTCTTTCTTCCGAGTTCAGCGATGAACCACGCTGTCCCATGCATATAGATTGCGTTGTCCCCATCTTTTGGCAGTAGTTATGGAGGGCAATTTTGTTTTATACCCTTGAATCAACATCTGGACCACAGTCCAGCCCGGCTTTCGGTGTGAATAGTTATACAGCCAACAAAAAGCGCATTTAATTTCTTCTTTGGAACTAGACTCCTAGACATATTGATGTCATTTTGAACAAGTTGCATTCCAACAGTTAACACATTGCTCTGTGATGGTCCTGTCTCAGCCGATCGTGACTTGGCACCTGCAGGAAGGAGTTAAGTTACAAAAGTCCGGAGTGCGGCTGGAACGATTGGTTCGATCCGTGGATGGGCTGGATCTCGCGAACTTCTTCGGGTCGGAGACAGCGGAGGGTACCATAACTCGCGGTTCGATCTATGTATTTGGCGGTATTTGACAGCGTGGGGAGTCTTTCTCCAGAACCAGATCTCAAGAGGAGCAGACGGCGCCTGAAACTCGCACGTTGAAAGAAGCTCAGGGTCTAGCGAGCGGCATGGCGTTGGGGATTCCTGATCGGACCTTTTTTTTATTTTTTCTCCCACAAGGCAAGCCCTTCTCGTTTTGATCATCAGCCGCGAACAAAGAATTTGTCTGGTGGCTTGGCATTTGGGCTGAGCCGCAGAATCGAAGTCGGCGATCTGGATCCTCGGAAGCACGTCAGGTTATGCTCCGGTGCGTATCTTTTGTTGGTGCAGCGAGAACGAGAGCGAGATTCGTCGGCGGGCGGGAAAAGCAATCCCTCCGCCTTTGTTGGTCTGCATCAAAGAGTCGATACGCCGGAATTAATAAATAGTTGGTGAATGATGAATGTCTTGTCTAGCGCAGCTCCTGACGCTGCGTATTTTAAGCATAACCCCACGTGAGTGTAAAATTACGACGCCGTTCAGCCCGGCCCGAACAGAAACCCGCCGTCAGCGGTAACTGCTTGTCACAAACCGCGGGCTCGGATGGCAGTGGCCCCGGCTCCGCGTCCGCCCCAGCATCGTGGATTTCGACCACTTTTGTGCTTTGTGACTGTATCGTGGGCATTTCTGAAGACGGTGCGCCGGCCATTGATCTATGAATCATTCTTTATATACCGCCGATCGAAGCGAGACGACATGTTGCTGCGGACAAGAGCCAGCAAAGTCGCCGTCTTTGTTGGTTGGCCAACTAGTGCGTGAAAGGGCAAAAATACCACGATACAGTTATGCAAGTTGTGCCGGAACCTGAGTCAGGACACGCTGCGCTTCGGCTCCGGGAGCTGCTTCTCCTGGCATCCCAAGCGGCCGGAAGTCACCGCATGCACTCCTCCGGCGCTGCTGGTGCCTGATGCTTCTCCTTTTGTTGTCTTCCTCCTGCTCTTTGACTTCCTCTGCTTCCGCCCTGTCCGTGGCTCCGTCGATCCTTGGTCTCTCTCCCTTGCCCCTTGGATATCACGCGTATAATATCCCTCGCTCTTTTTTTTCTTTCCTGTTTGACTTCACTCATCCAGCGAACCGGTTCACTCTCTACCGGCAGCTTGTCCTTTTAATAACCATTCTCCAAAGTCTCAGCCCTTGTCCTCTTTCTCGCCTGTATCACGATATAATTTATCCTGGATATCGAAGCTAGCTCGAAACTGAACCCCCCCTTCCTCCACGGAGCTCTCGCTCAACCATGACGAGTGCGCCAGCGCCCTTTGGCGTCCCTGCGCTGGCGGCAGAAGCTGGCGCAGAACTCCAGGACGCCTTCTCCGCTCGCCCCTTTGAAGAGAACGAGTCAGGATCCCAGACGCGAACCTATGCAGACGAGACAAAGCCTAGCACGGCAAGTTCTGTGACTGCGGGGAAGGTCTCTGAGCTGGAAGGCGATGATGGAATAACCAAGGACCAGGAGCACGAACTTCAGGGCCTCGCCCGCCAGGTCTCCCGGATCTCCAGGCGGAGCAGCGTGTACAATCACGAGAACGTCGTCAATCCCTTCTTGGACACCGAGGCCGATCCGGAACTGAATCCTGCCAGTCAGCAGTTCAAGGTGCGGAAATGGCTCAAGACCATTCTGCACATCCAGTCGCGGGACCCGGATATGTTTCCAAAACGGACTGCTGGGGTGTCCTTTCGCAATATGAACGTCTACGGATATGGAACTGCCGCGGATTACCAGGCAGATGTGGGGAATACTCCTCTCAAAGCTGTTGAGCCATCAGAACCTCGTTGGCCTTGGAAGAAAGTCGCATTGATATTCTCTGACTTTGATGGTTTGTTCAAAAACAGTGAAATGCTAGTGGGTCTTGGGACGA